CATAAATACAATTGCTTAGATCCAGACTTTCGTTAGCTCAACAAAAATCAGACAAGCTGATAAACCTGCCTTTCTTTGACTTTTCACAGCCCAATGAGCTCCAGTTCATTGCTTCAACCATTAGGCCTAGTTGCGAGTTTCATTCTCAGACGGGAGAAATAAAAGTTAGAATTAACATAACGGTAACACTATTTTATGTTCATTTTGTCATGTAACTTCTATTTCTGGTCTCAGCGTTCACCAAAATGCAAATTGAGTGGAGTTTAGATAGCAAGCAAATATGCAATTTAAACAGAGAGAAAATAGTTTCATTTGGTGACATATCTGATTCTCGTAAGTGATCCTAGCAGTTTATATATCGAAGTTATGCATTGTGTTTTATATAATTAATCATTTAGTTTGAAAAAAATCACGCAAGTAATGGCCAATACGTCTCGTTAAATGTGACTTTCATCTACATGATTGTAGTGTTGATGAACATTCGGCTAAGTTTGTAGAGTCATTAGGCCTTTTTGGAAGCAGGCAAGATGAAAAACTAGCAACGCCTTCGCCGAGAATCGAACCGCGGACTTCTGGAATACGCGCCCAGTGTGCAGACCACAACACCACAAAAGTATGCAAAGAAGGCGGGAGAGATACCTTATAAGTTTAACATTCTCTCTGCGTTCTTGGTATTTATAATTTAAGGTACGAGTAGGGCGAACACGAGAATTCTTTCATAGAACAGGAAGTGTAAACACAATATAGTTTTAATAGTTATTAGGTTAATTCATCTAAGCACAATAGACAGTTAGATGAGAGAAATCTATTGTGCTCGTGAGGATCAATTTTATAAATCAAAGTAAAATAGTTTACTTAAAATGAAATAACAAAAGAGACTGAAAATAAAATTTGAATGTAATATATGTATAATATAATTTTAAAAAATAGGAAAAAAATCTGAAAGCTTTCAGATTTTACATTACGTTCCAAGGGGCACTTTTTTTTATGTTTTCTGTGTTACCTTTATTTATTAAATATGATGTTCTTCGCATTTAAACCATGAAATTCAATTCAAGAGCAATATCGCAAAATAATTTTTAAATGAGCCTATCTTTAGAATTTTCGATATATAGTTTCGGAGCGCTGGAGATAAAAAGGTCTCCTCCCGTAAAGTGTTGCCATTGCTCACTTCGAAATCATTCGTAATCAAAAATTCGTTAAATTTTTGCAAAATATGAAATAGATAATAAAACAAATTCCAAGCATTCGATGAAACATATTTTTAAAGTTTCAATGATTAAATAATCGATTTTAAAGCAATTTCATATCGCCTTAATCGTACACTTGAAAATGAAACGATTAGAAGACATAGGGCGCTCTTGCCATTTGTGACAGATCCCTCTAGAAAACCGGATCGACCTACATATACTTGACATTCATCACTCTTCTTTTCCCATTGACAGAAAAGGAGTTTCCAAAGCACTAGTTCATTCCTTTTCGAATTCTCTAAGCGAAGCCTGCGAGAAACAAAGGAATACCTGGAGATGTATTTCTTTATTCCTACCGCGTTTTTTGAAATTCAAATAAGGAGAATGCGGATAAACAAATACGAAGATGCTGGGGAATGCTGACAATTGAGCTGACTGGTTTAATATCTCTTTATCTTCTCAGATAAATTAAATCGTATATCTGTCAACACTATAGCTTTTTAAATCAAAGCAGCCTGAAATTTAACTGTCGTATCTCGTGCTTATGACAAAATTAAACATATAACAGACATAAGCAATTCCTGAAGGAAAATTGGCAAAATTGGCAAAATTACCTCACGTTCTTCTGTTACCATAAAAAGAAAATTGCGGAAACTAGTTATTGACGGTAGTGTACAGGGCTTCTACTACCTTAATAACTTGAGAAAAGACTATCCAATCGAATTACGAAACAAGAGCTCTAGTTTATTCAATTAGATTATAAGAAAAGAGCTCTCAGATCGGTAAGGTCAAGTTATAGAGATAGGAAGCACATAATTTGTGTGTGCTTTGCCGTTTTCAATCAAACTGGCAGACAATGTAAAGGCAGTAAAATGGTAACAAATAGCTAGAATACATTAACAATAAATGCAATAAGCGAAAATACATTGTTCGCGCGTTGTCCTTAGAGATTTTGTAGTCGTCAGAGATCTCCTAACCAGACAATCCGTATTACTCAAGTCTGATCTTAATTTTACGTAAGTCTCATTTCAAGTATCGTATTTTTGTTTCCTTTCTCATGACAAAAAAAAAAAAAAAAAAAAATCTGATGTGTACACCACATGACGCCCTTGTACGGAATATTAAATTATACGCATTTTTTTCTTGCATTTGATTTAAACTTATTAGATTGAATTAAATCTACTTCGCCGACAGCGCATAAATCACAACGCAATTAATGTATTCTTTAAAATTCAGTCTATTTGTTTACCATAGCGACACTCTGGCGCTAGGTTCACTTAACAGTATTATATTTCGTTCCTACTATGACTCAGAATGCAAAAAATTTATATCATTTAAAGAATTATCTAATCGTTGCCACATGTTCTATTCAAATACTATAATAAAGCTAGAACGATGTATAAAAAGAAATTAAGTTAACCAAACAAAAAAGAAACAGTTTTTCACAGACGATTGAGTACTTCTCATTCAATTAATTCAGTTCTCACTTTGCGACAAGGCAAAAATACATAAAAACTCAAAATATCTGTATTAAAAATTACGAAGTAAATCTTAAACACTTATTTCCTCGAAAAAATTCCAGAACGGATTAAGCATGATTTAATTCGCAATAATAAATGAAGGCGTTATCTTTGTTGTTGCGAAGCTAAGTTTATCTAGATTGCCAACAAATCCACTATTCCCCTGTTTCAAATGTAAACAAGCAATGGCCGCAATCAAAAAAATTATCAGGCTTAGCGGCACTTAAACAACTTTAAAATTGTTGATAATTCTAAAAATATTGTATACAGATTTACTAAAACCTTAACCGGAAGATAAGAACAACATAATTCAATCACTTTTAAAGCAAAAAATGTACAATTTACAAACATATAAGACTAAAGAAACTGAGATCACTGAGCCGGGTAACAGAGTGGATATATATATAAATATATTTATATAGGTTTGGTGCGGCCGATTGCAACCAAAATACGAGGTGCACATCTACATGTTATAGCAGTCCTATATACAAAATTTCAACGTTCTGAGGCTACTCGTTTTTGAGTTATGCGAGATACGTTCGTACGTACGTACGTACGCACATACGTACATACATACGTTCGTACAGACGCCACGAAAAATTATCTTCAGAATTAATTTTAAAGCAGTTTTATAAATTTTTTGGAGGAAAATAGTCTTTATTCTGTCCTTACGTACAGATATCACGCAAAAACATCGTTAAATTTCATTCGATAGCGGTCAAAATGGATATTTTCGTTGAAGTATGCTGCCTGAAACTTTTTGCGATTACAATACCTCCTTTTTACTTCGTACAAGGAAGTAATAGTAGATAAAAAAGCTCAACACAAACGATGAAGAACTATGGATGGGTAAAAGACTTGAACGTCGGAAATTTAAAAAAAAAATGATAAAAACTAGTACTGCGTTCCAATTTTTAAAATTTTTCATGCATTTCCATCCAGCATATTGGAATAAAATCGAAAAAAAAATCTAAATTAGGCGGTCGCTCAAAACGGTGTTTGTTAAGTTTTCTTTAGGCTTCACTCAGCCCGGACTCTAACAGTGTACTGTTCCACTCACTCCTGCTAACCCATTTCTGTTTGTCTTTTCAGCTTTATTATTAAGCTTCGTTTCTTTCATACTTACGCCATATAAAATTCAACAGCAAAATTACAAAAATTTAAAAAGCAGCATGTGTTTAGAATTCCCGATGAAGTTTTGGGAAACATTTTTCATTTTTGTTTCAAACTTTTCTTAATTTATGACATTAGTGTACCGTTTTCTGACTAAGATGGCTATGCAAAACTTCTTTTTGTCTTTTTATTATTAACATTTTATGTATTGACTTTATTTATTAAATATTACGTTCTTGGCACTTACGCCACATAAAATTCAGTCGAATACTAAAATCACAAAATATTTAAAAACAGCATATCCTTAGAATTACCGATTGACAGTCCTGCGCGGGGAAGATAACAATGTTTTAATCCATACAATGTTGACACTGCTCGCTTCTAAATCGTTGAGTTTATTAAAAGTCCATTAAAGTTTTAAAAACATGAAGTATCAAATTCAAAATTCAGTTCCAAGTGCACATGTTCGTGTAGAGGACTACGTTATTAAAAATTTCATGGCATTACTCTCGGTATTCGAACCACAGACCATCCAGTTGCTAGTTCGATGTGTTAACCGCTTACACCCTCACAGCAATCACAAAGGAACTGATGACTCTTTATATGTACAACTTTTAAAACGTAACAACATATATGAGGTACATAGTCTTATCTTCCAGGAATAAAAGCATATAAACTTTATTACATTATACCACCTTACAAGCGTACATTGTTGAAATTATGTGTAACTTGACAAATCACACATTCAATTTATGGCATATCGAGTATAAGTTTAGATCATAACAATAGGTTTTACAATTCTGGTTTTTAAATTTCTGCACGTCCAGTCGTAATCGTAGAATGCAAACACGATCTTTGATAAATCCTTAGAAGGAAAAAAAATCGCCGGATTTAAATCGGTCGATATCGATGCAAAACTACAACTTTTATTACAGAATTTTATATAGCTTTTATTATAGCTTTTATTACTTTAAGACATCAAAAATTAAACATGATATAATGAGCATAACTCGACAAAATTATCTTTGAGAAGGTACAGTTTTCCTTCAAAACCTCAGCAATAATCTAAGTTTGCATGTATTTTCATGCATTTAATTATTTTTCTTACGCGATATGCATTATTTTTTTTAATTGATTGATTTATTTGATTTATTGATTTATTTGATTGAAAACTTACCTGCTCTGTTGATTTCTCGTCCGAACCTATGACGACCAACATTTTCCGCCCGAACTTTCAAAGAATATCTGTCTCGCTTTTCACGATCTAAACTGGCCGTTACAGTTAGACGTCCAGTATCGGCTTCCATCACAAAAAGACCTAGAAAGATATCAAGAATATCTAGTTTCAAAAGCTATATCCATTGTACATTATGTAAACATATAAATGCGCAAAAAAAAGAGGGATTCTATATCTCCTCTACTGAGCAGAAATTTAACTTGCTTTCCTCATGTCTCGAAGCGCACCTTAAGCATTGCTTGATACAAAAATCGTACTTTTTTCTGAAATGTTATATCTATTTTTTCCATATTTCGAATCTGCGACTCCAATTATGCCTAAATAATAAATTTTGTAAATTTTGGTAAGACATTTACTGAGAAATTTAAAAATTTATCTTGGCGCACTTTTTACAGTTTGCGCCAACAATACTTCACTTGGCGAAATTCTTAATTTATGGTAATATATTTTCCTTTCGCTTTCATTGCGAACGAGCGAAAAAAAAAGTTCTTTCATTCATTCTTTCAAATACTTTTAAGAAAGTGCGTAAAACACATTTGGCGTTTATCGCCTGAAACAAATATGGCAAATTTCAAAACGCGCCAATATATGAATTCGCGTATATCTTGGGAAATTTGCATAAAAAAACTATAATTCTTTGCAGGTATCCCTAGAAATGCATCTATTTTAAGGTTATGGGAATTTTTTTTAAGTTATAATTCGAAAAGTGTTTCAGAAAAGTTATAAAAATTACTAAAAATACACATTTTAAAAATAAATCGGAAATTATCAGCGAATTTCATTTGGATTAAACCTGAATTTCAAATTATGAAAGTAGGAATCAAATAAGTTTAATAAAAAAGAGATAATAATAAATATATACCAAGTTCAATTAACACTGATTACTTAAAATTTTGAGAGCTAATGATTTAAAAACTACTCGCTCGTTTTTTACAAAACTTGGCACTTTGGCATAATTTCAGTGGCAGAATCGGAATATGGAAAAAAATTGGTATGTCATATCAGAAAAAGTCCGATTTTGTGTCAAAATATCTATGTTAGAACAATGCTATATATAAATCTAATATATATCCTATGTCGCGGTTTCGAAACATGAAAAACGCAAGTTATATTTCGTCAATCGGCCCAGCAGAACGTGAAATATAGAACTGCCCCCCTTTATTTCGGGGGGGGGGAGGGCATATTGAACATTGTATAAATATTATAGTTGCATATTATAGTCGACTGCCTCAATGAAATCTCTCATGTCTTTTCAAATCTGAATTGAATTTGTGTCTTATTCTGGATGTACGAGGAGGCAATCATATCAAAACATAGCCCTAAAGAAAAATAAATCTCTTTTCACGTATAGAGGCACATGAAGGACTCAGTTAATGCGTGTCATATTAACATACAGAATGTAAAGTATAAATACATATATATGTGAAAACATGGATATGTTTAAATTCCAAATACATTTTTCTTCCTAAGATCGAGAGAAGAAATGCATACAAAATAACCCAATTCCGTTTGGTATGGTAGATAAGCATTCAAAAATCATGTAAAAAGAAACGATATATAGATGAGGAAACAGAAGACTGTCACGGACGTGAAAACGTAATATAAATACAAAGAATATCTGTAAACAAATCATATAAAATCTTAAATCAGTTCCGCGTAGACGGTTTATAGATTGTAACATATTTTATATAGCATTTTTATTTTTTGATGTAAATGATCAAAAAATTGTTTTTGATGTTCAATTAAACATAAGCCGATGGATATCGCAGTTTTTTTTTTTTTTTTTTTTTTTTTTTGGTTAAGCTTAAGAAGACTACTTAAAATTTAAATGATAGGCATTGTCTTATACCTTTTAGGAATCTATTTAGTGATTGATTTTGAAACTGGTAAATCATTTCGAAATTCAAAAAAGAAAAGAAAAGAGGGAGAGAAAGAAAGCAAAATAATAATAGAAATAGAAGTACATGAAGTTCAAAAGAGCATAATAATTTTTCTTCGGACGGTCTCATGGAAAACAGATGAAGTATATGAAAATATTTTGGTCTATTTAATTACGATAGAACACTCAAGGGCTAATCGTTAGAGCATTTAAGGGCTGCCTCACCTAAGAGGAGGGATACATGCATGAAGGACTCTCTGAGGAAAACTGACACATATTCACGTTACACTTGGTGGAAACGACGAAACCCAAGTATGCAGCCTGGCAGTTCCCCTGGGATCAAACCTAAAATAGGTCGAATTATCAGTAATCAATGGTCTTTCCACTCGGCCACTGGTGAGGTCGTGAATTTTTAGTGATGTATGTAAATGAATTTGTGCATCCGGTCTCAGAGAGAAAATCTCAAGTTAAAAGTAGTGATGTACAAATAATCTCGACGTACTCTGTCATAATTAGCTGATCTTGCATATTCGAATGGACTGAACTAGATTTATCTGATTAAGGTAAAGCACACTTTCGGGCTGCTCGTCTAAGAGATGTAATGACTTCGTGGAGAATTTTCTAAAGAAACCGCGATCGCATTCACATTAGGTACGAGGTTATGTTAGGTTTATTGAAATATGATAAAGCACATAAGAACTATCTACCTAAAAAGAGAGAGATGTCTTCGTGTGGATCTTTCGAAAGAAAAATGGCTTGTATTGATGTTATATATGGTGGTCAAGAAACCCTCCCATGCAATTTGTACGTTTGCCTGGATTCAAACCCAGACAGAACTACCAGTATTAAACGTCTTTATAACTCGGGCACTCATGGGGTTACGCATGGCCGAAAACATGAAAATATCATAGCAGCCAATCCGTTCGCCTTAAATACGCGGCCGTTTCTGCCAAATACCCATCCAATCTTCTGAATACGAGCTAATAGCAGCACTCGTGTAGCGGAATTATCTGAATTAGGTGGTACATAAAAGAAGCATAAAAATGTAATCCAAAGGATCACAGCCCATAATAAAATAGACTAATTTAGGCGATATGCTGTTTATACTAGCCTTTTTCCTACAGTACTGTGGAATATACTCCCATAACTTAAAGTTTCAACTGTCAAATAGCATTTTATAGCACTTTTAATGCATTATATTGTTTGAATAATGAACATCACGATCATTTATAACATTAGAATCCGCTATCGTTTGAATCTTTGCTTAAATTATAATTTGTTGGTCATAAGATTTCTAACATTTGTGCAATTATTAAAATTTAAGCTTTTCATATTAATTCAAGAAACTTTAGACTAGATCTCATCTAAATATTCAAACTCCTAGTCAAAGTTTCTCTCTTAAAACTGTTAGTTATTAAAGAACTTATTTCATTGAATTTCCAGCGGAATGATTCTGTTCAAATTAATCTTCTAAGACTTTACATCAATTATTGTTGATATGCGACTCGTTAAGTAAACATCTTAATGCAAATGTTCATGTAAACATATCAACATGAACCAAAGCTCATTACAGATTAGGATATTCCAGTCTTCCAGAAACCAAAGATAGGCGTCATTTATGAAGGAACTTCAATGCAATCGTGTATGAAGGGAAGATTAAAATTACCTAAATCAGTAAATTCTACACGCTAAAATACCGTTTTAAACTGCTTTAAAGACCTCGATCCATTTGAAAGTTTACTACATTTAATCATGCAGCAGTATACATTAATAGAACATCGTGTAATTAAATTTTATTTGATAAGATTCTGTCTTATCATTACATTTTTCAAAGAACTGTGAACAAACTTTTAGATCAAAACAGATGATTTGTATAGGCCAAATATTTGAACTTTCCTTTTCTATGAAGTGGGACAACCAAATTACTTTAGAATGGCACAAAAAATAAAAGAAGTAGCACACAGACCGTTTCCAAATGTTTTGACGTTTCTCATTATATTTGCAGAGATGTTTTACGACATTTTTTTATTCTAAATGTCCTATTTGATAAGCATTTCTTTCGACACCGTTATTTCCAAGGCAACAAAACCATTTGCAGTATTAGAAGAGGTATTTTATCACGTTCCTCTAGAACAGCTTCTCAAAGTCAAAGGACGGTTAATGACCGACATTAGGACAATCCGCTTTTTAAAAGTCCAAAAGCGCAAAAATCCATGGGTGATACATCAGGAGATTTATTAGGGAAATGATTGAAATATATGGCCTTGATACACGTTTCTTGTTCCATTTTTTGCAGGAAATTAACAGTGAATTTTGAAGTGTAGTTGCTTGCTTTTTCTTTATGCAGTTCTGATTGACGGCACTGTGGGTAAAGAGAAGGTATTTCATATATGATTGTTTGGGCATGAAATATATTCCTGATAATATGCAGAGTCGATCTTAACATTTTCCTCTACTATCTTTATTTTATTAATTCAAGTTATATGAAAACCAGCAGGAACCGTAAATCCTTTTGAAAACTCCCATTAGATTCTTTGAACCATGTTTAAAGATTTGTTTCTCCTCTTTTATGATAATAAATGGATATCTTTCTATTGCATTCATTTGATAAACTGAAGATTCATCTATCGTGACAACATATTTCCATTTTTAAATAGGCACAAGTGTTTCTTCTAACGAATTCTGCAACGCATTCTGCGTTCGATGGTATGTTGTGGCGAAAGACGATGCACAATATGTTTTTTCGCCTTTTTAAGATTAAAATTAACATTAACCACTTTGTTTGTACTGAGCTGTTTAAATGTAGTAAGCATTTAAATGACTTTGCAACTGCATTTTTTACTGGCGGAATTTTTTTATATTAAAGAGATTACCTTTGCAATATTCGAAACATTCCGTTTTCTCCTTGGATATGTATTTGGAACGATTTTTCCACTTTAAGCTACACTTTGACGTTTTGTTTCCTTTCTTCTTGAAAACATTACCAATCGTGGGTTTAGATATCGAAAACCGTGGCTTTCACAGAGTTGTTTAATAACTAGATACAAATAATTTTCTTCGGAAAGAGCGCAAACATAGGCTTCCGTGTATTGCTTCTTTTAAACGCGCCATTTGCATGAAACCAAAACTATCAAATAGCAGACGATAATTTATATTTTCAAAAGTATAGCTGCGTTTTAAAAAAAATCTCCAAGCAGACTATTTTTATAACAAAGCAAAACCGGCTAAAACGTGTGCAAATAGCCTGCACACAAGGAAATATACACTCATGTCCATAAATTAAGGATAATGCAAAATCAGGCAAAGGAAGAGTTAGAAGCAAAACTAATTTGACTCATTTGTAAAGCTTATTTATTAAACAAAAGGTAAAGAGCAAAAAAAGATGCTATATGTTTGATATTATTAAAAAATTCGCGATTTTTTCTTCCTGGAGCAAATTACAAAAAAAACCTATTTACAAAAAAACAATATTACATGGTTGGTATGATTTTTAATACATTGTATGTCTCCCAGACGATGCAATACAGTCCGTACAACGCCTAGGCATGCTGAGTATCAAATTATCGATCTGATCTTGGGGAATATTACACCACTCAAAAAGCAATGCTCTCCGAAGTTCCGGTAGACATGTAGGAGAAGGTTGACGGGCTGCAACTCTTCGGCCAAGCATGTCCCACACGTGCTCTACTGGATTAAAGTCCGGTGAGAATGCTGGCCAGTCCATACGGGTGATATCCTCCGATTGAAGGCATTCGCTTACGATGTTTGCACGGGAAGGACGGGCGTTGTCATCCATAAACACAAATTGTGCGCACATGGCGCCCCGAAATAAACGTACATGTTGTTCCAGAATGACGTCCCGATAGATTTGGCTTGTCATGGTTCCAATTTGAACATGCAGGTCAGTTCTGGAACCCAGAATAATTCCACCTCAAACGAGTACTCCTGCACCACCGAAAACGGTGTCGTTCAATGATGTTTTCTTGGTGGTAACGGGTACCCGGAGCTCTCCATGTAAACGTCCGGCGAGAATCCGACCGCAAGCTAAACCTAGACTCGTCGGAAAACATCACACTGTTGCGATGTCCACAATGCATGCTCTCTATTCCAGGCTAACCGCAGGCGACAGTGAGTTGCAGTAAGTGGAACGCATCTTACAGGTCTACGAGCATATAGACCAATCTGCCCTAAGCGTCTGTACACGTTCTGCCTTGAAATTGTCGTACCAGTGGCTGAAGATTGCTGACGAGACAGGTCTGAGGCTGTGCTCCGCCTGTTTCTTTTGGCAGTAACTGCCAAATGCCGGTCCTCATTCGGTGTTGTAACTCTGGGGCGACCTGTGCTGTAACGTCGACTCACATTACCATCATCTTAGAATCGTTGCCAAAGCCTGGAGATGACACTCTGGGCAATTCCAAGTTCGTCTGATACTTCCAGTTGGGTACGCCCACATTCCAGACGGCCGATAATTCTACCACGTAAAAAATCATCCAAATGCGTCCTTTGTGTCATAACTATTCGCTTATTGCACTGAAATGCTTATAAAGCGCTTGCGAACAATTTTACTTCCTTGAACAATTTTACTTGCCTGTAATCCTTATATATCACTCTCTACACTTTCGTCATTGTGACGTACCATCGGAGTCATCTGGTTACTTCCTGAAATTTGCATATGATTCTTGAAGATGTGTGTAGTGATTTTACAGGTGATATATTTATTTTAGAGTTCGATTTCCGCGTGGCTCCGAATTATCCTTAATTTATGGACATGAGTGTAAAAGAAACATCTAACCAGATTTTTGGACAGACAATGGAAGTTCAGATTTGAAATTATTGGGCTATTATTGAGCTTTGTACTCAGTATCAGTTTCAGACAATCTCAATCTATTGCCCAAACTCAGAGTGAGTACGAAACTCTATGTCTTTACGATCAGTAAACTGAGATTGCGTCCGCGAAGTAAAGACAACGGAAGACAATTGATACTCGTCCAAAAGCATGTGTAATAGTTATGAGATTATGGAAAAGCTTGCGAAAAAAACGAGCTTTGCATGACCCGAAGAATGATGCAGCCACAAGAGATAAAACAAGACCATCTCTATGGCGTTATTGGAAGTGTGAGGATGTAATTACACGTCCGATATGTATGCTACACAACTCTCGCTGGATGACACGAGATATGCGATAGAAGTTACTTGTGCTTCTCTTTCCATTGATGAATCTGCTGTTTTTCAGTTTGTTCTGTGACACTAAAGATGATATATTTCTACTAAAAGCGGTGATTTCGAACATAACACTTTAAATGTGACACCAAAAATGTTCATACTTCTTGTCTTTAGTATTCTTTCTATGAACGTCCAATGAAAATATTGGGATAATTGGTGTTATAACAGTGCTACCACATATATATTGTTGCCTGCTTACCGATTTGTAATCGATTGAATGCACACAATACCGATCGCAGCTCAATAAAATTCATTTTTCCGGATAGAAACACTTTTCAGTTTTGTAGCTTTCCATAAAAGTATTTGTACAACTCTTATCAGTATAACAGAGCACAATCAGTACTTAACACTTCCAACTACCAACAACGTTAAACGCAATGCAGAGCGCATCGAAACAACGAAGCTCACACGGACGTATCTCAGTGCTTCGAAGTCGACTCTGAACAGAAAAACTGAGAACTGCTGCTTTCTCTGACCTTATCAAGTTCTCCTCCTGCTGCCGAGAAATTTCTAGTACCTTGCATTTCTCGAAAATACTGGAAGGCATATAAAGTTACATATAAGGGCTACATATGGTTATTCTTTACATAAAGGGATCAATTACAGTACCAATTGCAGTTTTACAAGAACCGGACTAAAATGTCTCCAAAAGGTTGCCAACTTTGGCGACAAAACTTAGTCACCAAATTCATTGACATGTTGGCGATATCTCGCCAATTAGCGAGATAGCCATTTACCTCGATGTTAAATAAACATTCTCCAGTAATCTTACGTTTCCGGCACAGCTTCGTCTCTCATGTCATTTCATGTTACTTTATACAAAATATGTTACTTTATACAAAATATACTACAATTTTACGTATAATTTGCTAAAATTATTTACATACGTATAAATTTCGTAACAATATGATAAAATTGCAGCATTCAGAAACAGAAGATGTACATGAGCATCAACGGCAATTAGAAACGGCGCTTAGGATGACATAAATTCACGTCAGTGGCAACTAAGGACACAATTTCAAATAACGTAAATTGATATGAGCGATCAAGAGTATATTATAGGCCTTTTTTTAAGAATCTAAACGAAACCTTAACGTTATATCATTTTAATATACAAATAAACAAAGGACACAAATGTAAACTTTATTTTAAAGCAAAACAAAAGTATCATCTTACCGTTATAATCATGACCAACAATGCTGTACAACACTGGTTTATGTGCTATTTCATCAGTGGCGTTCAGATCTAGGATCACCAGAGGGGCAAGTCTGTTTTCAAAGACTGTAACTTCGTACAGACGACTGGGGAAAAGTCGAACACCATGTCCTGTGCCAACGATGATATTTACCTATCAAAAGCAAAAAGTAGCAATTAGTATCGTTTCCCAGAAATTATGGATCCACTTTGCTCGAGATTCTGGCATGTTTATATCGAATTTTTATTGCTGAGAGTTAAATTTTCATGTATTTCACGAGGAAATCAACTGACTGAAGGAGAATTTTAAGGCAAACGTGGATTAACTGCAACTCCTGTCTTGCAGAATGAAGAACCGCCTGCTGGCCATAAGAATTAGCGCCAATCTGTTTGGAAATAATTAGTAATTGCTAATGGCAGCTTCGGTTGTCAGTCGAAGTTGATAGATGCCTCCATGCTGTAATGATCAGCTGAGGACAAAAGTGGGCTTTAGAAGATTTGATTTTGACAATTCTAAACTTTAAAGGCAGATATCCTAAAATGTTACAAGCTGTTCTTGATCAATAATCAGATCGTCTAGTTTGTAATTTCTTGCTTAAGTTGCGAAGGAATGAAGAAATAAACTCTCCTAAATTTTAAAGCTATGCTTCCGTAAGAGGACTATAGTCAGGACAATTTACCACTGACATCTGGGAAGTAACTCTTAGTTTGAGGCTATTTTAGTAGTAGAGTTAGAAACTATATGTGAACATTCCTTTTTACCGCACTGAATTGTTTCAGTCTGTCATCATACTATGTTCCAATATCTTGTTTTCATATCTGTGATAATACTGTGTTCCATAATCAGAATATTATGATGATAATATTTTTCAAAGAAGCTCGGAATAGAAAGTGAAAATTCTGCAACATATTCTTTAACTTTATTTCATCATAGTAAGAGACGATGGAAAATGAATAAAAAGGTGAATTTATTAGGGAAAGCAGTTTAACAAATGATTAGAATTAGCATTTAAATTTTATGCTCTTACATAGATTAAACATGTGGTCCCTGAAGATGAAGATATACTTGATTTAGCGTATTATGGCAAAGCAAATTGTAACTCTTATAAGACCAACTTCTTGCAGGGAGAAATGCCTTTATGAAGAAATGGCTAATGGTTATGTTATGTCAAATGCTTAAGACAAAGAAACTTAATGTTATATGTCTATAGAAAAGACGCCTTCGCGAACGGCATTTCAAGGGAAACTGGCTTGTATTCACATTACGCAAAAAGGGAACTATGAAATTATCACCCAACCAGCCCATTCGCTTGCAGTTGTAACGCAAATGAATTCGCACTTACTACTTGGCCGCTGGAGTGTGACTCTATAAGGGAAATTGGCTCGTATTTACCTTGCATCTGGCAATTCATCGAGATTTTAACCTCAGTCGAACTACCGATGGTCAGCTATCTTACTACTCTAATTATTTGCATACAGTATTTATTAATGGAATATATAAATAGCTTATATTAATAATTATAAAAAACTGATGACTTCCTTGTGCGGTATATTAAATAATACAAATTTTTTGCTGCACTTCATTTAAACTTGTTTTTTCAAACTATTCTAACTTAATTAACCAATCCCTGAAGGCAAGTTGAATATAATATCAAAAATTATAAATTTTTAAATTAAATATTCCTGTCAGTTTTCGTCTTACGGGAGTCAAACTCTCTTATTATACATTATAATATAAGTCAAACTCCTTATAATAATGGTCCACCAGCGGCCGAGCGGTAAAGTTGCTGAACACTGGTAATTCGGTCTGAGGTTCGAATCCCGCGAACGGGCTGGCTGCATGGGCGTTTTCGTGGTTTTCCCCGTGTGTAACGTGTATACGAGCCAGTTTCCCTTAGAAAGTCCTCCACGAAGGCATCCCTCCTCTTAGGCAGATAGCCCTCGAGGCTTTGCCATACTCACACACACACACCTTATAATAATATATACTCCTTATAAATTTTGGGGTCAAACTCCCAATAATGAGTATAAAACTTTCAAAAATTCAAGTATAAGAAATGGGAAACCGTATTAAAATTTAGATTTCGTTATTTGTCCGAAATTATTTTTTTTACTTCATATTGCCAAAACATGAATAATTTCATTATTTAAAAACCCTTCTGTAATTGGAAGTAGAGTACGACAAATGATTGCGAAAATAATGACCCAGTAAGAATTTTTAAAACGGGTAAGTTTGTACATATACGTATGGTTCTGCCGATTGTAAGAAAAGAAAGAAGATTCACTACTAGATGTTATAGCAGTCCCATGCACAAAATTTCAACGTTCTATGGAGAATCGTTTTGGAGTTACGCAACATTATGCACATACGTACGTATGTATCACGAAAAAGTCTATTTGATTCCATTTTATAATGATTTTTGGAAAAGAAAAAGAGTTCCTCAGACGTCACGCAAAACAAAATAATATAAATGGATTCGAGAAAGGTCATAATAGATATTTCCTTTGAAATATGGTACCCGAAATACTTCACGATTGCAGTACTTTAGTAAAAATCATAAAAATTCAATAATATCAATTTAACACTTATTTTTCATTTTATATACGCATTCCCGCGCTTTTTGGAGGAACACTGTACCTATAAGGAAACAGAACTATTAAGAAATTTCCAGAAAATCCGAGAAGAAAAAAGCTCCATAATTGAGAAATCCTAGAAACATAAAGCATTATCTTGCAATTTTTCCACAATTAACCCGGACTGCGACGCAATTAAACACATAATCGATCAAAATTCCCGATAAGCTATCGAAAATGTATCGTGATATCGCAAAATAAATTATAGATTAAATCATTGATTAAATTATCCGGAAGATCTACGAAATAATCGTTGTTTCAGATCCCATTACTTGCTTCAGATTAAGGTTTAATTTTGCCTCTCTTTCTCTAACTCAATAATTTTCTCGTTTAATCCTGCATTCTGAAAAGCCATGATTCTAGCAATTTAGAAAATGAGTTTTTATTTGTGGATTTGGTGAATACGGTGTTTCCTTGCATTTCGTGATGCTATTAGTAATTGAAAAAAATCCTTGTACAATAATTTTTCGCCTTATTTATTTTCTACAAACTTTTGACTAAAAAATAAAACACAGACCCCCAAAAATGTCGTTATTAATTTGCAAGTAAATGTATAACGTGAATTTAGTAAACAAATAAACGTAATATATTATCTTGATTTCTGGCTGTAAATCCTTAATTGATTATTTTGTTTCATTCTGTGCTTAAATAGTTATTCTCTTATAGTTACAATGTAATTTAAATTAGTCTGGTCAAAAGAAGTATCGATAATAAGTATCGATGATAAGTATCGATAAAGAAGTTTGACCATTTGTTGTTTGTCTCTACTGTGACGTTTGCCGAACTTCCGTAATGGAAATACAAATACCAGTTGTCTTTTCAAATATTTATTCAGAAACCTAATATAAATGTTCTTGGTTAAATAAAAAAGTAAATTACAAAAAGGAAAAGGAAATAAATTACAAAAGGTAAAGACAGCAGCTCTCCATGATGCGACTTGCTCCTCCCGCATTTCTCAGAGAAAAGCCTGTTTCTTACATTTTTCATTTTCATCCACGGAAAACCCGAAAAGGTGGTGCATCCTTAACGAAATTTTTCCTCATCACTTTCTAGCCATTTCGGCACAAACTGTGGTTTATTCCCAAGAGAAACAGGGAGGTTCTGTCTAAATATTGTTACGTTTTTCTCTTCCTGACACCAGTTGTTACATTATTTTCTTCCTTCACGTTCGTAAGGGGTTCGTAGATTTGGAGTGAATAACGACGACACTTAATGAAGTATCGAAACACACTTTATTTAGCCAATATTAATCAGGACAGCTCCAATAACACTTTTTGCAGTCGTCGAATATCTACTCTAAACACGCTGGAAGAATCAATGACACAGCCTTCACACTGTCAGGCAATAACGGTGGAGACAGCTTCACTGCAAAGCTCCCGACTCTGCTCGGTCGTTCTCGGAACTACACGTACTCTCGAGGCACCCACACACCAACTGACTGCGGACCAGCAGGGTTTATATAGCTTTCGGCTTGTGTCCGAGAACATTCTGGGCTAAACCGGTAAGAATTCGTTCCATAAGGTTCTCCATCAGGCCATGGTATATCGCCAATTTTGTCGCCAAATGTCGCGAAATAGGCGATTTCTCGCCAAATGTGGCAACTTTGCCTTGCCTAGTCATTTTTATGGCAACCCTAAAACTGATTTGCGGGGAAGCTATCTCACCGCCCCTGTACATTTCGTAACAATATGTTACTCTACCCCGCGCCTAAAACAGTATTGCAAATAAAAGAAATAAACATTCTATAGCTAAACGTGACGAGTTTAAGCAATATAGGGAGCTGATCAGCGGTAAGTGAAAGAGTTTGACTAGCGTAAATCGTTATTCTTCATGCGGATTTCGTGTGGTGTGCATTGCTACACGAATGTGGAACTCGCTTACATGCATTTTATTAATAGAACAGCGGGTCGAAACCGCTAGCTGCTCAAAAGGAATCGTCCTCTGTATTTCTTCTGTGTAACCACTCCGTTTTAGCGACAACACCACAGATAAAATGCATGTCTTTGAGTTCCACACTCGTGTAGCGATTTATACAGCACGACATTCACATAGGAATACCATCAGAATGTTTTCATTAACCGCTCAATAGCGCCTTGTGCCACCTCAACAGGCCATTTCCTCACACACATTCTAGTATAAAATCTTCTTATTTAGGCTCCTTGCTTTTACGATCGACCAACGGCCAAGGGGTAAAGTCGCTGAACACTGCTAGTTCGATCCGAGGTTCGAATCCCGCGAATGGGCTCGGGGTTTTCCCCATGTGTAACGCGTATACCAGCCAGTTTCCCTTATAGAGTACTCCACGAAGGCATTCCCCCTCCCCTTAGGCATATAGCCCTCGAGGCTTTGCCGTAGTCACATAAACCAAAACAACCACTTGCTTCTACAATTTTGACAGATGATTTTTTTAAATCACTTTGACTATCAAGAACATAAATGTAACTGAGAATATTTTCTTAAAAGAATAACGAGGCCGAAAATGGTCTCGTTGTCTTACGAAAATACTTAACCACTTCTGAAATGATGAAAAGAATAATGAATCCAAAACAATTACATACTTTGATATAGTAGTTTCAGTAATCTTTCGTATACTTTTTGCAAAACTAGTTTTACCGTCTCGACAAGTAAATTGCTGATTAAATTTTCTTGGCGTCTTTGTAAAATTAAAGTGTATGCGAATGCGAAATTTCATAGTTTTGGTAGTTGAAACTTTAATACTTACTTCTGCGGTATCAGACTTCGGTGGGTCGCTATCAACAGATGCCTCGACAAGCAGCCTATAATGGCTTTGCTGTACACTGTCGAGAGCTTTCACGAGACGAATGTCACCAGTGCTCATATCCACATCGAATGCGTCGATCTCATCCTTATCTAAAATAATTAAACATCACTTAAAGGCACTCCTTATTATAAAATTGAAAGTAATAATTATAAAAGACTTAAAAGTACCTAAAGTAATAATGATAAAAGTAACCTAAGTATAGGCGTATAAAGTATACTAAAATAGGTGTTTATTTCCAACGTCATTTATGTTTCTTCAATGCTCTGATCAATTTGCGCAGCGGAAAAAAGTGAGTGTTGCCATTCGAAAATTTTGAAATTTTTTTCACTACAACCGTAACTCTGAGAATTCCTTAGTTTTAAATCATCACAATCTCGAGCTCACACCTTCAAATTATAAGGTATTTCTCCCCGCCTTCGTAGCATGACTTCGTGGTGTAGTAGTCAGCACGCTCGGCGCGTATTCGAGAGGTCCGTGGTTTGAGTCCCGGCGAGGGCATTGCTCATGTTTCATCTCTCCTACTTTAAAAAAAATACCTAATATCTCTACAGTGGCGCCCGAGCAGGGACGTTTGGCGCGTAATCGAGAGGGCCAAACGATTCAATTTCTTGATTCAAAAATATTCTACATAACTCAGCACTGACGCCCGAACTAAAAAAAGATGGTGGATGCTGCTTCTCCACCGCCAGGATTTGGCGATTGTGTCTCCGAATCCCCAGTCGCCCTTTAAAAGGGGGAGTATATAAGGTATTTCTACCGCCTTCTTAGCGTGCCTTCGTGGTGTAGTGGTCAGCACGCTCAACGCGTATTCGAAAGATCCGTGCTTCGAGTTTCGGCGAGTTGCCCATTTTTCCTCTCTCTTACTTTCAAGAAAAATCTAATGTCTCTACAAAATAATAATATCTAAAATTTCATTTCGGTTGACCCAGCGGATAAGACTCTAAAGATAACTGTTTACTCATATCTTTGTTCGCAAAAGCAAAAGGTGGCTCATCGAGAATCAATCGGGGTTGCTTGAAACAAAACTAGGTGTTAAAGTGGTCGTTTCCCATAATCAGCGCTAAATCGCTCTGCTAGGCGACAATTTCATGGCCGACGGTGTAACACGTAAGTACTTATTTTTTTATGAAACACTGAGTACTTACGTATTATAATATATAACACTTATACGTATATATTATACTTATACGTATATATATTATACTTATACGTATATATTATAACTTATAATACTTATACATATTATATACGTAATACGTATTATAACTTATAATACTTATACGTATATATTATACCGTAATACGTATTATAAGTAAAATTTTTAAACCAGTTTTAGAATATTTGAATTTCCTTCAAGGCAAAATGAAAATTTTATCTCATAAATAAAGCATAGTTTTTCAGCAATATAAATACAGAAAACCGAAAATTAGATTCAAGCTTAATTTTCCTGATATATTTGTTACAAAGTGAAATACACTGCTGAGGAAAGAGGGTTGAATAATTCCATGTTTGGTATACGGTAGTGAACGCTACAAAGGCAAATAACTTCAGAGCAAATAATCAAACCTTGAAATATAATAAGCTTTATCTCATATAAAATATTATTTCTCTTTTTCTTAGTGTTATTAAAATCCAGCTTACAACATTTTATTGATAACATTACGTTAAGAGTAGCCGAAAGTTTAGTTACGTAATATTTAATTATTAAGAAGTTGTTAATTTGCTTTAATATTTTATTATACTTACTCAAAAGAGAATATTTAAAATCCCCCTTTCCAGCATCTAATTTGAATACTGTATCTCCAGGCTGGCGGCTTTCGGCTACCTCCAATGTGTAAACTGCTTTGGAGAATTCAGGCACTGCATCATTGGTATCCGCAACTGTAACCCAAAGTTTCGCTGTAGAGCTTAAACTCGGCGTTCCCTGATCGTAAGCTATGACAGTCATATTATAAAATGCTTGTTTCTCGTAATCCAAAGTAGATAATGTCCACACAGTTCCATCTAAAAAATTAGAACGATCATTCGTTTCATAATCGCATATACGAGTAAATCGCTATCTATACATATATGACATTCATAAGCTTTTGGAATAATCTGAATTGCTAAAGTCTCAGCATAAGCTAAAAGGACTCAGCTGCAAGTCCTCCAGTACGAAGACTTGGATCGTCACAAGTGTACAATGGTTCACAAATCAACTAGTTTGATTGATTACCTAAACTTCATTAACATATTTAATAGAGTGCTGAGATTTTGCAACAGTTCCGGGAATTATGGCTTATTATCGTGCAGGTTGTTGTGAATCTCTTATCACGCAGACTTATTAGAGACAAGGAATACGATCCGCCTAATAAACTACGTGCATTAACAGAATGAATGCATTTACCGACTAAGTCAGATAGCCAAGTCGAGGTCCTTAGCTTATACTTGATTCCAATGGATAAATTCGATTTCAAGTAAAATACGCCAAGAATATAGAAGTGGTGCCAAAGTGTTATGTTTAATTACCTCATAGCGGTCCCAAGGAGATACACTTTTGCTATTACTTCTTGCTCGTGCTGCCATCTATTAGCACAGATGAGAAGTGCGGTGTTACAAGCTCTCATTTTCCTTGAAGATGGTAAACGACCTTGGGGTTGGATCGTACATCTGCTTTGTGTCAGTTAGACATTTTATGCTTCGTACAGACGATGGTTTTATCGTCCTAAAGCTTTGTGGTTTAAGGCTAAAAGTCCATTTACACCTGCTTAGCAGGATTTACAATTGCCACTCAAGGAAGAGAACGTTGCACATGCGTAAATGTGTAGTTGACTCAGCGATTGGTGTTTGCTTCGCTGTGATTGGTGGCCTCTTATACCACGTAGCATAAAGCTGAAATGTTAGAACATTTAGGCAAAATCCTTAAACCAGTTTTTCTGACCTATCAAGGTCTGGTTGCCTAGCAACGAAGGTCGCCTTAGACTACTTACGATTTTAAAACCACCGTGTGAACGAAGCTTTACAGCTATCGCAAAAGTGCGACAGTACTTTTAGATATTTATACTGTTTCGTAGTGCGAGCGTCTGACTGGCACTCAGGATGGCTATAGACTCAGTTTTGGTAGACAAAAAAAGAAAAATTACCTCTAATTCCACAGGAATTGTTTTTTAAAAATTTTATGAAAAATAAAATTCAAAATTGTTATAGAAGCTAACCTACTAACTTTTCAGCACAGTGTCAAAAGATTATTCAGAACTATTTAAATTCTGTCTGTGCTATGTTATTATACGAAGAAGGGAGTTTATATTAGCTCAAAATACTTTTAAAGGCTTTATACCATAAATTATATCCCTGCAATTTTCTTCTGTATTTGTTGTCTTGCGTTTAGAAATATCAGAATTTTGCTATCATTTAGAAATACTAAAAAAATAAAATGTTTTTACCTTTGCTGTCGATGTAAAATTTGTTGTTGTGGCCTGTTCCTAGTTTGTAAAATACGAGTCCATTGTGACCAGAATCAGAATCGTATGCAGTGATTTGTGTGACCTGAAATAAAAGAAGTATAAGTTGTTCAGAAGAAGAATAAGTATTAACCGATAAGGGGAAAGCCTGATAGTTTAACCATTTTATATATATTAATTTTATATACATTGCAAAATATTAATTTAATTAAATGCAAAATGAATTATTATTAAATATTTATTTTTTGCTGTTGGCATAATTATTCGTATTGATAAAAAAATGTAAGTGTCATGCTAAATTCTGTACGTGCAAAGGAAATGAAATTATTAATAGAAAATGTATTTGCACAATTATTTTTTTACTTCTTATAAACCACAAGTCTTGGTCATTAAATAAGGTAAAACTTGTATTTCGTGCAGGAAAATGGCATGAAATGTGTAACACTAATATATATTTTACTATTATACTCTATACGCATTACTTTAAAGTATATTTTCGCATAATACTCTGTAAATATATAATTTTTACTAAATAGTTATTCAGTTTTTACGTTTACTCCTTTCAGCAGCATCTATTTTTCGTTCCTGAGGTCTTCAGTTGTTGGGGGGGGCGGAATTTGCATTTGGTGAAAGTCGCTACATTTATACTCCTTACATGTACAACAGATAAACTGAAACACACTGGCGAATGTTCAGTTTTACTCTGTTGAAATTATAACTCTCCACTATTTATAGCAAGATTAAATACTTTGTTAAGAATTTAAGTTCTTCCAAAATGAAAAATACTAAATACAATAAGCAATTTTTCTAGAAACATGCTCTCGACGAATCGTTTAAAATTTAGATTTCCAGCAAAAAGTATATTTTCATCAATAATTTATCTATACTCCAAAGGCTGCCCTTAGTATAATTTTAGGAGCAGTTTAGCCAATTCAGATGCAAGGCAGAAAATAACCAAGAAACCTTTTCCACTAATAAGAAGCAATAAAATACTTCTGCGTGGAAACCTATAAGAAATGTGGTGGTTGGAACTCTGTTTTAAGGCATCCGCTAATTCACTCAAGTATTAAAAGCAAAATTTTTCTTTTATACCTGTATAAAGTAGGCTGTGTTGATTTTTGTTAGAAGTTAGTTATTTTGAAGTTTAGTTCAAGATCTCTTTAGGTTACTGCCGGTAATAACTCTTACTTCGAATTTAACAAATGTCTTATATTAAAAAACGTTTATTTCGTACAAAAAATTTAATTTCTAACTTAAATTTTACATATAAAAATATTAAATCCGGATATAAACTTATTACAGTAAACACCCCACATTAAGGGATGCATTTTATGTGTAAATATAATGTAATAAAATTCCCGATAATATTCTTCACTGTAATTTAGACAACAAATAAAGGGGGAAATACAGCATCCTATATAACGAATATCAAAATGACAATAAATAAAGAAAATATTACAGTACTTTACATCCCGAATCACCAAAATAACGAACATCAAAAAGACAATAAATTATAAGATAAATAAAGAAAAACAATCCATTAGTCAACATAACGAAACTCCAAAATAACGAATTTCTATATGATAATAAATAAATGCGATTAAAGGAAACAGTTACAGCAGTCTACATGCTGAATCTCCAAAATAACGAGTATCAAAATTGACAATACATGAATACAATAAATAAATAAAACAATTACAGCAGCCTACAACCCGCATCTCCAAAGTAACGAATATCAAAATGACACTAAATAAATACGACAAATAAAGAAAAATCTTACAGCAATCTACACCACGAATCTCCAAAATAACGAATATCAAAATGACAATAAATAAATACGATAAATAAAGAAAACAATTACAGTAGTCTACATCCCGGATCTCCCAAATAACGAATATCAAAATGACAATAAACACGATAAATAAAAAAAGCTTACAGCAGTCTATACCACAAATCTCCAAGATAACGAATATCAAAATGACAATAAATAAAGAAAAAACCTTAGAGTAGTCTATACCATGAATCTCCAAAGTAACGAATATCGAAATGACAATAAATAATTACGATAAATAAAGAAAACAATTACAGTAGTCTACATCCCAGATCTCCCAAATAACGAATATTAAAATAACAATAAATTAATACGATAAATAAGGAAACCAATTACAGCAGTCTACATCCCGAAACTCCAGAATAACGAATATCAAAATGACAATAAATAAATATCATAAATAAAGAATAAACATACAGCAGTCTAACACCCCGAATCTCCAAAATAACGAATATCAAAAACACAATAAATAAAGAAAACATTTACAGCAGTCTATACCAAGAATCTCCAAAATAACGAACATCAATTGACAATAAATAAGTAAAATAACAAGAAATAAAGAAAATGAATAAGAAAAAATTGCATAAGCCTTCCTTACGAATCTCCAGAATAAGGAATATCAAAATGACAATAAAGAAAATAACAATAAATAAAAAAAAATTACAACAGTCTACATCAGATTCAAAACAGATATCAAACAGCAGAGCGCCTATATGAAACGATACCACTGGTGTTAAATCACTCGAGCGTTAGATGGAGATTAGCTCCAAATTATTAATACAAAACTAGGCGAACAATGCGTCTTTGAGCTGTTTATTAAAAGTTGTCTGTCAACCAGCTTTTCTATCTGATAGGCTACAGTCACACATTATAGAAAATTTCTGGACTTTAAAAAGTATGCATGTATTTACAAAACGGAAGAGTAACTAAATTTCTCGCTCATGTAATTTTATCTTTTTACCACCCCAATCACAAAGCTACAAAGCCATTCCATCATAACAAAGTAGAAGGAGAACTGACTCCACTGTTGCGTTAACGCAAAGTTCACTAAACTACAATCATTATTGCTTCTCTGGTGAGAGATCATCAATCATGCCCCTTTCACTATCGGTGTCAGGCGAGTAATAAAGAGATGTGTTTACCTAATACACCGCAAGATGTTGTTATTTTATATATTTTTTTAAGGCTGAGTACCCTTAAATTATGGTTTATGCGCAGTTTTATCAATTAAAGAATGAATGGGTCGGTAAAAGATCTAGAATTTTTCAAAAGATCGAAAATCTTTGGGGAATTCTTAATCCATAAGCCATCTTCTGAGTATGTTCATCAACGTTAAAAACAAAAGTAGCCTAAAAACATAAGGAAATATAACAACTGTGTACTTTTTCCAAGTAATATTCTCACAGAGATGTTTCAGCAGAAATGATTCAATTGCTAGAAATTGTTTAAGCCATCTTAAATGAGTCATTAGGTTATTTTGATGCTGGAGACGTAAGAAATGAGAAATGTCCTCGCCGGGACTCAAACCTGGACCTCTCGAATACGCGTCGAGTGTGCTGTCCTTACACCACGAAGGCATGCAGAAAGGAAGGAGAAAATACCTTATATGCTCCCTCTTTTAAAGAGCGACTGAGAATTAGGGGGTCCATTCGCCAAATCCTCATGGTGAAGAATCACTATCTACCACATTTTAGTTCGGGCGCCATTGTAAAATCATTAGGTTACTTTCGATGTCAGGAAGGTGAAAAATGAGCACTGCCCTGGCCCGGATTCTAACTTGGGACCTCTCGAATACGTGCCGAGTGTGCTACCGTTACGCCGCAAAGGCATGCAGAAAGGAGGGAGAAAATACAGGTTATAGTGATTAGCTGTGTCGGCTGCACGTTTGTACGTATAGACGTCACAAAAAAAAACATTTTACAATCCGTTTTGAAATAAAGAGTCCTTTCTGTCCGAACGTCTAGACATCACGCAAAAAATAGTCAAAATGGATTCGGAAACGATGTTGAAGATCAATTTATTGCGAAAATCTTGCTTAATTTTTTTTTCAAACTTTTAAATTCCGTTGAAATCTGATAACTGAAATTTTCCATTATCACAGTACTTCTTTTACTTCGCACAAGTAAATAAAAACGTAAAATGTCTGCATGAATAAATTGAACCCTAAACTTTGGTATTTTTCATTGACACAATCCTGCTCTCATCTAAATTAATTTTTTTTTTCATAACTCGAGAAAACTGTAAAGTCTGCAATCTAGAATAGCATGTTAATTACATGCAGTAATTTTTCACTTTCTGCCCATCTAGCTGTAACTCCTTTACACTAAAAATTCTTAACTTTTAATGTGCGAATCCCTAAAGATTGAAGAATTAATGACTACAGAATTACGATTAATTTACTGCAGTAGAATCTTGCTTAATATTTCATTTTTTGCAAACGATTAAATTCTTAAACTCAGTTATTTAGCGGATTTAAAACGTAAACAACTTACGAAATTAAATTGTGATAGTTTCGCGAAACTTACTATCAAGAATCACCATCATTTTGGACTTCTAATTGTACATACAGAACTACTACAAAAGCTATCACAAGACATTACTTCTTTTATGAACAAATACGTACAGATATTACATACAAAGCAGATATAGAAATCGATTAGATAACGAGTCAAATTGATGAATACCCGTTTCAAACAGTGAATTAGATGTTAAAAATAGTAATAATTAGTAACAAAAATTCACGTAATCATGAGTAAACTTGCAGGACTACAGCTTCGAAAGTTAAATAGAACCTTTCTTCGTCAGCTGCAGGGATGAACTTGACGACGGAGAAACGTGTGCTTATACTTTAGCAATAAATGAAATTCGAGAAGGTTCCAGTGGAAAGATCGAAAACAAAGTTATTGACATCCTTTATTGACAAAAAATTGAAAAAAAAAGCAACTAAAAAGAGTTTCTTGGAAAGGTTATGGTAAATAAGGATTATAATTTGGATCATCAATTGAAACAGAAAGAACTTTATGAAAGTGAAACGCTTACAAGAAATTTAATTTGTCAACATAATTTTGAATAATTTTAGCTGCAGAGGAAAGGGTAATATAATTTTCGGACCAGCAATGATGAACAGAGGAGAATTTGTAGAGACATTAGGTAATTTGGAAAAGCCAAAGAGATGAAAAATGAACAACGCCTTCACCGGGAATCGAACCACGGACCTCTGGAATACCAGTGTGCAGAACCACTACACAATGAAGGCACGCTAGGAAAGTGGGAGAAATACCTTATATACTCCCCTTTTTAAAGGGCACAACCCTTTTAGTTCGGGCGCCACTTATAGACATTAGGTAATTTGGAAAAGCCGGAAAGATGAAATATTAATAACGCCTTCGCCGGGAATCGAACCACGGACCTCTAGAATACCGGCTCAGTGTGCAGATCAACTACACCACGAAGGCACGCTAGGACAGTGGGAGAAATACCTTATAAATTTATAAGATTTACTCTAGAAAAAAAATTGTAACTACAATTAAGGTAATACTTGCAAACTTTGTAAACTAAACTTTTTTTTTCCTATGGCAGATTGTGAACAGTTACAGATGTAACCCAGTCCATTAATCTATAAAGGCCGGATGTGGTGTTCTCTTTATTATGGAGGCACTAAATAAGTGGGCCACCATCGCCTTCCCTATGAAGGGACGGACAGTTACAACCATGTCTTCTCCGGGATTCGAACCCAGGCCCTTCGGCATCGCTGTCAGCTTCCCTGACCACTATACCGACTGACCGGCTTGTAAGCTAAACTTGAGATTCTAATAATCTGTAAGGCAAAACATAAAAATCCTGTACACATCGAAGTATTTTCTTAGCTCATTCTAAGCAAAAATGCATCGTTAATGGCCAGAGATCGGGTCAAATTGTCATCGTAACAAAATTTGTACGATGACAATTTGCACGATGTTATGTGCTTGTATAACAAAAGTTGTACGATGGTATGTGCTTGTTAGTTAAAGAGGCTCCCGCTTAAGTCTGGAAATATTTGAAATATGCACGCATGACAGATTAAGATTTTTAAAGGCCTTAAAAACAACTTTAAGCACTTAAAAACAACTTTCGTGTCTCCGTATACATTTACAGTATAAAGCCTGTATATTCCGCATTCCTTCCCCCTCAGTCTTGATTTAGCTGCACTATACGTTTCATACTAAAACCTACAATAGAAAATTTTTGTGTCCTTCTTTCCTTGAATTCTCAACCTGTCATTGTGTCTCTAAATTGTGCTTAATGATTTATTAAAAGATCTATATGTGCGTTACTTAGAACTATACAAAATCTATAGATCACTTGATGTAGTAAAATTCTTCAAAATACAGGGACTTAAATGGGCTGGTCATTTGGCCAGAATGCGTGAAGATTGGTGCTGTAAGAAAATCTTTCTGGCAAAGCCCATGGGAACCAGACCTCGAAGTAGGCCCCTAGTGAGATGGATGGATTACGTTGAAAATAACCTAAACATTGTAAATGTCAAAAACTGGAAAACAATTGCCAAAAGCAGTAATACCTAGAGAAGGCCGCCCCCTTCCTCTAGGCTATCCAGCCAATGAAGAAGTATACATTACAGATTTATAAGTAGGTAGGGCAACTAAGGGCTGTCTACTTTAAAGAGAAAGTACTAAAAGAGATCTTCAAAGTTATAAAGAACCATTTCTTTACAAAGTTCATTAATTTCTTATTTAATCTGGGTGGTGTAAAATACTCAGAACAATATCCATCCTCAAAAACAACAAAAGTACAGACAATCAAATAGAGACAGTTCATTGTGAAATTATAAGAAAGCAAATCCTCACTGAAACTGCAATAAATATTCAAATATAATTACACGAGTTTCTAAAACCATTCTCAAAGAAAGATTCGATAATTAAATACTTCAAGCAGTCTCAAATTAATTTTGACTTCAATTCTTTTATAATCTATGCAGACCTAACCTGAGATCTAACTTCCTAATTTAAACTATTATTTACAAGCATATAGAAGCTGGCTGATTTTGATACACTCAGTTTTCGACATATATATATATACAGTAAGATAGAGAATTTCCAAAGTATTCTCCTAATATACGTTTTTATTCTAAAATCTAACTATCGACATAGTTCAACTTCATTTTGAACTTAAAAGGAGCTTCGAAGTAATCGATTTTAAATATTTCATTACCTTAGTCTGGATTCAGTTTGAACTGCAATTGAAACTTACAGTTAGCTTTTCAGGCTAACGAAATATGTGATAAAAAATAATTCAAAATAGAAGAAATTGTTTCCTGTGCTTGGCTGTCTACCCAGCATATAAAAAAAGGAAGCACATTTTCTTCCACTTTTGCTTTGGTTCTATTACTTTTTACATTTCTTTCTTCACCAATTACTAAAAGCTTTAAATTGCTTTCATTTTATCTTATCTCGCTTTCTTCGCACTCAAAGAGAGTAATAGATTTCAGAAAAATTTTTGTTTTTGAAAACTTACTTTTTGTCCTGGATCTAAATTTTCTTGAACATGGGCAAGATAGGGATCGGTGTAAAATCTAGGTGGCTCGTCGTTCACGTCGATAACTTCGATGATGACATCAGATGTTGAGTTGAGCTGTGGTTCGCCGAAATCGGTAGCCTAAATTGTATAAAAAAATTCCACATAAGCTTATATATGTCATTATTCAGTTTGTCTTAGTAAGACCATAGTTTCCATACCAAACCACGAAACCATCACACCCCCTCTGCCGTTCACCTAAATGCACTTATTAGGTTATTTTAAGCATTTAACGCTTTGATAAAAACAAATTGAGAATGATGTCAGATGTATATGAAAAAAGTATTTTTTAGAATTTATAAATTAATAATCTTCAAACAAGTTTTCTCTACAAACGACAGCTTTTCAGATTCGTGATTTTGGCTGAGTGATGATTTACACCATATATGCAAATATATAAAAAACCATGGCTAAAAAAAAGACGTGCCTAGATAGTAACTATTTTATAAGCATTCTGTCGTTAACATGCCAAAGTCATTAGTTAATTTTTTCGTTATTTTCACCTAGCATTTATCAGGTTGTTTTAGATATTTTATTCTATGTTCAAAAAACGAATGCATATTCCATGAGTTGCATGTGAAAGAATAATTCTGCAGCGTCATAATTTAATACCATTTAAAGGTGTTTTCTAGAAAGGGTAGTTTTTTTTAATTCGTGGTTTTTGCCTTAGTGAAGAATTACTAGATTGTAAACAAATTGGAATTTTTTTTTTTTTTTTTTTTTTTTTTTTGTTTACGAAAAAGACAGCATATGCAACGTATCATATTTGCGCAGTAGTGATCAGTTATTTGTAATGAATACATACCATCTGTAAATAAAAATTAGCAATAATACAGTATTTTTTAAAATCCTAAAGCACATACTTTTCGTCTGCAGAAACTACTAAAAATGGAGTTGCGTCTTAGAAACTCAATTTTTTCTAAACTGTTAAACATTCCGAAGCAATTAACTTTTATAAATTATTAATTTAAATAGAACTATGCTTAATTTTTATTAAATTGAAATCGTTAATTAAAAATATCTGCTAGATTAATTTAGCGCTTATTTCACTCATTTTATTCTCTTTAGAAGATTTTTTATGACTATATTACAATTGAAAAGTTTTGAAAAGAATTAATTTTAACAATTGAAAAAAATAAAGTAATAATTAATGATGTATAACAAATCAATAAATAAAACAAAATTCTGCTTAATTTCGAATAAAGTATCAAACAAGATATTCATATAATTAATTATTAAATACGAGAAATTTTCAATTGATAAATTACATGCAGTGGACTTATTAAATATCTGCAATGCTCTTAAGGAGATTATAAACATTTAATAAGCTAATAGTAAAGTATTAAACCCTGCATTCATATTTATACGCTTTTTTCTCTTTCTTTCTATCATATGCTACATTGCCGTATTAATCATTAGGCAATTATGAAGCAGAAGACATGAAAAATGAACAATGCTCTAGCCGGGAGTCGAATATAGACCTCTCGAATATGCACCGAGAGTGCTACCGTTACACCACGAAGGCATGCAGAAAGTAGAAATAAAATACCTTATAATATGGAAGAAAAGAATTCTCATCTTTCAGTCTGATCTTTAAGAGACAGCACACCAATGAAAATGTATACATGTAGCGTTTAAATAGTAAGCACGTAAAAGATGACAGGACAATGATATCCTTGTTTTATCAAAACATTACTTAAATAAGCAGACACCGAACAGATTCGCGCATGCGTATTTGTACTCACAGATGAAATGGTCGTGGGATGATAACAATTATAAAAGTTTTACATTTTATGAGCAGTGTATTTCTTAAATTTTCAAAATTTCCACAGCATTCAATAATGTATGAGATTATGAGCGGCAGATTTGGATGTCTAAAATATTAAATAGTTGAATATATGAGGTATGGACACTTAGCATGAAGAGAAATTTGTACAAAATGTATAAAATGTTATTATTAAAAAAATGCCAGGCCATTAACTATCAGGTTATTAGACAAAGCGCTTTCCAACAATTTTTAGCAATGAAATCGAAATTATTTAATACGAAACTTTCGTCCAGCTGAGAAGCAGTTATGTGTTGTCTTGAGTTCCACAGAGGAATTCATGTGAATTAGTCAGTTTAAAACGAAATAAACTGGCACGAAGACAATCGTTTCCGGTTAAAAATCTAAAGTCAGCTACAGCAGCAGCACGGGTTGAGTCCTCTGTTACAACTGTTACCGTGAAAGACCGAAATATGAGAATGTCGACTTTCAGCGGAGAATGTCAACATTCACTAAATACGCCGGTCAAAGATCAAATATTGCATTACATTCTTGTACATTCGGACCCTCATCGGCCTCAATATGTCGACAATCACAGATATGTTCTGGTGTAGGTCGAAAAGATAGGAGTATATGTACACGCTGTCATTGCAAAAGGAAGTGTTCCACAAATAAATGCAGTTGTAAAAGCAAGGGCCTCTTGTGCAATTCAAAGTGTCATAATAGTTTAAGTTGTTGCAATAAATAAGATTTGAATCACATAATTTAGCACGTTTTTACTTCTATTAATTTCTGTTCTCATTTTGAATGTACTGTGTGTTTTAAGTTCTTATATTCTTAAGTTCTCATTTTAATAAGTCTTTTAATAATTCATAAGTGCGTGTTTTTGCGACTGAATTACGGAGAAGAAAATATAATATTCTTATATGTTCAACATTCACCATTAGTACATGGTGAATGTCGACATTTACCGGTGTAAGTCAGAAATATGAGTATTTGAAAAATATTTCATTTAATTTTTAATTTCACATACACCAAGCGACTATGCGAATGTTGACATTCACCGGTGAAAGTCGACATTCTCCAGATTTCAGTAACATTACCACAAAGCACACACCTGGGCTTAATACCAGCAGCGTGGGTAGGCAGATGACGGAACGACTGCTTGGAAATTCTCTTTATTTGTAATTTAGCAGAGTGGAATGGAAGGTCTTTGTAAAACCTTTGGAGAATATCAGTTCCCTTTTTTGCAAAAGGTTCACCATCTCATTTCCATGTATAAAAATTGTGCAATTGTTTATTAACATTAAAAATCGAAAGAAAATTATATACTAAACAAAACGTTTAATTGCATAAAATGTTAAATTAAATCATTGGTAGAGGCTACAATCTGTTTCTCTCAAACATCTAAAACGCTCGTGTATACGAATTTTTGTCAGAATGGATTTCCTTTGCCCATGCCAAGTAGAATGCTAACAAACTATTCAACTGAAACGATTATTTCTCTCTTGAGGATCTTAATGCAAATTTATCCCGCGTGTGCAGTTTTCCCTTTAGATAGGATTGCAACTGGAGTATCAGTAGCTAAACGTTGACGCTAAAGAGAGGAGAAGGAAGGTGCATTCAAACAAGACAGCTACTTATTACTCGCTCGAAAGAATGATTGACATGTCATTTAACAACTCCAATGAAACCAATGAGTCCAGCACCAAGTGATGGGGGGAAAGCGGCAGATAGAAAATAGACGCAGGCTTTCGGATGACCTACCGATGTCTGAATGCACGGGCGTTTCGAGCAACTTCGCTCGGAAATGGTTACTTATAGCAAACATAATAAAAATCTCTTTGGAAATATACTTACAAGAACCTGGAATTTGTATGAGCTTTTTGACTCTCTATCGATAACTCCCTGAGCATATAAATCACCAGTACTGCTGTCCACAGTGAAGGGGAATTCTGCAATGAAAATCAATATTTTGGTAAAATTGTTATTAATTTTAATTTGCAACTGATAATCAAATGAATTAAAAATGATAAATCAAAAAATAAATATACGAATATTAGTACGCTTTAATGTGACGTCTCCAACCCATGATTTTAACATATTTGAAAAGTTGCGATGCATTAACACACAGAAATATTATTCTCATTGCAGGTTAACTAATTAAAAATATTTGCGTATAACGAAATTTCTATGCCGTAGTCTACCGTAAACCTTTCTTCGAACGAGCTTTCCTATCTAAGAATACATAAAATCGAAACAAACTTTGTTTAACCCTTTGACCACGGGTACAAAATTTAGTACTTACGTATTGACGCAACCTCTTCGGCGCAATTCGGCAGTTTTTTACAGATGAAAATGTAAAAGTTACTTATCGGTTACAAGTTGGTGGTTTTCGCGCTTTTTTTAAAAAGATCCGCAGACCATCTATATTTATTATAAGTCGGCAAACACTATCAACATATAAAAAGAAAACATACTTCGCAATTTAAAATACAAATTTGAATTATTACATATGGATTACGTGAAAGATTTAAAAAATGTAACAAATTTTTCTTCAAGTCTTTCTGTAAATTTTTTTGCGCTATTCTTCTCCCGAAGTACACAGCGATCTGTTTTCGTTTACAAAAACATTAGCGAAATGTGGATGCTCAGCTTCGTGCAACTCTCGTAAACTGTGGTCATCTGGAAAATGCATTTTTAGGTGTTCTTTTCAGAAAATGTTTAGTAAAATTCTGTGTTCCTGCAGAAACTTTACCGTAGTTTCTTCTATTGCTGGCAAGTTTAAGACAAAAAATATCACGATTTGTTTATAAAAACCGTTGGTACTTGAAATACAACAAAAAAGAACGTACATGAAAATGGAGGCGCTGCTTAATTGAGAGATTGTTACGAGCATAGTTGCCGGAAGAATGGTAGTCAGTGTCAGACACATTCTGAAAATTTGGCGATTTCTACTAAGGTGGTTGCGTTAATACGTAAATACCCAAATTTATAAAGCGTTATAAAGTTCATATCTTTTCTCTTGCGAAATTGATCGCAGCTGAAGTCCCAGTTTCTTCCCATGCGATAAGAACATTCCCAGTATATACTCAGGATACAAGGTGAATTCGTTATTGACAGATTCCGTGTTTAGAGGGTTAATATAGAAAAAAATCATTAAAGACTTACATTGTTTTAGTGTCTCAATGTTTATATGCTTTATAGCATAGTTCTTGTTTTACGCAACAGATGGCGCAAAGGTTAATACATTTTTTAATTATTTAAACGATAAAATTCCTGCAAAATGACCTGAGATTTTTTATTTTTTTTTTTTTTTTTTTTTTTTTGGAAAACGAGAGACTTATATTGGGTTCTCTCAAAATGTACATAACTTATCAACAAAATTGTCCTAATACAAAGATGAAATTTGCTTAATTTTAACTAGTAATCTCCAGGCATTGAATACAGGGAGTAAACTACGATAAACCGACAACAGATTAACCAAGCTCTTGACACCATGGAAAAAAATGTTGTTGCAAACACTCAGCGCCAAACAAAACTGAATCTGGAAAATTCAAAATGAGATATACAAGTTCGAAGGATAATATCTCTCCAGCAAAAATAAAAAATTATAAGCAGCTCCTTTACGCGAGCCTGAAAGCAATGACAATATTCTTTTGAAGATATTATTCTTTAATCTTCATTTATAACTAGATTTTTTATTTGTTTATTCTTCCATTGCTTATAAAGTGTTCCTCTTATTTTTAATATCGACTTAATTATCTTAACCAAGTAAACTTACTCTCCAAGTAAACATGCTTGAAAATACAAGTAAATTGTTAATAGTACAGAGTGGTCCTAAAAAACTTGCCCGATGTATAAACACTTAGAAACCTACCCGCAAAACTAATCAAAATGAAACTTCAGATATTGTTATTCGAAAGTATTGTGATGATTTAAAACAAAAGAGCTCGCACGGTTATGGTACAATGAAAACATTTGAAGTTTTTGAATGGCAAGATCCACTTTTTCCCTGCGCAAATTGATCAGCGCATTGAAAAAAAGGTGTTGGAGCGGCACACGTACGACGAAAATTGCCTTCGTAAAACATTTGTAAAGAACAGAATTGTAAAAGACCAATGACAGCACTTGAGGAAGAGACCAATGACAGCACTTGAGGGAGAGACCAATGACAGCACTTGAGGGAGAGACCAATGACAGCACTTGAGGGAGAGACCAATGGCAACAAAAAAAAAAAAAAAAAAAAAAAAAACTTTTATTGGAATAAAAAATTTTCAACGTGCAGTATCATTTTCGCAGATGATACCGCATAGCATGCGGAAGATTATTCATAGTAATGACGAAATGACGAATGTAACATCTCACGAAGAATCTGCGTAACTCCACGATTTAGGGTACTTTTTAGTTCTGACGATAATGTACACCACAGATTTCAGATAACCCCAGAACCAGAAATCCCTCGGAGTGAGGTCGCGGGATCGTAGTGTCCATGAAACTTTCAAATTTAGATGACTCAATTTTGAAACATTGTACATGTTGAAAACGTGTAATTCAGATAAAAGTTCCCCCCCCCTTGGGCTCTCTTGTGTTGTCATTGGTCCTTTACAATGCTGTTCCTTGCAAATGTTTTCAGCCGCCAGTTTTCGTCATACGGGTAAAGCTCCAATGCCATTTCTGGCTTTTCGATGCGCTGAGTTATTTACATAGAAAAAAAAGGGTGCTGCCTTTCGAAAATTTCGAAATATTTTTACTGTAACCGTAACCGTTAGAGCTCTACACTTTTAAAGCATCATATTCTCGAGTGCATACGTTCAAACAACAATTGGATTGAATTATTTAATTATGGCAAAGCACACGAGGGTTATCTGCCTAAAGGGAGGGATGCCTTCGTGGAGGACTTTCTAATTCGAACAACAATATATGAAATTTCATTTCGATTGGTTGAGAGCATTGGCCACTAGGGGTTCATATATCGTTAAAGTTTCTTTATGACCGTCCTGTATTCTTCTGCTAATTACAACACAGCTTTTAATCTTGTACGTATTTTTTAACTCCTCTCGGATTAAACGTGATTTTATGATAACCGTGGATGTCGTCCGCTGCATTAAGCCGAAGTAATCGAGAGCTAAAGCAAGATATGTTTACAAGCAAGAAACAATAAGTTCATTTCAAGGAAATTAGAAAATGTTTTATACCTATAAATCCAATAAAAAAATAATAGTTTGGAATTTATTTTGACAACTGAAGCATAATTTATTGAATTTTAGCTTTTAAACTGCGATTTACTCAGAATATTCAATTCCTTTTAACATATTCATTAAAACATAAAGGAACGGATCTTTTTTTATGTAAGACAATTTTTTTAGATTTCTTTTTCATAATGCAGATAGCATTATTTTGTCAAAAACACAGGCAGTTTTTTTAATCGTTATCAGATGACTGAGCAATAACGTTCATTTTCTTTAAATGAATTTTTTCTACTCCGCTGGTCGTCGCTGCGAAATGTAATTAACCAGAATACGAATAAGATTTTTTTTCGAGGGGTGCGGGTGGAGGGACAAGGCTGATCATAGACCTTACCCCTCCCCTCACACGCAAACAAATATTTCGAATCTCTCAGTCAAGCGTTAACATTTCTTTTTAATTGGCATTCGTAAATTCATATCACATTATCACAGCAGCATTTTTTTCTTTAGATTTCCCATTACGATTTTATGAACTTATAGTGGAATATCCTGTTCCGAAATATTGTCCTATTATAAGAATATAAATAAAAGGATTACATATTCATCAATCCTCATATTCTATCGCTTTTCCATTCTAATTAAGTTTTAGATTAGCATAAACAGTTTTTTTTTAATATAATAAAAGGATTACTATTCATCAATCCTCATATTCTTCGCTTTTCCATTCTAATTAAGTTTAGATTAGCATAAACAGTTTTTTTTAATAATATAAATAAAAGGTCAATCCTCATATTCTATCGCTTTTCCATTCTAATTAAGTTTTAGATTAGCATAAACAGTTTTTTTTTAATAATATAAATAAAAGGATTACTATTCATCAATATTCTACGCTTTCCATTCTAATTAAGTTTTAGATTAGCATAAACAGTTTTTTTTAATATATAAATAAAGGATTACATATTCATCAATCCTCATATTCATCGCTTTTCCATTCTAATTAAGTTTTAGATAGCATAAACAGTTTTTTTTAATATATAATAAAAGATTACATTCATAATCCTCATATTCTATCGCTTTCATTCTAATTAAGTTTTAGATTAGCATAACGTTTTTTAATAATTAAATAAAAGGATTACATATTCATCAAGCCTCATTCTATCGCTTTTCCATTCTAATTAAGTTTAGATTAGCATAAACAGTTTTTTTTAATAATATAAATAAAAGGATTACATATTCATCAATCCTCATATTCTATCGCTTTTCCATTCTAATTAAGTTTTAGATTAGCATAAACAGTTTTTTTTAATAATATAAATAAAAGGATTACATATTCATCAATCCTCATATTCTATCGCTTTTCCATTCTAATTAAGTTTTAGATTAGCATAAACAGTTTTTTTTAATAATATAAATAAAAGGATTACATATTCATCAATCCTCATATTCTATCGCTTTTCCATTCTAATTAAGTTTTAGATTAGCATAAACAGTTTTTTTTAATAATATAAATAAAAGGATTACATATTCATCAATCCTCATATTCTATCGCTTTTCATTCTAATTAAGTTTTAGATTAGCATAAACAGTTTTTTTTTTAATAATATAAATAAAAGGATACATATTCATCAATCCTCATATTCTATCGCTTTCCATTCTAATTAAGTTTTAGATTAGCATAAACAGTTTTTTTAATAATATAAATAAAAGGATTACATATTCATCAATCCTCATATTCTATCGCTTTTCCATTCTAATTAAGTTTTAGATTAGCATATAAACAGTTTTTTTTAATAATATAAATAAAAGGATTATTACATTCATCAATCCTCATATTCTATCGCTTTTCCATTCTAATTAAGTTTTAGATTAGCATAAACAGTTTTTTTTTTGTAATATTTACTTTAATTTACAGTTTATAAAGTTCCATTTCAAGCAATTATATTTGAGTTAGATATTATCTAATAAAACATTCTATTACAGATATCATTGTATATCTGTATATAGATTCATAAAAAAAACTAATAAAAACGGCTTCTAGTAAGTAAAAAAGACATTTTTGGAATCCAATTTTAGGCAGGTTGGCAATACATATTTGTATACTGTATGTATGATACCGCAATATTTTTATATGGCAGTTTATATATTTTTATATTAGTGTTGTATATTATTTTTATTCATTTATTTATTTCATTTTACACAATAAGTTTTATCCCAGAAGAAACGGCATTTTACGTCGATTCACTTTTCAAACTGTTGTCACCAAATATTATCGCCTTGCATTATATTTAAAGAAACTAAATAATGAAGAATCTGAATGAATATTTTTCTCACTGTAAGGAAACAACGGTACCTAGAGCCATCAAATTTTGAATAACGTAGTCCTTCAACCAAACATGAGCACTTGGGAGCCCGAATTTTGAATTTCGAATTTAAAATTTTGTAAAACTTTATCAATTTTAAAGCAAGCAAGAGCAGCATTGTACGAAAAAAGAACATTTTTATCTCAAGCACGCGAGACTGTGTATCAGAAATTCTAAAGATATGCTCAATTTAAAATTATTTTGCGATATTGCTCCTGAACTGAATTTTATGGTTTAAGTGCGAAGAACATGATATTTAATAAATAAAGGTAACACACAAAAATGTTAAAAAAAAACGCCTCTTTTTAAATATGCTCTTTTTAAATTATTTTGTGATACCGCTGTTGAATTGAATTTTATGCGTTTCAAGTGCGAAGAACAGGATATTTAATCAATGAAGGTAACAAACGAAACGTTAAACCCTTTTGGGTAATACAAAATCTGAAAAATTTCAGATTTTTTAAAAATTTTTATTTTATCTAATTTGTGGCCATTTGTGATTAAAAGTGTTTCTTTCGTGCATTATACTGCATACTAATTCTGAATCGATTCACTTTTCCGTTAGAATGATAGCGTAAAAAAAGGCAAAGATTTTCCAAAAATATTCTTCTGACTTTTTCCGATAAAATTAAACCTAATGATTATATTTACCGATTTCTTGCCAACTTTTCTACGTTTTGGGGGTTGCCGAAAAAAGAATTACTAAACCTTTCGATTGATTCTTCTCGAAGCTTCCAGAAGTGTTGGACAATTCCTATAATTATCAGCTACGCTGGAGCTAAGGGTCAATCAGTTCACAGTCATAGAAATGTCAGTCATTTCACAGTCATACAATTGTATTCAAGTTTAGACTTTATTTTTTGAGCAGTTTTAGCAACCGTCTGTAGTGATCTCATGCTAAGGATAATTTCCCATTTCTCCTTTTTCTCCTTCAGATATTTATAGCTGTTTATCTTACAAGAGGCTATTATTTAGTTCAATAAAGTTTTGATTTCTCCCTACTCATCTGACGCAATCATTAAGGAAATCCGTAGTTAGGTTTAAATTAAACGCAATTCTATAAGTGAAAATTTGAGAAAAGATTTTTATACTTTTTGCTAGTCAGAATATAAATAAATTCAGCACATTTATTAATAATAAGAAATTATATTTACTTTGTTCAAAAGTTGTTGTGATTAAAGAGTATTCGATCTGTCCATTTAATCCAGTATCTTCATCAACTGCTTTCAGCAGACCGAGTGCCATCCTGTTCTGACTATAATTGCCCTCCTTTACTTTAATGTTATACTCGACTCGAGAAAACGTTGGTTTGTGATCATTCACGTCCACCACCGTGATGTTGACTACTGTTGAAGCCGCTAAACCTTTACCATCGGCAGCTGAAACGTTCAGTAAGTATACTGTGCCCGGTTTCAATGTGCTTACGACGTAAATTTCACCTGTTAAGAAAGATAAATCATAAGCAGTGCACACATATAGCAATAAAATACATCACAAAGTGAAATGTCCGATTAGTAGTCACAAGCATTATAGAAATATATTTTTTAAGCTAATGTATTAGAAATTTACATTTGTTGATATGAGTTAGAAAAGAACAGATGTTTCCAATAAGTCTAACAATCAAAGAAACTAACCTACTGGAAAAAAAAGGCGGGGGAGTAGAAAGAACATGTTAATTAACCAGTTATTTTATGTTCCGAATCTGTACTGTAATTTCTCTCTCTCCGTTTCTCTGTCAAAATGCAAAGCTCACGTGTATTCAAGTGAGTGTTTGATATTATTTAGTCAGATCATGTTCTACCTGCTGAAAACCATGTTACCAGTTGTTATTCTAAGATAAGAGTTTCTGTATTCGGCGTTACTTTATTTTTTCCACTAATGCTGTCACGCCGGTGTAAGCTTAAAAGCCAAATTCCGCGTTTAAGTTAACCAACGTAGCCCTTGGCTAACAGCTCCTTAGATTTCAATTTAATATCTTGAGTTTATAAGGCATTTCTCCCGCCTTCCTAGCGTGCCTTCGTGGTGTAGTGGTCAGCACACTGAACCGGTATTCCAGAGATCCGTGGTTCGATTCCCTGCGAAGACGATAGCTAATTTTTCATCTAACCTGCTTCCGAAAAATACCTAATGTCTCTACAAGTTCATGCTATAAATGCTGGCTGATTTGTAAGTATGCTTTCTGCTAAACTTATTTTGTTTTAAATAAAGCGGGTCTTTCACACACTTCTTAAGTTCGGTTTCATATTACGCATAGCGATACGTCGCTTACATGACTGCTTGAGGATTTGCCACGAGTTCCATTTAATTACAAGCATAGTCTCTACAAACACAAGCCAATCGGTTTCCAAGAGTTCTCGAACCATGATGAACAGAGTCGCCCCACAGCCATTCTAATTGATCATTTCTCAGAGTAAACATCCTCGTTGACTAGTCGTTTTTGTTAAGTAGAAATTACGATGCCAAGTCTAAAGCAATGTATTTCAATGCTTTTTATATCATTGTTCACTTTAAACATAATCTCAAATCTTAAGTCAAGCAGATTTATTAAATTATCCAAACAAAATGTCTGCGCTTCATTCTGAGGGGTTTTTAGTCCACCAAATGATTGTCAACGTCAAACCATGTGCAAGACCAGAGAAGACGTTCTGCAGTATTAAAAACTAAATACAAAACATGAATGGACCAGAAATGATGGGTAAGAATGCTAGCCGCAGAGTTTACAAGGAATGCCACTGACAGAAGACTTTCAGTGGTAAGAAACTAAAAGTCAGACCAAACTTGGAAAAGAACAGTAAAGGAACAGAAGGCCAAAGAATGTACGGTCTAGCTATAAATAATCTGTTGTTGTTGTTAGTGATCTCATTTGGCTAACCTCATCAGAACAAACCCACGCGGCAAGGAGCACAAGATTACACCAGTCGTTCGCAAGAGTCTTGGAAACAAATAAGTTGCAATAGGATTTTGTCCAGCTCTACTCCATTTTTGAAGGAGTACCACGGGAAGGGGAAATAGTCCAAGTGTCTTCTATCCTTCTTCTTCTGCCATCAAACCACACGATAGGACTTGGCGTAAAAGGAAACCAGTAACAATTCACAAATCTCCAGTACCTTTGAATATTTGAATTAAATATCTTCTACGCAGCGCTTTTGCTTCAGAATTTTAATTCATTGCTGCATTCTGGGAAAGAAAAAGTCTGGATTAGTGTTCTCTCCAGTTAAAAATTGTATTTCTACAAACGTAGAAGCGAAAACTGAAAATCTGAAAAAATAATATTCTAAATTTAGTTTCAATACACGCACACTGGACAGGGATAGTTCCAATTTGTTTCCACGTAATTCCAATTTGTTGGATGTAATCCAGCGTTTCTACCAGAATCGTTCCAACTGATTTTTCCACTTTAAATTAACCTTTATGGCGCTTCTAGATGTCTCCTAAAGCCGCATTCCTCTACCTTTTCCAAATGAGGCATACTTTAATAAATAAGAATGTTTTGCGGGCCACTTTACTCATGCTTCTTTCGATAGTATTTTTTACATACATATTTTAGATACAATTAATTAAGATCAATTTAATTTTATACAGTAATTAATCTAGGAGAACCACAAGGTCAGGTCCGTGGTCCAATAATATTTGGTCCGTGGACTTCAGCGAAATAAATTCCTCTGGTTCTGTATTTTGCAATCAGCACATATTCAGGACGTAGAATCGGAGCTAACCAATTATCACACGCTAGTTTATAAGGTACGGCCATGTCCTTAAACACTAAGTGCTTTTTTCGTCCCAACAATCTACTCAAAATACATATGCTTTCACACTGAAGATTAGTTTTAGCAATGAAGTGAACGAAAACAAGAGATAGACAAAACAGCAAAATCTTTCACTATTGAATACGATGTGGTACTAACCTGTAGCCCTGTCGATCCTAACATCTCCTTTGTCTCCGGCTGTTATGATGTATTCTACTTTCGAGTTTGGTCCTTTAGCGTCAGCATCCAGTGCCAGAACCTCAGCAATCTTGGAACCAGGACGCGCAGTTTCAGGTAGCATTACCCGAAGCGGGCCATGTTGGAAAACAGGAGCATTGTCATTTTCGTCTGCCACTAATATGGTAAGATAAGTTGAAGAACTCAGGTTACCCATGTCTGTTGCTGTCACCTGAAAAAGAATATAACTCAATATGTGCATTGGTTTCGTTTCACACATCGAAAACAGAACTGAGATAATTTAATAGGCGGTATAAGAACGTCATGTGGCGTCGACATCAGATATTTTACAAAGAATTCTTCCACTTATCGAACTAATTTGAACTGCAGCACAGTTTCGTATTGATCCACAGTTGCAAATGGTGCTGATTTATTAATCATGGATAATAAAAGATAAAGCAGAAAGTTTGGATATGTACCTGTAAATCATATCTTTCTTTTCGTTCCCGGTCCAGTGACAATGATGGATCAGGAGCACTGAAGATGACCTGTCCACTCTCAAGTATGGTAAAGATTTCGCTTCCGGCACCACTGAGAGAGTAGCGAACGACCGAGTTGTTGCCGCTGTCGTTGTCCACAGCAGAGATGGGTGGATCCTGTGAATTTAAAAACACGTGAAATATACCCAGAAGACCAACTTAGTCCTTTTAATACTAGAAGACTTGCCAAAGGAAGAAATTCTTGAATCATTTCAAGAAAGACACCCCTATCTCCTCCGTTATAGTTTGAAAATATCCTTGTTGTTTTGCTCCCGAATTCTTGCCAAGCTGTTGTAATGATATGCCTAATTTCAAGACGGACGTATGTTTAGTTGCTTTAAGGTACTTAGACATACTAATGAGAAGCTATACAGACAACTATTTATAGACAACTATTTACATAGACAACTATTTTAAATATTTTTTATATTACAAATTATTTTTAAGACATGGGTGTTTTAATGCATGCACCAATAAAACGGAAAGAAAATATAAGATCTCAGAAGCTTTTATTATAAATGTTTAATATCAGTCAGGCGGCTAGTCTAAATATGATATTCAACTCAAAAAATCTTTTACAATTTCTTACGTTGTGTAAAAAATTATGATTGATAATAGTTAATTTCTAAAGCAATAAAGCTAAAGTTTTAGAATTGAACTTAGGATTAAACAAAAAGTTACTTTATCCAATAAAAACATAAATGTTGTTTTTTTCTTAGTCAAACAGTCGTTTCTACATTTAATAACACTGATTTTTCATTTTATGTCTTTTTGTTATTTGAAACAGCATTGAATTTCTTTCAATGTCTAAAGCAGCAAAGTTTTAATGTTACTTCTTTTTGTTATGTAATTCATAAACAAAATACATTAACTAACAGATTTTTACAATTTTACAAACTTAGTTTATTTGCGACCAATTGAACCAAACAGGAATTAAAAAGAATCGCAATACTTAAGTTATTTAGTATAATTGAGAGCTCAATTTTTTTAAGTTTATGTAAGTTAAAAGTTTGTCATTACATGCATCTGACGAAAGCATAATTTTAAGGAAAAAATAAAACACTTAATATGCTTTTATTGTATTTATTTTATTTATTTTAAACATTGTAGGATAAATGGCTGTCCACTGGTCAAGGAAGTATTTATCAAAATATGTATCGTTTATATTTTATTCAATTAATTATCGCTTAAATTCCTATAACAACAACTTTCGGCACTTAAATTTGTTTACGAAATATCTATTTGTACCAATAAAAGAAATGCTGTCCTTGATTGGATTAAAACAAGAATTTACAGCAAATGCAAATAGGATTAAATTCGATTATCTATAACGGCAAAGCCCACTACAGTTATATGCCTAGGGAAGGGAAGGCTTCGTAGAGGACTTTCTAAACATGATTATTATTGCTTGAATATGACAGCCATACAACGGCTATCTGCTTAAGGGGAAGAATGCCTTTGTAAAGGATCTTTCTAGTGAAATATGACTGATATTTACGTTGCACACTGAGAAAACCAGGAAAAGAAACTATACAGCCAGACCATTTTCCTGAGTTGAAACTCGGGGGAAATATTAGTATTCAAGTGAACTTTATAAAGACAGCTGGCACGTATTAACGCTTCATGTAAGAGAAATCACAAAAAGGGAAATAAATTGGAGCTGTTGATAATAAATGTTGATAAAGCTTACCTATAGCTTACTTTAAATCTAATAATTACTTTAATCTTAATAAATAATTCTTAAAATTAAATCTTTTGTTATAAATCATTAATAAAATTATAATCGCTGACATGTCCGAATATAATTATAATCAACTGGCAACCTGTATTTTTAATAATGAATATTAAAAGCAATTATAAAAAATGCGAAAGTCCATCCTCAGAAGGGTAACCTTTATGATTATTCGCCTTTGATCAGTTTTAATTAGTCATCATCGATTTGCTGAACAAAAAATTTTGAAAAGTTTGCTAGATCAGAATTGTTTATTGGAAAATGGGAAAACATAAAGCCATTTAACTGGAATGCCAGGTAAATGTTTTTAACCCTTGTGGCATGGTAAAAAGAACACAAAGCCATTTAACTGAACGACGAGAGAAATGGTTTTATGTTCTTCCTCTTGAATAGCACAACAAAAGAAATGAATTCAGACTTTGCAGTTTCAACATTATTAAGACCTAACCTCCATTCTTGAGCCTCACAGGAGTTCCAAACATTATTACGACGTAACTTCCGTTCCTAAATCTCATAGGGATTCCATAAATAAATCCAGATGACATAAAAATTTAATGTTGCCAGATATTCTAATTCTCTTGCTTAAGAAATATTTTGATTTTTTTCTTTTCAATGGTAATTTTTATTAAATAATGATCCGAATGATTTAAATTTAGCATCTTTCATGTTACATTACACAAAAAAATACTGCAATTTGACATATAATTTCACTAAAACTATTTACATATGTACAAAATTCGTAACATAATATTTGAAAGGTTGCACATTAAACACTAATTTACATTACATTCTTTATAATCTATATTTTCATATTGTCGCGTGCGTACGGGTTCCTAATAGATTGAATGCACCCAGAACCGGAGATAACTTGATAAAATTTATTTTACCAAAAGAAACACTTCACAATTCTTGAGCTTTCCGCAAGAATACTCGCAAAGCTCTTCTCAGTATCACGGAGTACAAACAGCAGTTACATTTCAAACTAATAAGATCGTTAAACACAATGCAATGCACAGCTCACCTAAAGAGCGAAGCTCTCATGGATATCTCAATACTACGAAATCACGGACCAATATGTCACCAAATAATCGCCAAATTTGGCGAATTTTGACTACTTCTAGCCAAGTTTGGTAACAATAGACGCCAATTTAGCGAGATACCGTTTACACAATTTTTTTTAATAGATTTGACCCTGTATTTTTACTTTTCCGGCAAAGTTTTGTTTCTTTAGATTTTTCATGTTATATTACACAAAAAAATACTGCAATTTTACATATAATTTCACTAAAACTATTTACATATGTACAAAATTCGTAACATAATATTTGAAAGGTTGCACATTATTCACTAATTTACATTACATTCTTTATAATCTATATCTACAAAAAACCTTGATTTAGCTATGGAAATAAAGGAGCATGAAAGTCTGTTTAAATTCTTTATCTAGATAATAAAGAAAAGTAGATAAAATATAGTGGGAAATCTCATGAACTCGAAACTTCATTTGGCTAAGAAAGGGAGTCTAACAGTTTTAAAGAGGTCAATACTGAGCAATGAGTTATGCCAGTATTGCTCATTTCTTAATCTTGTTACGTGAGTTACACCAACTCTTGTTGCTTAGAGACCTCATTCCGTATCATTGATCGTGTGGTTAAAATATTTTCATTCCAACACAAGGGAAAAAGAAATCTTTCGTTTTGATTCGCTTATAAGAATTCAGAAGTTATTCTTTTCTTTCTATCGATCTGTTATAACACTGTAAATATTTTAAATGAATAACTTTTGTGTAATTTTTTTATCCTATCAATAAAATCTTCATTGCTCTATTTAAGCCGGTTATGAAAACGTTCTGTAGTACGTTAAACGTTTTTCACTCTTTCACCAAGAGATATTTTAAATAAATCGTTATTTAAACAATTAGACTGCTACATTTAAAAATTTTAAAGTACAAACTAAATTAATGTCACATTTCCTGAATTATCAGAAAGTAACAAAATATTACTCTCTCTTTAAAATAGTCTTAAATGCATTACAAAAGTGTAAGTCCCATCAGCGGCTGAGTGGTAAAGTCGCTGAACTCTGGTAGTTCAGTCCGGGGCTCGAATCCCGGCGAACGGGCTGACTGAATGGGCGTTTTCGTAGTTCTTCCCATGTGTAACATGTGTACGAGACAGTTTCCCTTAGAAAGTCCTCCACAAAAACATGCCCACCTTTAGGCAGAGAACCTCGAATGCTTCGCCGTAATGAACATAAATAAAGCAAATTATTTAAAATGTTCATATCTTATCCCAGTTTAGATGAATACTCGTGAAAATACTTACCACAGTGACGGGAGTTCCAGATGGTGAATTTTCGTTGATTGTGCCCTGGTAGGTGTGCTGGAATGTTGGAATTTCATCATTCACGTCCAGAACTTCTACTGTCACCTCACATACAGTCTGTTAAATTAAAAAGAAGAATGTAAATTTGATATTGAAAGGAAAGGTATCTAAATTTGAACTTAGGTATATTACGCAGCATGAGTGTTAATAAATTTTAAATACACGTTAACGTTTAACTTTCTGACTATGCACCAGATGGCGCCATAAGATGTTAAAACACGTAAGATGTATGTTCACGTGTGCATACAAATTTTTCAATTGTCTTCGAATGCTGTTCAACGCAGTATTGTGTCAAGTAGTTCCCCAAGAAGGAATCCTCCATCTTTTCGCTTTTTTTTTTTTTTTTTTTTTTTTTTTTTTCCAGTTTGCGCCAAGAATAATTCACTTGGTGAAACTCTTAAGTTATGGTAACCTATTTTCTTTCCCTTTCACTGCGCAGAAGCGGAAAAAAAGGTGTTTCGTTCATCTTTCAAATAATGTTAATTTTTAAAAAGTGCGTAAACTACATTTGGTGTTATTATCGCTTATAACATCATACGTGTTAATCCATAACTTGTTTAATGATATATCAAAATACATAATGATGGTAAAATTTTATAGGTGGTAATTAAAAATGTTTTTTGAAAAATTTATAAAAGTTACTAAAAATTTGTAATTTTTGAAATAAATCAGAAAATATCTGCGAATTTTACTTGTATTGAACCTAAATATCGAAAAGGCAATATGACAAGAAAGATATATAGGTTTTACATTCATTTAATTGTCTCTTTTTTATACACACTTACCACTTTAGTAGAGGGTTTACGTTCTTTAAGCATGACTGTAAACGTATGTTGACTTCTCTTTTCACGATCAAGCCCGACTTTTGTGAAAATCTTACCTTCCTGGAAAATGAAAAAAATAAATAAATAAATAAATAATAATAATGAAAAAGATTATTTGAAAACGTAATTGCTTTTGTTAATACTACTTATTATTTTCCAATGCAATTAACTTACATTTCCAAATGTCTCCAGAGAATTATTTTCAGATTAATTCAAACATGTTTTATAAACATTTTTTTTTTTTTTTTTTTTTTTTTTTTTTTCTATTCCAGAAAATGGTTAATTATTTGCATAAAAAGATTTTTCAAGGGAATAGTTTTATATTTCAAGTTTTCTTACTCTAATGATGTTCAACGGATATTTCGTTATAATGTGTTTTTATGCGGATTTAATGTCGCTGGCGATTAAATAATCGCTGGCGATTAAATCATCTTCATTAATTCATTTAAATTTAATACATAACAACTTCTTTATTTTAGATTCGCTTTTTAACCTTCCATCATGTCGCTTAGAAATAAGGAATAAAATAATCATTTTATATTCAGATTAGAAATTACTGATCTAAATGAATTCTTTCGAAGCTTTTCCAAAGCTAATTATTCCTTTTAAAACAAACTTTAGCAGTATAGTTGAGTGCCACATAATAAAAAGGCTGAAAATCAAAATAAGATTTTTATAAAATTAATAACGATATAAAATTCTTAAAGACTGCATAAAAGAAATGCTTAAGAAGAAAGTACTTTTTTCCTAATAAACTGAATTTTTCATTACAAAATATATATAACGCTTTTTTATCTATTTTAAGAAATTCACCCTTACATTTTAAGAACTGCAATTACTGAAATTTCTACTCCTGCCTTTTAGAAATTTATTTAATGACAGCATTCTTTAAAATTCTGGAATATTTTTATTAAAAGACTGTTTTCTATTTCACCCTTTTAGTGCCGAACGACGATATATCGTCGTTCGCAACACTTGCGAAAAGTGTCGAACAATGATATATCGTTACGTATCAATTGCGCCTTACTATTCGCATTGCGAGAGAACGCTATCTCCAAATGAATTTATAAAACGTCATAAATTGTCCATTTCATTGCAAAAGAATTTTTAAAAATTGTTTTTGGGTTTTCATAGTATTTTATATTATATTATTTCGTATGATTTTCAAAAAAATATTGAAATGCAATTGGCATTACTTTATCTTTCTTTATTTTGTAATATGCTGCTTTTTGAATTTTGTAAATATCATTTTTAGTTTGGTGTTTATGAGCTTTTTCACGGTAATTTTCTCAGACTACTTATCAAATTCGTCAAACTGACCCGGTATTTTTGCGCATAGGTTCGATATTTTCGCTCGGCACTAAAAGGGGTTAACTCTTTCACATCTTTAGAGGCCAAAATCTGTTCCTCTCTAACATTTGAAACGCCAGTATACACAAAATTTGGTTGGAATGGATTTCCGATGCCAAGTAGAATGCTAACAGAGTTAACAGTAACCTACGAGGGAAGCTGCATTCAAATAAGAGAGCTGCTTTTAGTCGGTTCAAAAGAATGATTGGCATGTCATTTAACAAATTCCGAAATCGAACCAACGTGACGGAGGAAATCGCAAGGTAGAAAAAGGATGCAGGTTTCGGTCAAACAGCCTATGACTGAATGCACGAGCGTTTCGAGTGACTTCGCTGTGAAGAATTACGTAAAATAGGAAATTGCAATTAATGAATCGAGCCGGCGAATAAATAGGTAGCGCATTCAGATGCTTTATTTATTTGCTTAATGATAAGCCAAATACTAGGGGAGAAATTCCTCATATAAGATAAAAGTTAAAATGCAAAGACATAGAGGTGAAAATGCATTGGAAATAGAACCCTTTTTTAAATAATTCAAATGTAAAGCAAAACCTAAAACCAGAAAAGCTAAAAATGGTCAAAATCTTGCTGAAAGAATCCAAAAGATGAAAATATCTGCTGTTTTTCTTTGCTAATGCTAAGGCGAAATATGATCCAATGTGCCCTTCACAAGGAAAAATTTGAAAAAAAAAATATTTTATTGAAATAAACAACAGGTGATTGAATTTGAAAAATATAAATACATTGTGTCTATAACTCTGGTGTCAAGATAAAAAAGAATTTGGTAGAAAGATAAAAAATGAGATATAAAACCTAAACCGGACTGAAAATCTACTAATTTGACAAAAAAAATGCATGATTCTGGTTGGCACCCTGCCGAAACACAGAATAGTCTAGCACGATTCTGAGTACGCCTGTCTGCATGAAAACTAGGATGTTTTGATTATTTTCATCGTGCACTGTAGTACTTTTCGAAGCTCGGTATTTTAATACAATTTGCAAAATATAAAACTATAAAAAATTCCCCCTGCATGTGTCACAACTATCTACCTTATTCAGTAAATAATTCGGTTTGAATCATGCATGCATATATGCATGTTCATAGTCATACTATCCGTGCTGAGATGTATTAAATGGTAAAAATATCATCAAATGGTCGGATACTTGCAACTTAACGTTTTCGTTCGGAATGGCGAATATATATCGTCATTTCGGCGTCTTAGCATCGAGAATGTAGCCGTGACTGCATCATAGGGTAAGACCGGATTACAACCGTGAAAAAAGAAAAATACTATCCCAGTTTTGATACAGCACACACCGTAGTTCCTAAATCTCAAGACTACTTTTGACTCGGCGGTATTTCAGATGCCCCGATGACGCATAGGCATTATACCCTTACAAACATCCAAGCCTTCTCCGGGATTCGAACTTTTTTCCAACAATAAGACAGTCAACATAGATAACAAATCAGAACGGCAGGTGATCGCTAATCAGAAGAAAATCTCAGTACTATTAGGAGGACAAATATACATATGAAGAGTGAAAATAATATAAAAAATGGAAGCACATTACAAGTGAAGAGCCGCTGAACATTTCACCACGTCTTTTGTTAAGCCCCACTTCATTCATTACTGTATCTAAAACCATCCCAATTTTCCCATCATTCAAATATATACAACATACCTTAGTAATATTAAAAATGGCTTTGACATCATTGTTGACAATGTTGTACTGCATCTGGCTATTGCTGCGGTGCATACGTTCCTTCAATTCCACTTGCCCGACGAACGCCCCAGCTACGTTCTCTGGGATGGCGAAACGGAAGTGTTGTTGATCAAACAAAGGATCTCGTTCTTCAGCTTCTCTTATGAATAGCTTAAGGGTAGTCTATAAATGACATATTAAGTTAATACATATATAGAAAAAGATAAAGCATAAATATACATTTATATGTACAATCAATCAGAATAGAATATTTGCGAAGGTAAGCCGATTGTTGCATAAACCGAGGTGTAAGATAGTGCTCAAAATTTTCACTTAAAATTTAAAGCCTGTGTATAAGCCTAATTTCAAATAATTTTTCAACTGGAGCTATATTATAAAAGGCTTGCTTAATTAGGCTTATCAAACAAGCTGAATTTCAATTTCTGAATGGAAGCTGACGTGTTCAACTTCCGTTCAAAAAAAAAAAAAAAAAAAGAATTTACTAGCACTGTAGAATGAAAGGACACTTTCAATCCCAATAATTTTGCTTTCTAGATTTGCAACATTTGGGCATGCACGTCATTTGGAGCTTTGATAAATGTTGACTGTTGACTCTCAACATTTCAAAATATTGAGAATCATTGAGCGCAAACAGTTATATCAAACTACTTATTCTTATTACTTGTTATGTTAAACTACTTTTCTTCAGCAAACATTATATAGCCGCTCTTATTCAAAGCGTTGAAAGTCATTGAATTAAGAGAATGTAACTTAAATTTAAATATTAAAGTAAAAATATGTAAATACGTACGAAATATTTTATTGCTATTATTGCTAAATGAATAATAACATAAATTTAAAAATTTGTTTTACAGATTTTCTACTACATTCTTTATAATTCTTTAGAGAAGCTACTGTCTATGAAAATTTCAGATTTCTACATCCCCGACAGCCAACTGCGCTATACCTATCGAAAGGATTTTGATTTTTTATTACACGTACCGCAGCTTTCCACAGTCCATCAGAAGCTTCTACGATGATACTGTATTCTCGACTTTCTGAGACATCCAGCGTCCGAGATACGTTAACAGCACCGGTGAAGGGGTCAATGAAGAATGGAACTGTAAGAAAATCACATTTTAATATAACATTTCATGGTAAAACTTTTCTAACCACAATATAACACTATACGATAAAAGTTTATTAACTACCTTTTAATATAACACTACATAGTAAAGTTTTACTAGCCACATCTTTATATATATAAGCGGCTAAAGTGTGTGTCGCCGATAGTTTATTGTTGCGACTCCGAAAAATGAGCGCGGAAATTAACGTTTCCGCAGTTTTGAATTAATATCTCGGCCGATTAAAGTCGTACGAAGATGAGAACGGTATCGATGGATTCGGAGAATTTTTTGGAATCCGAGGATACGCGTCTCGAATTTCAACTCGGCGCCGTTCCGTAGATATTCGAGAAAAAAGAATTTGGCACGTAGCCAAATCCCTGTAATAGGGAAAACCCAAGAAAGAAAGTGGAAAATGTAGGGAAAACGTAGGGGAAAATTAGTTTTTAATTAATATTTCGGCTAATTAAAGTCCCAAAAAGACGCGTATGTTCAAAATGGCGTGCCACGGACCTGCGGAATCCAACGGTGTGCTTCGCTAAGCCCGGGAGCCAGCCGTTTCGGAGCTTGGGTGTTACTTCACCCCATATATATATGAAGCTAAAGAGTCTTTGTCGCCGATAGTTTATTGGTTGCTTGCGTAACTGTACTAGCTAATGGAGTGAAGTTGCCGCGGCACAGGGTTGCCGTTCCAATTGAAACGTAGACAATTTCCTGTAAAACTTTCCTTTGGTATGACCATCAATGTCTCAGGGCCAAACGCTTAAGCGTGTTAGCATTTCAAACGCTTAAGCGTGTTGGCATTTTTTTACCTGAGCCTGCATTTGGACACGGTCAACTTTATGTTGCCTGTTCAAGAGTTCGTGAAAGAACGGACTAAAATTAAAAATAATGGATGGTCCTCTGCAAAGCGAGCTTAAAAATGATGGAAAGGTCTACACAAAAAATATTGTGTACAAAGAGATCTTTGACATGTGAATTAACATTTCATTATTTAAATCACCTTTATTGATTGAGGTAGCGGTGGGCTCTTAAGAAATGTACCTCCAGTGGTTTCCTTCATTGCACTCTACTTTAAGTAATTAAGCAAGCAGAAGGAGGAAACACCGTGGGGCAGTAAGCAAAGGCGCGTCCTCGCCGCCCGCCCTGGGTAATTCAGTTTAAATTAGCAGACACCTTTGCACAAATCATTTTAATTAAAATTTATAATATCTAGAACAACGGTCATTTCGTATGATCACCGGGCTTTCTAGTTGTAATATAAAATCGCAGGAGAAAAGTTTACTAACTATATTTTACTATAACAGAGTATGGTAAAATTTTACTAACAGTTAAAAAAGGCTGCAAATAAACAAAGCTTTTTCCTCTTAATGGTTAAAAAATCCTTCTCAAAAATACAATATAGTAATCAACGGGAGAATATTATTAATTAAACATCAAAGAATAATAATTTATGTTAGTATTTCAAAGACGTTACGTATGTAAATAATAATTATGCAAAGAGGTACTGAAAATTCGAAAATAATAGGTAGATTGGTTTACATATTCGTAGTATACTCAATTTCCGACCATTCGTGGGCATGTTAACCAGGTTAACATTGGACTCTTTCTTGAATTTTCTTTTTACCTTTGTCAAAAAGAATGAATATCTTGATCCATATTTTCTAGTAAGTGAAATCCTTCATATGATTTAGAAAATCCTTTTATAATAAACTATTTTAAGGTGCATATATTTTACATATTCAGAATATTCTACTACCTGCTACAGGTTTGGTTATTCAAATATGGCAAAGTATACGAGGATTATATGCATAAGTGGAGGAACGTACGTACGTACAAATGTCACAAGAAATTCCATTTTGAATTCATTTTACAATCCATTGTGGAATAAAGAGTCCTTTATTCTGTCCGTATAGACAAACTTCACGCATAAAAATGTAGTCAAAATAGATGTTTCCGTTGAAATCTGATAACCTAAATTTTTCGCGGTTATAATACTTTATACTTTCCTTCGTACAAGGAAGTGGAAAAAAGAAGGATCATCTAAATAAAAACAATGATTTTCAGATGTATAAAAGCTAAATTACGACTGCTTACCATTTCTAGTTCGTGATCCGAAAGCATATTTCATGTTGGTATTATATTCTGCGTCCTCGTCTTTGGCAGTTAATGTCGTAACGACGCTTCCCACTGGTTCATTTTCGGACACGAACTCGTAGTAAATGTCCTTAGAGAATTCGGGAGGACTGTCGTTTATATCCTGGATAACTACTGCCACCTTAGGAAGTTTAAGACATTATTAGCAGCATTAGAAAATGATTTGAATGTTTACACAAACACCACTATTTAAAATTATGATATTTAAATTTAAAGTTTACTCATAGCTTATGTAAATTTAATCACTGACCCTATTTTCAGTTTAACAGAGTTGCTTTTAAATTCAGCCTGATAACTGAGAACAGTGAAGACGAGAAAATAATATATCAGCACGAAGAGGGAACGAGAGAACAAAACTTTTTTTGACTAAATTTTATTTAAAAAATTTAAATAATGAGGAATCTGCATGAATGTATCATGTTTCTCGCATTGTAAAAAAAAACGGTAAATAGAGCCATCTTTTTTTGAATAACGTAGCCCTCCACCTGAACATGGGCACATGAAAGCTCGAATTTGAACTTGTAATTTTTATTATCTATTCCACATTTTCTAAAATTTTAACGAAATTCTAATTAACAAACTCAACAATTTCAAAGCCAACAGTAGCAACACTGTATGGAATAAAATATTTTTATATAAAACCCGCGAGACTGTCTATCGGAAATTGTAATGGTATGCTGCTGTTAAATATTTTGTTATTTTGCTGAATCGAATTTTATGTGGCGTAAATGCCGTAAACACAGAAAAAGCTTAATGACAAAAAGCAAAAACTAAAAAAAAAAAAAAAAAAAACACAGAAAAATGTATGCCGATATTTGACGCTACATCGAAAATTTTAAACGTATACTGCTACGCTGCTTTTAAAATTTTTGATATTTTGTGGTTGAATTGTATATGGCTTAAGTGTGAAGAAAATGATGATTAATAATAAAGCTAAAAAGAGAATAAAAATGGGGTTAGTAAATCGGTAGTGGGAATAACAGCAGATTACTAGACTGCGAGCTCAGCCAGAGTGTATAAAACCTTAACAAATCCTTTTAAGGCAACCATTAAAATCTGAAAACTTCAGATTTATTATTATTATTATTATTTATTTACAACTTCTGGCAAAATGGTTAATGAAAACCAGTTTATAACACGGTGTTTATACTACGAAGAGTTTTGTACCGCAGTATCGCACGTCTAGTAAATCCAATAGAGAGAAACTGAGAAGCATAAGACAAATATCTGCTGATTCCGAAATTACTTAATTCATATTTAATTTACGCTGAAGGAGCCAAACCAGTTTGGTGGCAATGTCTTATATTGCTGATTAAAACGTGATTTTGTTGTAGTAGTTAATAACTGAGGAAAGGTAATTTCATATTCAGTATATTATAAACTAATTAATTTAAGTATCGCATAACAAGAAGCAGACTATTTTTTTTTTTAAATATGAAAACCTTAACACTGCATTTTCAATGTAACATAAAATTAAAGTATAATAATACGAATGGAAAATCTTGCAACCACGACCACTTGAACAATTCTTTCTATTTTTGATGTCACACTGTTGGTGCAAATGCAGGTAAACTGGCTCCAAAAACGCGCTTATGCTTTGATGAATTTTCACATTTTTGAAGCAAGCGAGTTATCTGAAGAACGAAAGAGCAGCAGCGTGCAGCAGGTTTGCAGTGCAGGGAAGAGAGCGGGGAAAAGTGTCTTAAGATGAAAGCTCCGTTCAGAATGATTTCATTTCATTTCAGGTTTATTCCTGTTGGTTAATTTTAAACTTCTATTTGCAAATCTGAAATTATTAATGACTGAAGCGTTATGTAAGTGCCTAAATAATTACCGTTATGCAAGAATCATATGACATGAATAAATTTTGAAATAACGTAGTTTAGAGTGATTAATATCATAAGCAGCCACTTCTTTCAGAAGTGAAAGGGGAAATAACCAAATTAAAATGGACAAATAACGTGACTATGGCAGATTACGGTTATCAATTGGATTTACGATATAGATATATAAGATAAAAGATATGAAAAACAAAGTTTTAACTTAAAGCGGCAATAAACTCTTCATTTTAATTTGGCTATTTCCCCTTTCAAAAAGTTCAAAAAACAGTAATTGCTTTTAATAGACTCTAAACTGCGACATTTCGAAATTAATAGCCGCGATCATATGATTTTCACATAAAGCTTGGGACGTAATTGTTTTACAAGCAAAAACTCAAAACAGCCAAAAATAATTTTAGATAGTTATTAATCAGCCAATCAGTCATCGAAGTCCTGAATTAAGATTTCCCTCTGACCGCAGCGCACTTCGCTTCTGCTTTTCGGCCTACCAAGACTGCTGCTGCGTTGCTTTCATCTACTGCAATGATATCGAAGATGTAAATGTTCAGGAAAAGGCGCGATTAGTATGCCAAATTAAGTGTGGCCGCAAATGTGAAATTTAAATGAAAATGAATATTTACATCTGCCAAGTCTGTTTTATTGCGTTAAAATGGCATAATTAATGAAGCTCTTAAACCTTATCACGTAACTCGGAATAGAACTCCTTCTCTCATTTTACTTTAAAATGCTAAACACATTAAAATAAAGCGTGTAAAGATCTTAAGTTTTACTAACGTTTATTTTATTTTAAATCTTTACTATCACTTCTTATTTTCTACTTCCGGCCAGAATTATAAGCGTTAATGTATTTATGAAAAGTTTGTCTGGCGAACGCCAAGTACTTAAGTTGTGGCTTTTTGCCAAGCAAAAGAGAGGAAGCAGTTAGTCGAAGCAGGCCGCTTACCTTAGAAGTTTTACTCAGTTGCTGGTTGCCTTCCAGGCCAGAGGTTTAATCCTCTTGATAACTTTAAACGTATTGTAGTGTTCACAGTTCTCTGTACTACATACGGCTTCCTATTAATATAAGGCCAATCTTCCACGTTTATTATTTCAAAGTCAAATTAGAATTTAGTTTTATTTTTATATTTTTACGTTTAGACCCCAAGTAGTGGGTCTTTGTATTCCGAAGTACGGAAGTTATTGTAAATAGAGAAAAATAAAGAGTTTTGTATACCCTTCTTGTGTATCCTGTCTACTTCCCACAGTTATTGAACATAGCTTTAGTAAGCTCTCTGTTCCGAGTCAGGTCCTTGCATGTTCCCGAAGAAAGTAAGACGGAACATTGAACCTGATAAGCGCTACAAAATAATCATTTCCAAAAATCCCTGATTTAGCAGTCAACATATCCTTTTAAATGTAAATTCCTTCTTCGAAAATTTATTAAATTTTTATTCGCAAACGGATTATTAACTAAAACGTTTTTCATAACAATGACTATATAGATTTTAATTACCAAAATTTAAAATTTAGTCTACTGTGAGTTAATTTTTGTAAGCGAATGTACGTTCGTTAAACAAAAATTGCATAGAACTGCATAGATATTAAGCGAGTTTGCAAATAAAACTAAGAGTCGTACTGTTGCTGTGCCGGTACGTGGTGGTACACCCATATCCTTGGCACCAACAACCACAACATGTAGAGCAGAGTCTGGCACTCCGTATTCTTCTCGATCTAGTTCTTTAACAACTGTTAACAGCGGCTGGAAAAAGAAAATAGTATTTATTATACTTGCAAAAAATAAATTATACACACTTTACGCTTCTTAATATTCCAGCACAGACTGGTTAAAATGCTTAGAAAATTTAATAATTATAATTTTGTTTATTTTCTTTCCCTTACCCCTCTGTCATCTACAGAAAGGCGGAAGTGATTATCGACGTTGCCTTCTAAGATCAGTAGCTCCATCTGGCGATTAAGACCTTCATCATAATCTACAACTGGCAGTCGAATGCTAGCTCCCAAACTGCTGGAACCTGTAAAGATTTTGTTTTAATGGTTTTGAAAATAAATGGTACGGTACGCCAGGTCCCAATATATGCACTTAAATCATATACTCATGAAATTCGAGGAAACGTATTTATGAAAATAAAATACAAAAACCAAGTTTAAAGAAGTGATTTAAGTTACACTATTCACTCTATTTTGATGCTGCCATCTGTTGGCATTTTATAAAACCATACAAAATGTGTGTAGAATGGCTTTTTGCAAAAATAAAATTTGTGGCTACCTCAAACTATAGATTTGTTGTCTATATTTACTCATATTTAATATTTAATGATGTATTTAATTTCTTTCTCTTACAAGCTTCCAAATAATATAAGACACTTTAACAAAAGAAATCTATTTCTGCTTTATTATTTTTTGCTACTTGTATAAATGCTTCTTATTAATGAATTTTCAAAATGCAAGATATTACATTTACGAATATAATACAATTTTAATTAAAGTACTTACAAAATTTATTTTTACTTATTTTTATTAGTTATTTATTTGGTTATTTGGTTATGTTGTATGATAAAAAAATATTCAAATTACAAAAATGAAATTGAATATAATTATTAGGAATCTTGAAATTATCTAGCACATTTCCTGTATGCTACATTTTCTATTAAAAGTTAACACATATACAATTTTCACTTCATACTAATGAAGAAAATATCATTCGGATAAATCACACATTCGAAAATTCATATAACTGCAAGAAATGTGTTCCTTTAGCGCTGCCATCTACCGGAATCTCGCTAAACTATACCAAAACATTATGATGATATAACTAATGAGTATTTTCGTTATCTCTTCAAAGTTTTCATATCTATTGAAGAAAATTTTTATTATTTCGAAATAAAAAAGTATGTATTCAATTTATTATTAATATTAATTGCTTTGCTTAAAACATTCATATTAAAAAATTCCTTTCACCACATTATAGTATGCACGTACCTTCAGTGACGTTAAGCAAAAATGTTTCATTCATAAATGTTGGTGTCCAATCATTTTCGTCCAAAATCGTCACATGAACGTTCGCAAATCCCTGAGGAAAGAGTGAAAAATATCTAAATAAAATACATCAAATAAAAATAAAGCATTAAATAACTGTCTACAGCAGAATAATATAATTTACCGTGTTATTGGCTGAATCCAAAGCTAGGACTCTTAACATAAATGCTGGTGTTTCTTCTCTGTCTGGAGACAATCGGACTGATAATACACCAGTACTTTCTTCTATTTGAAATTGATTACCAGTGTTGCCTAAGGAATAAAAATAAGAAAAATTGCCTTTTATGAAAGAACTACTTTAAAGTAAATTTTTTTATTTTATTTCATAAATATTCTTTGCTGAACTTTGGATATAATTGCTTGAGGCCCACAATTACATCAAGCAATTTCATACAATTGCTGACATATTAGTTTCCTAATTATGCCACATGATGTTCTGGAAATTTCAATAAAATTTAGTTGACTTAAATTTTCAGTAAACAATATTCCCATCTAGAAACTGTAAGGTTTTAGTTCAAGCTTTCGATTTTATGTTTTCTCGCCTGCTCTAGTTCTCTGATGAGCAGTTTTAAACAAGCTTATCAAAAAAAAAATAATAATAATAAATAAATGCAAATTATTAACATATTCAAGAAGATGGCTTTGTGAAGATAGACAAGTTGAATTTAGCTAAAATAAGAAACGCCTTTTCGTAATTAATTCTTTTGAGATGATTTTTGGATTCTAACGTCAATTCATAATTAGGTTAGAAGGATGAATTAGCATAATTAGGTTTGCTTAGCGAAGGAACGCCTACAAACTTCAATGCAATAAACTACTACGATTATACATTTTTATTAAACTGTTACTGGCTAGGAGACATTTAACTGTGACAAAATTAGTCGGCAGCCATTCATTCGACTTAAGAATACTTGAATTTAGTAATATTATTGTGGTCTTGGGTTTGGCATTCAAGTTTCAGTGGACAAAAGTCTTCAAATTTTTTCTGTTTTTTAATTCTACATTTACCATATGAAAAAAAATAGATTCATTTCTTCTTTACCGTTTATTTTTAGTTACTGAAAAACATGATGCAAGCGAAAACTTATCGCTTAATGAAGAAAATTAGCTGGTCTGTAAATTAGGTGTACTTAAATTGGAACAATATATAAAGGATTAGAACCCTTCAGAGTAACTCACTAGTTAAGCAGTTCAGAAGTTCTTAAACAGGTAAATTTGTTATTATTTTACCCGCTGAAATTACAGAAGCAACACAATATGTTCCGAGTGTTTAAAATTCACAAATGTTACTGATTATTGTTACTACTGTTACTGATTACAAAAATTACTGATATATCTAATTATCAATTGGTTTAAAATTTATCGGATAATAGTACTTCCTTTGAGTTATTTATTTTTAATATTCATATAGCATTCCTGCAGTAAAAAGCTGCATTCGGAAAATTTTGAAATTTTTGTTCGAAATACATTTTTTTTGGTGTCATATAAAGTAAGAAATGCTTACTTACCATCTACAATAAAATATCTTAATTTGTTGATATCCAATTCATCCTTATCCAGAGCAGTTAGATGTACAACAACATGACCAGGTGGAGCATTCTAAAATAATAATGTACATTATTTCCAAGGCCACATAGATAATTATTCCTCATATCTGTTATATGATAGCCGAAATGTATTTAAAGGAAACCTTTGGAAATGCCTTTTAGATAATCAAGCTGCAGTTCATACAATTTCAACGTCGGAAAGGTAACATAAAATTTCTATGCATACAAGTGATTAAAATACATTATGTTAAAATTATCTGAATAATTTATTGTGATAATAAGCACTCGGATATCATAATATCCTAAATATTAATTTATTGTTTTTATTATTAATATAATTATAAATTTATTTATTCACACTAATTAAAAGCCAGCAGGTAAACATAAAATTGCTCTATCAAGTAATTACAATATTTAGCACTTACGTATTAGCGCAACCACCTTGGTACAGTTTGGCGATTTTTAACAGAAAAAAAGGTGATTCCTTGAATTTTTGGATTGAAACTTATAGTGGATGTGGTTACCAGAAGAGTTGCTATGCGCAAAGTTGCCATCTGAAAATTTGGCGACTTCTACTAAGGTGGCTGCAATAAACACGTAAGTATCCAATATTTTACGTTTAAAATTATCTAAATAACTTACTGTTATCATGAGCATTCGGATTTCATAATATTCCAGCTATTAATTTATTGATTCTTAACTACTAAATTATAAATCAAAAAATACACATTGATAATAATAATAATAATAATAATAATAATAATAATAACTAGCATTTTATTGCAAAGCAAATCTACTCACTCAAGTTTTATTTTTTGTGTTTTAGTTAAAAAATATTTAATTATCAAAATCAAATTACACTAATGTACAAAAATTGCGTTTATAAGAATCAAGAACAAAGCAGATACGGTGTTACTTTTTTTCCAAAGATAAGATTTATAAGAAGAAATGTCCAACAAGAAGGTGCTGAAATTTAAAGAAAAAAAAAAAAAAAAAAGGTGAAGAAAGTTTCACTTAAGAAGCTAAGTACCAGCACGCAAAGAAGTCGGTATTTCAGATCATCCAAAAATTAATAAAGCACACATTAATTATTCATTAATGTTATTAGAATGTAACCAGCAAAGGAAAAATGATAAGCACCTCAGATGTTAACCATGTAGCAAAAATTACCATATAAATCTAGGGGGGGGAATTAAGCATTTATTAATTTTATCTCAAATTATCTATGCAAATACATGACACATCTTACCTCTTTGACTTCTACAACAAAGTCTCTCTTTTCAAATACAGGGCTGTTGTCGTTGACATCTTCCACAAAAATATTTAACCTTGTGTTCCCAGAACATCTTTGATTGCTGGCCGTCACCTAAGTTAATTTTCAGAACATCAGTAGTTAATTAAAATTAATAGCTCATATAGATCTTGCCATAAGACATTTAAAATCAAAGCAATAAAAGTTAAGTAGTTTATGAAAAAAGACAGAAAATTATTCCTCAACATTGTAATCAAAACGCGAAAGAATTATTTCTCATTAATTACATAAAACCGATGATTGCTTCACACATCCTCAAAAGTTAACGTTAAATTTGGCCAAATTATTAACGACCTTGTTAAATTCATTAGGAAACTTACAAGAAACTGCATGGATGGATCTCCACGCGTCCATAGAACACCTACTTAACTATCACGACGGAGTAATATTTAGTTTAATGGAGTAATGTAGTAAAAAAATTTCTTTGTTCTCAGATACTTACATTGACTAGTCAATATGTTCAAGTTCTTTGTTCAGGCATCTGTCAGATTTCAAAAGTTAATGGACGTGTCGCTGATATGTGAAATTATCAAATGGTTTAAAATTTAGTAACATCTGTGATGTTCCTAATGCTCTAATGTTCCTTGATGTTCCTAATGTCCCCTGATATCTAAAATAAGGAGATATCACCGTTTTGACCACTGTAGCAGTAAGACAGTCAGTCAAAAAGCTTTAATTAAGTTTGTCATATGTACTCGTACATGCAAAGGCCGCACCCATAGTCGACTGCTGAATGACTGCTGAATTAAGACTGCTGCATTAAGACTGCTGAATGCCAGTACTATTTGAATACGAGTACGAATACCCTTGAATTTGAATAAGCATTTTTTTATCTTTAGGCAGACAACCCTCCCATGCTTTGTTACATTTTAATGCCAAAATAATAAATTTGATACATAAATTCTGAAAAACTTAATGTGAATTGCAGATCTTATTTTAATTATTCACAATTTTAGTTGATTTTAGTATCAATTTAAAAGCAATTGTTTAAAAGCAATCGGAAACTTATTATATGCAAGACTTTTTAAAAAGCCCATTCCCTCCCCCCCTTTTGGGGGGGCGAGGTGTTTTTATCAATAGTATTAATTGTAGAGTCATTAGGTTAATTGGAAGCAGAAAAGATGAAAAATATGCTACCGCCTTCGGCGGGACTCGAACCACGGATCTCTGGAAAACCGGCCCAGCGTGCTACCGTTCCACGAAGGCACGCTAGGGAATTGGGAGAAATACCTTATATACTCCCCTTTTTAAAGGACGACTAGGGTTTTAGGGGATCTAGTCGCCAAATTCTGGGTGCAGAGAATCATTATCCACAACCCTTTTAGTTCGGGCGCCACTTGTACAGTCATTAGGTTAATTGGAAGCAGAAAAGATGAAAAATATGCAACCGCCTTCGCCGGGAATCGAACCACGGATCTCTGGAATACCGGCCCAGCGTGCTACCGTTACACCACGAAGGCACGCTAGGGAAGTCGAAGAAATACCTTATATCATAGCTAAATTTTGGACGATGAATATTCAACAATGGATGCAAAAGGCGATTCTATTTATATAAAAACATTATTAACTAATTACCTTCGAAGTAAACCATCAGTCGGAGCACACACTTGTTCTAATGCTCCTAAAAAATTCCTGGAAACTTCTTTGCAGTGCTTCGTTCACTATCACACAAATAGCCGTCGCGTCATTTTGTGCCTGAAAACGTTAACCCGGTAGCACCACGAAAACGCCCAGGTCAAAGATTAAAAATTCTGGCCAAAAGAGTGACCGTGACATGACGTGGATTTGTTTCTGAACTTAGATAACACCAAACGGTCGAAAAAATTATATACAGTAATCCCCCCCCCTTATCAAGAACTCACTTAAGGCGAACGCTTGGTTAAATGAATAAAATTTCGGTCCCGGTAACCATGTATATGATCTTATAGGAAGTTTTATTGATTAGCACGAATTACGAACTATTTTTAGTCCGTTGCGTCTCTAAATTTTATCGTTTAAAACGAACTTTCAAAGTTTTACATTTTTTCACCTCTCAGCTATGGCTAAGTTCAGAAAAGCTCCGTCCCGTTTAACCGAATACCTCGCAGAATACACTGTATTCTTTAAAACTGAACCACCATGAGTAATATTGCTCTAAAATTGCAATCACTGGTCAGTAATGAGCAACAATCCAATTAGCAATGAGCTTTAATCAATAAATGCAAACCTGCGTTTAGAATACCAAGAGGACACTAAATTTCGCCCAGCACCCAGCAAATGTTACACCTTTTAGAAACTGTAGAACGTTTTGCTGCAACATCCGAACTGACAGCTAGCTCTACGGAAGCTTTGAATATAAACTGGTTCTGAAGCTACCAGGTATTTTCGTTCCCGTTTCCGACAACGCAATATACCGGAATTCAGAATTTTTCACCAAAAAATTATCTGTCAGTGTATTTTTTTTTTTCAAGTTACGGTGGAGTAATTAATGTAGTACTGTAGGAATTTATATGAGGGCATACATGATATATTGTAGTCCTTATGAAACTATGTACTACTGTAAATGGTTAATGTGTAGAAAAAACATTATTCTGGTCTCTTGAGATTCTTGTTAACGAGGTTTACCGTAATTTCATTTATAGCTGTACAGTACAGACTTCTCTGTCGAGAATGATATCACTTCAGACTTCTTTTGAATAGAGTATTCTAGCGCTAACAGCCAAAGCAATTATCGTAAGTTTCAAACACGTGAATTTGCTAAATTTTTTAAACAGGCATACACATACATACTCACACACGAGAAGGCTCATAAGGCACACAAACGCATGACAACGTTTCCAAATAGCACTGTACACAAATACTTACAGTCAATGTGTACATTCCTTGCAACGTCTGAGGCATATTATCCCTGTCGAGAGGTCTTTTGATCTTAGCAGACACATTAAAAGCCAAAGTATCGATCAGGAAGTTATCGTTGGAATTATCTTCGGTGATTTGATAAGACAGCTGAAAAATATAACAATTCCTTTAATACATATTTGGCATAGAAATTTCATACTGCGTGAGTCATCAAAAATGGAAGTTTTACTGATTACCAATTACAGCCTACAAAAAATAAAGAATTATAAATACAAAGCGAGTTTTTACCCGGTCAAAAATATGAGCGTCTTCCACTTGTAGGTAAGGAAGGACGACGGAATCGGGAGGTGCGTTTTCTCGGATGGCAGTGAAATATTCTGAGAACGGGAATTTGGGGCATCGGATACTGGCGTCACTCAGCTGCACAACAACCTGTAAGAAAAATGGAAGTGAAGCAAAGAAAATACTAATTTAAATAAAACAAAACACATAGAAAATTCACTAATCATTAAAAATCTTGTTGTCAATTTAGTCCCCAACGTATGAAAGTACTTGTATTCTACAATACAAAATTTCCTTCTTGAGAACTTTGTTACTTTATTATTTAAACTAAGATCAACTGATTTTGAAACTGAATATGTGACTCAATAACCATAACTACAAAATCTAATGTATGGCCCGTAAATGCGACTCGTGTCTAAAACTGGTCATCTTGCTTTGTAATGAGACAAAACCGAAATCCATTACAAAAACGATTTTCCTTTAGGATTTCATTTCACACGATGCCTGCTTAACAACTTCAACGTTTCTTCCAAGATATACTCATCGATTTGAAAAATTTCATCTGGCGTCTGCAACGGCCCACACTAGTCGGGGTTAAACGCGGTCTGGATCTTTACCCCAGAGAGAGTGGCTTCTTGTTTTTCAATCTCCCAAAAATGCAGCGAAAATGAAAAGAGGCAACTGATGGCTTAACTGGTCACAGTCTTCCCACAGCAGGGTTGCATCAGGATCACACAAAGAAAAGTTCACTTAAAATAGGAGTACTCTTCTCTCCCCCTTTCAATCCCTACAGTACCAGTCAAGCCTGTACGGATCACCGTATGAATGCTGATGGCTTGATAGTTAATATGAAGAGATTATACAGCCCGAGTGAGATTTAAAAAATAGTACCCCTATAGTACCAGTCGAGCCCGTACGGCCGTATGAATGGCGATTCTAGTCTTGTGAATGCACCTAAGCCCCCCATGCTGTAAACTTCCAGTATATGGACGTTACGGGCAGCCAATTCGGGAAGGGGAGCGGGCCCGGTTACTCACATATGCAGGACATCCATTCATGCACTATCACCCCTTCACCACATCAAAAAGGAACTCAATGAGGGAAACAGGAAATACACTTTTTACAAGCCTGGGTAGGTGGTTTTCTACATAGGTCCTAGACAGGGAAAGAAACATTTCTAATGCCAGTTTCGGATGCAAAATGTTTATCTTTGGAAGGAGGATATATTTGAATTTTGTAGGACGATGGACAAGTTATACTTTAAAATAAAATATTGTATTGAAATATAACTTATGGTGTAAATAGAACGCTTCAGTGCGTTTTATAAATTAACAATAAAAAGTAAAGTAAAATCCAACTTACTCCAGCTTCGGTCCCTCGCGATGGATCATTCCGATTGGATGCCGCGACGAGGAAGTGATAAAGCGTTTGCTGGTCTGCAGAAAGTCGAGTAGTTGTAGTGATACGACCCTGAAAAAATTTATTATCGTTTATTATTTCCTGAATTTTAACATCTAATCACCAAAGAAATAAACATTATTTCTTCCGTTACTTAAAATTTGAAAATTATTAAAATTGGAAAAGAATGATTGTACTAAAGTAGTAGTTGTTATAGTTATTTGTCAGCTATGTAGAACTTCAAAATAATAACCGTATTATTAATTTGTCAGAATTCAAACAATTTATTTATATTAATCACAATCTCTGAAATTGTTACAGACTGAACACAGATTTTGCAAAACTTTTCGCAGATCTCGAATGAAATATTATATACGGATATCTATAAAAGACTACATTAGTAAATATCTATTGGGTAATAATAATCGTAATGCCTTTAAAGAAAAATATACAAAATTTAAATCTTTATACAAGTCCTACAGAAAAATCACTGAGATAACATTTACCTTATCGAATTCATTTTTAAAAAAGAGCAAATCATACTATCAAAATTACTACAAATATTTGAGTATTTGGAATAATTTTGAGAGACCGCGTACAAATATTACTAAAATAACTAAGCGTGTAAATTTTCCGAAGTAAATTTCTGAGAGGTGTCTTTTTAAGTCAAAAATAGCTAGATGAAAATGACATACATTTCAACTTCCTGTTCATAGAAATTTTGATTTGGAATTTTTTGCTTATTATAATTCATTTTTTTGTACTACCTCTGGAAAGATGTAACTTCTGGAGGGGACAGTGTATCCTTTCCCCCCGGGATATAAAAGTAATTGTAATTATATAGCTTTCAGAATTTTTCCCAATTCTGCATATTATAGAAACAGTTCAATGTTGCAAATTATAAAAAGCGTTTCTCTCTTTACGACTTTAAATAGGGTAAAAAGAGAACATTTTTCGAACTTACGTGGAACTAACTTTTTTCGTAGCAGCCTTTTGTAAAATATTTTTAAATTTTTACTTAAAGGCGTTATTTTTAATAATTTTTTTAAATACTATAAAATCCTAGTAGTTTGAAATTTAATCACTGCAATAAGTTTATAGTTTGAAACCCTACCTTATCTGATTAATTTCTTTCATCAGATTCACAGGTCATGGTAATTATTCAAGAGATGTTTAATTCTGCAATATTTTCAAAACATCCCGTTCATTTACATTTAGTTTGATAAATTTTCTTTCTATTTAAAGTTAGTTATCATTTTCAAAGCTCAGGAATGATATATATTAATGTTATGAATAATGAAAGGTATTTTATGTGCATTTCGTATAAAATAATAATTATGAACTTAAGAAAACCCTACTCCGCTTATTCTAGTATCTATTTATTTTGAATACTTTTCTTTAATGGTTTTGTTTATTAATTATTTATTTATTTAATTTTAGTATTACTCCTTGAACCATTAAGTTATAAAAATGAAGAGAAAGAACGATTATGTAAACAGTGTAATAATGATTTTTCTTGCCTGCAGTGATGCAATAAGTTTTTCAGACACTCTAAAATTACAGATTCACTTTTATAGTTTGAAGAGGAGATAGCATACTTATAAAATGGCCAAATTAGATTACGAAAATTGTTATTTCCAAGTACCTTTAGCAGTTACTTAATTTTTCTTTCATTTGTATATTTGTCCTCATGCACAGAAGGATAGAAAAACTATACATGTTATGATAGTGTTTGCAATGAACATTTAAACATTCACAGTTACTAACTGAAAATGCAGTACGAATTTCAATAGTTCAAACTTTGATTAAATAATTAGTATTTAATATCTTTCAAGCTAAATTAAATAATATTAATAAATGATTAAAATTTGATTGATTATTGAGTAAGCATTTAAAACTCTAATTACTATAATATTAATAAATGATTAAAATTTGATTGATTATTCAGAACATTCATTAAAACTCTAATCACTGGCAAACGAAAAGATATTTAAGTGCTTAACAGAATTATTTGTAAAAATATACCGTCTCTCTGTCAATGTTGAACCCTCGAATAAGAGTATCTTCAGGACCAGTTATATTATAAAAGACTGGACTTCCGTTAGGCACAGTAGCTCGTACATCTAGTACAGTACTGCCAGCTTCAAGGACCCCGTCCGCGTTTACGGAATACTGAACAGACGTGAAAACAGGTGTAGGATCATCGATGGTATCCTTGTACACTTCTACCTGAAGGTCCACCGTGCTAGAAAAACAAAACACAATTAGGTTATATCAATAGAAAATAATGCACACTAAATACAGCCACACTAGTAATAATGCACACTAGTAATAATGCCACACTAGTAATAATGCACAACAGGTAATAAAGCCAAACAAAGTAACATTTAAGAATTCATTTCAGTTTAGAATTAGCGGAAAAGGGCGATATGCCTCCACAAAGTTTTATGACAAAGTGCCGCCGACACGACAGGATATAGTCATGAATCAATGCTTCTGGAATAAAAGACGTCTTCAGTGGGGGTGGGGTCTTGTTATAAAAGCATTATTTCAGAGTTTGTGTTCTTAGGATCATGTTTAATGTCACTAGAAAAAGTTTCCCGTGAATCACTGCGTTCACGTAAAGCGGTTAATCCACCTAATATCGTCATGGGTTAAAGACAGAGAAGGATGGGGCTACTGGGAATTCGAAAAAAAAAAAAAAAACTAGAGGCGCCGAGGCTTATGGTGCTGTTATGTAACCTGACGTTGATCGTTTAAAACATTAATCATAGTAGTACAATTCATGCAGCAAAAGTCAATAAACGCATAGAAGGGAAAAGATTTAATATAACTCTAAAGAAACAAAAATATAGACTAATGATAAAAGTATTGGACTCAGCATCAACTTTTTGCAAATTAATTGTTCGATCTAATTTTAAAACCCATTGCATAAAAGCAAGAAATTTTCATGTCTCACGTCACTTTTATGCAAGTAGGCAACTGTTAGCGAAGATTAAGAATTTCACCCGAGTGTTCCATCAGGCTTGATGACGGTTTCTTTCTTCATGATATCGAAATTCATAACGGTGCCGTCGGAACATTTGTGCCTTTATGTCACGGCCTCCTTGTTTCTTCGCAAGCAACTGTCAGCTTGAAAAAGATGCCCTGTATCTTTATGATATGACACCCTTGCACCTTGGCGAACTATGGATAACTTGAAAAAAGTTACCGGTACCATTTTTTAAGTTGGCCTTGCCGGTTAGACCAACCACATTCATCTCTGGTAAACGATCAAGTCATGAAAGCAATGTCCTCAGTTTCTTCTTAAAACAACTGGTCAACAATCATCATCTTCAAAGACAGGACAGGACAGGAAAAAGTGCAGGGGGCCCACGACATCATCATAGACAAAAACGGTATTGCCCCACTGCACTAACCTTTTCAGGCATTTGTTTAGACAAAAGATTACATTTCAAGTCATTACATTACGCAGTTGACATAATAAATTACATTAAAGTAACACGTTATTTACATAGGAAGAACAATTATACAGATAAACTGGGGTACAGGTAATCAAGGTACAGATATATTGGTATACAGGAATTCAATATGGAGATAATATGTTACAATTAATTAGGTGTTGCAGTTTGACATTTGTTGGTGTACTTGGAAGAATGCCTTAGCATTTGGGAAGATGGATGTGATGTGAGTTATAATGCTATGTTATTTTTGTGTTGGTGGTATTGTTGTGTGATTGTGCACAGATTTTGCAGAGTTTACTTTGCACAGAGTTCATTGTGTATAGAGTTCAATGTGCACAGAATTGTGCGCAGCAGCATGGATAGCACTTTGTATAATGAGCATCAGATAATAGTGTAAAGTTCAAAGTACTGCGCTTTGGCAATTTTAAGGCACCAATAGTTACATCATCACTCACATAAATAGTGATGACTTAGGATAGGAGCCTCCCTGTTGAATATCATATTTGAATCATATGAGTACCTTAGATTGTTTCCATGAAACGTTAAATGGTGAAACTGCAGATTACTTGTCGTTCTTCAGTGGAGGTGAGCAAAAACAGTCAAGATTTCTTTGGACAGCTGTGTGGCGGCACTTCGATTGCTAGGTATTCATCATTACGTCCGTTTTGTTATTTATGAGTGGCATAGTTCTCTACCTTGTTGTTGTAGCTTGTCTATGATAGTTTAATGTTTTTGTAGGTGTGTTGATGGTTGATTAGAAATCTTTTAAATTCCATTCCCACTTGAGTAGGGTGTTTGACGTGTAGGTTGGCGGTTAGTGGGCAATGAAAGATATAATGGTCAGGGTCGCCTCTTTACCCACATACGCATAAATCAGTTGAAGTAAAATTTCTTTCCAAGAAATATGTAGGGAAAGGGCCATGACCTGAGATATATTGTGTCAAGAAATAGTTGGATACTGTGCGTGTATCGTCTATCTTCGGTATAAAGCTGCAGGTACGTTGTCCTGTTGTACCATTTTCAAAGACAAACGCGTTGGCTATATAATCGTAATTTATACGTACACGGCAAAAGTATTGACCTTGCTGGTTAGATTAACCACATTCATCTCCGGCAAGCGATCAAATCATGAAAGAAATGTCGTCAGTACACTATTTTTAAGTAAAACAACTGGTCAATAGTCAACATCCTCAAAGACAAACGCGTTGGCTATGCAGTCATAATTTATGTTTACGTGGCAAATATATGTAGGATGTGATTATTTCTTTTCAGAGATTTTTCTCTTCAACGTTTTCGAAGAATCTGGGTCCACGCTAAATTGCTTAGACATCTGACATAGTGATTCTGGACAAGATATAAAAAAAATTCATTTCTTAGATATCATGTAACTCACTAAGGATTAAGTGCTTCATACGTACCTGGATAAAGAAAATACTGCTCCATCGGTGGCCTTAATCCTTAGAGTTTCTGTGCTCGGACTTAATGGTTGACTAGGTGTTATCTGGCCTGTCTTTGGATTAATTGAAAACTGGCTGCTCGGAGGTTGAAGTTCGTAAGTAATGAGACTATTTCCTCCAGATGGGCTATCTGCGTCTATTGCCTTTACGGCATACACAACCTCATCGATGGAAGTAGAAAGAGGAACACGAAGTAGATGTGGAAGCGCCAAGAACTCAGGTGGATTGTCGTTTAGGTCATTGACAGATACCTGTGAAGTTTATACCATATTTTATTAAAATAAAATACTGCAGTATATCTATAGTCTATTGAAGTAGACTACATTAAAGTTTTCAGGATTTTAGCCTTTAGCAATGGAAATAGGAGATTATAGAATTCCTAAAGACTACTCTAAATGTTTTTATGATTTCAGCCTTTAATAATGAAAATAAAAGACTGTGGAATCCTCTAAATGCTAGAAAAGAAGACTATTTTAAACATTTTTAGAATTTCAGCTCTTAATAAGGAGAACACCAAAGAAAACTACATTGAAGTTTTTTAGGATTTTTGGTGGTAGAAGGGGCAGAATCATAAAAAGTTTTGATAAATTAGCATTTATACCTGAACTACAGTTGTGGCAAATTGGGGCTCTTTTGATTCATCTCTGGCTTCGATTATCAATTCCAGGTACTTGGTCTTCTCATAATCTAATGGAGTAACAAGGACTACTTTTCCGTTTGAGCTGTCAATTCTGAATGCTTCCCTCTGAGTTGATCGCACGATCCTGTATTTCAGCCTTTAATAATGAAAATTACAAACAGTTACTAATTTTGTGAAGGAAAACATTAGTAGAACATAAATATGTAATGGATAAATTATACACTGAATTGGCAATAAAGTTAGCTGGAGGAGAACACAATGACTTCTAGAACCTGCATGAGGTTTATTTAAGTTAAATAACAGTTATTTTATGCTTGGAATTTTTACTGTCACTTCTCTCTTTGCGTTTTCCCTCCAGAACGCAAATTAGTTCGCGTGTATTTATGTGAGGGTTTGATTAAGTCAAAGCGTGCTGAAGTTTGAAAGCCATGTTACTAGGTTTACTATTCTAAATAAGGGTCTGTCTTTGGCGTTGCTACTTGCCTATAGTTTAAAATCACGTCTGTGAATTCTGAGCCAACTTCGCTATTAAATTACTCTGCGCAGCCATTGGCTATTAGTTATTTAAATTTAGTCCTACATTTGAATTTTTACTTTGAGTTTTCACCATAAGCGCTGGCGGATTTGTAAGTACGAAGTGTACCTTCTATTCATCTATTTTAGTTTAAAATAAAAGGGTCTTATACGCCCTTCTCAAGTTTCTGTACTTTAATTTTAGACTAGTCGTTTCTAAGTCTACAAAAAAGGTTAAGTCACATTTAGAGTAAAAAAGAGGTTAAATTTTATACCTGTTAAGTTTTTTACTTTGACAGCTGTCATCATACAAACCAATTCGAAATCTGTCATACTAACAGATTCAGGTATAGTTTGTGATTCGTTTAATCATAGTAGACTTCAAGGTTGCTGTACTACAACGTTTGCTCTTCTCGGTCAGAAATCTTTAGATGTGTGACGTCAGTTATTCATAGTCTGCTCCCTTTGTGTATTCGTTTCTCCTATTTATATAAAGGCCAGTGATGTCATTAAACGCGAGCGTTCGGAAGAGCAATCTTGTTTGTCTGCTGACTTTGGTTTAGATTAACGATTTATCACTTTACTTTACAGCTGCATTATACTACAATTAGACTGCGTTTCAACTGTCATTAAACATACAAACAACCAGGTGTGAAAGCAAAAGATAGGTCCACTTTTAATTCACTCACTTTGCTTCAAGAATTAAATCAGTGTATAAATTCAAATCAGCAATAGCCAGTGCGGTGTTGACTTCTGCGTGGGAATTCATACGTATAAATATAATAATATTAAATTTAATATCGAAGGCTTGTTTTTAGATTTAACTTCACCACAGCTTGGTGACTCCAGTTAAGATCCGATTACGGCTTAGGCCTAAAACTTAAAATGAAAGCTTAGATAACCCAAAAATTCACCTTTTAATTATGTGAAAATTACTTTTTTTTTTTTTTTTTTTTTTTACTTAATAAAATGTCGAAAAAGTTGGTGTCGATGGACGTGAAAGGCCGTCGCGCTTAAGGTTCTACACAGTGTTAATTAACACTAAATATCAAAAACTGATAAAAAGAATAAAGAACTAATATATTCTCGGAGTTTAGCTTATTATAGTTTTTGCATTTTATTTTAGATAACTTTACCTTCCAGCTGGACCGGAATCCGGATCATATGCGTGAACTGTCAGCAAATCGACATTGGCAGAATTCTCGTCGACGGCCACTCGGTAACCAAATTTCTCGAATTTAGGAGGATGGTTCCTCGTACTGGAAACGCGAACAACTAGAATGGCTTTTCCAATATTGGATGCCGTTCCATGGTCCCTCGCGAAGATTTCCATTTCGTAAGTCGTGTTCCGCTGAATCTGGCTAGGCAGGACTGTAGATAACCGGATGTGTCCAGTTTGCGAATCGATATCGAAAAGTCCGTGGGTGTTCTTGATCCAATAAGTCACTTCTCCATTACTGGCTAGATCAGGGTCGGTGGCCAGAACCTGTCAAATTTAACAACAGTATTAGTATCTAATATTATGAATGGTTGTGATGAAAACGATTTTCCCTAGGCTTCAGTACAAAGTGCTTATATTACTTTTAAATAAATCTTTCCTTTAATTTTCTTTTTCATATGTATAGAACAGATAACTGGGAAAATATTGTATTTTCTGAATTACTGATTTATATGACGAAGGGAAAGGAAAGGTTTCCATTAAGCAATTTCAACAATACAGCGAGATTATGTTTATTGCTAACAGATGGCAGCACCATACTACATTTTTCACAAGCTGTTTTTCAGTTTTATTTTCAGAAAGTCACATAATGATACCTCTAACGGTATGCTGCATAATTTGTGTGGTTTTTTGCGAATTTTTTAATGTAATTCAGTGTAAAAATGTAGGAATATTTTATTTAATATTATGCAAAAAAATTGAAAGTAAATTGTTGAGCTAAGTGTGCTGCACTCTTTATAGGGAAACAAAATTGTACTCTGAATGTCAGGTTACGTGTTGCACAGAATAAATTTCGTCGGTAATACATAAAAAGCATAAAAGTACAATTAACAGATGGCCGACTAATTAACACAGAAAACAGTATAAAAATGTTAATCGAGGAATTAGTTGTTAATCTTTAAGCAGAAATTATTTGTTGTTATATAATATATTATAACGCAATTTGCAATCTACAGATTCATACAGAATACCTGGAAATTTCTTACACGGATAAAAACATTTTAATGCCATTGGGAACAATGCACTTAAGTGAAAAGTCTTTCTCAACGTATGTAACAACAAAATAGTATATACAAACAAATTAAATGCAGAATAAGAAATGCGACTGCAGATAACATCAGTACAGTTAGTCTTCAAAAGTTTGTGTAAAAAAAGGCAAAGATAGTCCTGAAACTAAAATAATATAAATGCAAGTGACATCTGGAGCAGGAGTTACTGCTATTTATGAATAAATTGCATGGATTTTACGTTAAAGTTTTTTTTAATACAAAATTTAATATTTTTAATTATCTTGACATAAAATGCCTACTACGTACTCATCTAATTTAAATATTAGATTAAGATATATTTTTCTAAGGGTGGAGTGGGGTTCCCCTAAAAACAGTTTTAAGGGTTCCGTGACCAGGCAAAGTTTGAAGACGCTGATGTCATGTAGCTTATCAGGTTCTGTGTTTTTAGCGTATGCGAAGCAGATATATAAAAGAAAATATATTGATGTCATTATGGCTTTAATTATCAAAGAATCCTATTTTTTTATTTTGAACAATATTAATTTTACTCAGTCTAAAAGCGAAACATAAAGAGAGGAAACAGAGAGAGGAAAACTTATCCAGATATTTTGAGAAGGATAATCTCACCTGAATAATTGTTCGTCCAGCCTGCGATTGCGGAGGTATGCTGACAAAGTAACGTTCTCTTTCAAATTTAGGAGGATTATCATTCTGATCTAGCACGCGGATAACCACCGGTGACTTAGTTTCATATCGTCCGTCCAGTGCAATGACAACAAATTCGTAAATTTCTTTCTCTTCTCTGTCCAGAACTTGTTTGGTGCAGACATCTCCAGTTTTGGGATTGACAGTGAAAGGAATGGTATTGCGATCCACGGCGTACGACAACGTATCCACGGAATCACCGCTCTCAGCATGGATCTGTTGGCAATACGTCAATCATGTAATAAATTCAAACCATAAAAAATGACCATATAGCACGATTTTTGTAACAACTATAATTCATTCGACAGCATAAAAAGAAAACGTTAATCAACATATTAATATGGTATACGATAACAACCAATTACACATAACTATGCAATTCAAAAGGAAAATATTCATTATTAAAATTATGTGTTAATTGCAGAGAATTATAAATTAATTGATATTTGTGTTGATTAATAAAATAATTAACACAAATTATAAAACATAATTAATAAATTAATTAACGCAAACGTCAGTAATGATTTTGCTATGATATACGAGAACAAGATCTTATAACTAAAAGAGGAGCCGGCTAATAAGGTGACGTTTATCCCTGATTATTTTTTTAACTTAAACGATGGGAAACATTATCTTTCAAAATATCAAAAGATAATTTAATGTAAATATGACAAGAAACATAAAAGTATTTACTTTCACTAGATTTTTAATCAGGGAACAAAATCATAAGAAAATAATGCACATTTTCTAAGAAGAATATTCGTAAAAGCGCACTTATTTAAACAAGCAAAGAAATATTTTGTCGCGGAAAAGGGAAGCTCATCCAGAATTCTACTCCATTAAACACTTCAGCACAGTCGGTCTTGGCATCTTTGTACACAGTAGTTGCCTTAAATAAAAATCAATCTTCTTGGCAACTTAATCCTTTACTTGGCAAAAAGTCTTTGTCATTCGGCAATTTTAGTACTCTATTTCGACTTTATTTGGCGACTCTACTTCCGATTAAAATATTTACTCTACACTATTTTGGTAACATTAACTAATTTATTGATAACAATAACCGGTGTATTTTCCAAACGAAAAGGCAGGATTTCAGAAGTTCGATAACAATATCCGAATGATAACATTAACCGAAATTAAGTGGCGCCTACTGTGAACAATAATAACATATAATTAAGAAAGAAAACAATAGTGTATAAAAATTAATATTGAAATATATAATAAACATAAAAAGACCACAATAATGTATCAAATCACGACTAAGACATACGAAAAGAGAACTTTTATACCGCCAATACGTGACTAAGAAAAATAAAGAAAACATTAAAGTCATCAATAAATTTGTAAATATAAAATTACAATGTCTAATAAAACAAAAGGAAAAAAATGAATATTATCAGCGTTTGACTTAGCGAAAAGAAAATTATTATTTTATCAAAAACACAATCTTAACTAGTAATAATAGTATGATGATGTGATAGGTAAATAAATAGTAACGATATGATGATAATAGAATGGAAGAAATACAGTAAAAATATACTTAGAAATGTTAATAATTTTTTAGATTGCCATTCATCATCGATCGGGAATCTTTAAATATTTTCAGCTTCAACTGTGAGGCTTCTTTCAAACCTTTTCAGCGATTAAATTCTCAGGATGATTTAAAATAAAAAAATTTAAAGTTTATTGCTAAATGCTGTTAATAGGTAAATATTATTTATGTAGCTCATATACCATATTAACCTTTTCAATAAATGCGAATTGAGATATTTTTTGCCATTATTAAAAATTTATGAACGTTTCTAATAGCATTGTTTATACAAATTTCATGATATCACTCGGAAATAGGACTGAAATTCCGAATAACTGTAGGCGATGAACTAAATAAATTTATTGCCTACTGACATGTAAAATTTTGAGTCAATAAATCAGTTGATTTTCCCATAATTGGATAATAAGCATCCAGAAAACATTTCCTTTTGAAACATTAGTCGATGAATTCTTTTGATTTATAGTAATCTCAACCTCATAATAATTGTCTTAGTTCAATCATCCTCTGATTTATAGCAATCTCAATAGTTTAAAATAATTTAAAGTGCATAAATGAGAAAATTTCAAGTTTCCATTTTTAACAGTCATTTAAATGTAGACAGATACTCACAAAATCCAGTCTCGCCTGTCTAGCGCGAGTCTGTAATCAAAATAGGGACACGAAATTCACCTTTTCTTTAATTATCACAATCTCCGGTATTTTCCCCTTAATTTATTGCCTCAATAAAAGACGTAGAAAAATATCACAATAAAATCTTAAACAGCTCATAAAAATAAATACCCAAATTACAAAAAAAAAAAAAAAAAGTTTTACTTCAAATGAGACTTCAGTTTTTAAAAATAATATTTTACCAATTATCATAAGCAGACTACTTGAGAGAATATATAAAAAGTAATGTCCTTTGTGATCTAACGTAAATGCAATAAGATATCACAATTATGCAGATTCAATATAACTTAATTTTCAAATACCTGGAGGAAGCAATGTCCGGCTGGTAAGTTTTCCGACAAAGAAGCTGAATAAGACATTTGGGAAAACTGTGGAGGATGATCGTTTGTGTCAATGACGTCGATAGTAACCATGGCCAATCCGTACAGTGAGCTGGCATGAGCTGAAAATATCAAAAGAAGAAGAATTAGAAGTATATAGTATTGTTGAATAGCTTAATTCAACAATTTGTAAATGCTCAAAGGAAAATTCGTAACTGCATATCTGCATTGTTTAAAACAATTTCTTACTGCCCTTCTAATTTAATTAAATTAACACTAAAAAAATTATACAAATTTCCAGAATTTCCACAAATATTCGTAACATGCGTAACCCCTTAACCTACGATTTAGATTCAAAGATGTTGGGCCGAAATTGTATACAAGCTCGCGCAGCGTTCAGGACACATGACTTGTGTAACACATTAATCCGGGTAATCGTAAACATGACGAATTATGTAATTTTCGAAGAAAATATAGGCTAATAATTATGGATGATACATCCGATGACGATCAACTACCAGAGTCCTGGCTTTGGAAAGAAATAAGAAATAGTCCAAAAATCTGGGTCCATACGATGACTCCTGGCATAAGAGAGGAAGCCTTATGTCAATTAGGAGGAAGTAGGGGAGAATTTGATATATTTAATCTAATATTTGATGACATATTTTGGAACAATATTGTAACCGAACCGAATCAGTATGCAGATCAAGTACGAGAAAATCCACATAGAACACGAGAGTAAAAAGTGTAAAGTTCCGTTACATGTACCAGAATGCTTTGAAATACATCATACCGTTACAGATTACTAATTTTGTATTTTGGCGTTTTGAATAAATAAACATTTTGTAATACTTGCGTCTACTACAATTATTGCATCAGACTGTAATTGCGTATCAAATATTCCACGTAATATTCACTTCTGCCTCGATCACCGTACGCGGGCTATGCCCGTGAAAATTAGGTTTGGCCCGATTATCGTACGCGGGCTATGCCCGTGAAAGTTAGGTTTGGCCCGAACATCGTACGCGGGCTATGCCCGTCATTGTAGATTAAAGGGTTAATCTTAATAGCTTTTGGCACACCAGCGGTCGAGCGGTAAAGTCGCTGAACACTGCTATTTCGGTCCGAGATTCAAATCCCGTGAACGGGTTGGCTGCATGTACGTTTTCGTAGTTTCCCTTATGTATAATGTGTATACGAGCCAGATTCCCTTAGAAGGGTTTTTCACGAAGGCATCTCTTCCCTCAGGCAGATATCCCTCGAGGCTTTGCCTTAATCACATAAACCCAAAGTCCAAACTTAGTAGCTTTAGATCTTTTATATTAATATTTTTATTTCAACTTCGAGAATAAATTTACATTCAGACACTTCTCGGTTTGTATTTTGTATACAAATTTGTATGCAAATATGCCTTTTAGAAAAAGGGGCGGGTGAACAACAAAAAGGATAGCACAAAAAATAGACTATGCATTGAAATTAAACATTTTTAAGCAAAATACATTTTTTTCAATAGAGGACCTTTCAGCAGCAGGTTTCACTTCGTATTCCCTTCGCATATTTTCTGGGAAGTACTCTCAGTGGAATTTCAAACTAACACCTTCCCTTTAAAGGTATCAACAGATCGCTGTGTAAATAAAAAAGATAATTAGTAAACATGAGAATGCCGACAAGATCTGTTTTATGTCTTTGATAACAGCAGAATAGCTGCAGCTGAGGAATGAGATACGTTTAGCTTTACAGGCAGGACAGAGGGGCTAGAAATACACGCAGCGTGAGGTTTGGGAAATTCTATCTGGCAACCACCAAAAAAGAAGAAAAAAGATCAACTATGCAGAGAGTTTCAGATGAGATTTTCAACGAAACTCTCAAGGAAGACAGTTATAACAACAGAATATGCAGAAAGATTGAACATACGTCACATCACCCATTATAAAGATGAAAAAATTGGCATCGGACGGACGAATGCCATAGAGTTGATAGGGCACAACCATCATGTACGTGCAAGGAAATACACCATCGTATATTTCTTTGCACATTTCTCATAAAGTAGAAGAAATTCTGCACCAAAACGTTACTTCTTATAAACAATAACGCAAATACCGCCATTATGGTGGACTCTACCCTGTTCAGAAAAAGCTTTTATTACTTCAGGGTCTAACTTGAATTTGCGCAATGCTATGTGTGTTGAACTTCTTAAGCTATTATTCTATGGGACATGCGGGAACGTCAACAAACTTCAGACAGTCTATTCATGAAAAAAGTCAAACATTACTTAGAATAGAATAGCCTAGGCTTCAAAGTTCTCCTAGTTCAATAATGCTCCAGAACACGTACTGAAATGTGTACGTGTTCATTCAAAGCTTCAAACATTCAAAGCTTATTTTGCCAGGCATGTTTCCATCTCTTCAAATAAAGCACTAGAAGAAAGGAAAGCACGATACATTAATGGCATTTTGGAAGCACGTCAACATAAGACAGTTGAAAAGGCTTCAAAAATTTCTATAGGAAGCGAAAAAGCACTGAGATATAGGCATGAAGACAAGTGCCAACTTCACACTGCGTTTTTCGTGTGACAGAAACTGATAGTCTGATTTGGAAGATCTCATTACATGAAAGATACTTTTAAGAACTCGCTGCTCATAGGGTGACACTTTCACCGGACACATGGACAGCAATGATGTTGAAGCATTTCCATCAAAATAGTTGAAAATTTTAGTCTGAAGCTAACAGTTGGAAATTTACTAGACGGTGGAAATGTGTCAACGCTAATGACGAAACTTTATAATCGATTAAAATAAATACTTTTTACATAAAACTCTTTGTAGAAACATTAACGGCGAAATTTTATAATTGATTAAAATAAATAACTTTCGTATAAAAACTCTTAGTTAATTTATGTTAATAAAAAAATATAAACCAATTATTTTATGATTTAGACCTTTACTGTCGCTTCTTCCTTCCATTTCCATACCAGAATGCAAATTAGTTCGCGTCTATTTAAAGATGAGTTTTTTAGATTGTAAGACAGAGCATGTTCTGCCTTAAATCTGCCTTAACGTTACTAGAGTACCAGCTCGAATAAGCTTTGTAGTCTTTGGCTCTGCGTTGTAATTGCTGATATTCAATCTCCAAGCCGGTTAGATTTCGAGCCAGCTTCGCGTTAAATTGATCTGCGGAGCCTTTGGCTTCTAGCTCATTTAATTTAAATTTTACATTTGACTTACTGCTACTTTAAGCTGTCTTGCCATAAGTGCTGGCTGAGCTGGTAAACAGCAGGTATGCCTTCTTTTCTTACTTAGTTTGAAATAACGGGTCTCAAGTTTCAGTTGTTATTTCAGACTTAGAGAAAATTCGCTTAAAGTCTACCAAGAGTTTGCACACTATTAGATGATTACAAAGCATACAAAATTTCATATGTTATTTGGTAAATGAAGACTAGTATACTATACGTATTTTCGAGATTCCTTACATTAATTTACTTTTAAGAATGCGAGTATCAATAAATGTAGAACTTTTTTTAACTAAGCATATAAAAAACAAGCCTTATTAATTGAATTCACTGATGCAATATATGGAGATATGTTGTTGTTGTGACTTATCTCACTTGTCTGGGAGTAACATCGGAACAAGCCCACAAAATTTATCGTGGTGAGGAGAGCAAGATAGCGCCTGTCTATTGGTAAGTCTTGAGCACCATACAGGTGAGAGTGCGACTTTTCTCAGTTACGCCCCAAATTTTGATGGGGCGTAACTGAGTGGAAAAAAAGCACTCAGTGGAGATGGCTCCGCTGGTCTCTTCCCCTACCAGCAACTTCTCGAGAGGACCTTTCGGCTGTCCGCATATTTAGAGTGCCTCCATCCCGCACAGACACTATACATCGTCTGTGCTTTCTCCGGGATTTGAACCCGGGCCCTTCGATACGGCAGTCAACGTGGCTAACCACTATCCCGCCTGGACTGCTGGAGATATTTCAAATGTAGCAATTCAGTCATTAAGGTAATTTATAACATATCTGTTACTTGTTAGTTCAAAAATGCCATGACATTAGAAGCAGTTTGCAGTAGCTTTAAACGGAAATTGAAGGAAAATCTTACAACTAAAGAAATATTTAATTAATTGCAACGAATAATTATACTCACAATCTCTGGCTTCGATGAGCAGACTGTAAGATTTCGTTTGATCGTAGTCCACACGATGAGCTTCCGAAGGTAACACAAAGATCTCACCGGTGGAAGGATGCAAGTCGAAAATTCCTTCCTCATTTCCGCTTTTGATGCTGTAAGCCACTGTGTTATTTTGCAAATCTCGATCGACAGCGAGAACCTGAAAATAAAATCAAATTAATATTCAGATGAATATCCACATCGCTAGCCAAGTTCGACATGAGAAGATTACTTTCCTGTCAATAGATCTGACAAAAAACTGAGCATTCATTTTATTAAAATTTTGACTATTTCAGCAAACGCCAAACACTTTAAAACTGGAGTAGATTTAGAGTAATATTATAGCAATAATTATAAACACAGATCTCTAAATCATACAACTGGATTTTGGCTGGACTGTAAGAAGCCAAGAAGTTGTCTTATGAACAAGGTTTCCTTTCGCGTAAACGTTCCCAATCAATATCATTCTTAGCTTTTTCTATACCAGGCTATTTAAGGAGTATATCGTTCTTAGTCTGCGGCCTTTACGTCATGCCACCAGATCCTTTTGTATTGAGTTTGCCATATGAGCAAAGTATAGTTCGACCGCTTCATCCGCGACTACGAGCGCAAACATGCATTTGCGCGGTCTTCAGGAGCAAGAAAAGTTTGCCAAAAAGGTAGGGGTGACGGCCAAAGTGGTATCAAACTCAATAGAAATAACAAATGGAATAAGAACGTAGCGCCATCTGGCAAGAATAATATTAATAAAATGTGAAAAGTTAAGATATTAAAATTTTCAAAGCGTTAGGAAAAACCGTATTAAAATGAACGTCATTTACTAAAGAAGCATTTTTGTTAAGGTGAAAAGCTTCAAGAAAATCCAATTCACCAATTGATAAAGCTTTACTGATAATTTTCACGGAATCAAATTCAAAATTTTGATTAAGATTCCAACTATTATTAGCTAATATAAAGGATATTAGCACGGTCCGAGTCTCATGTCTAATTTACACAGAACTTAAAGAAGCGGATATACAATGAAGCCAATTTCAGACGTAGTTGGCTGATTCGAGTACACTGGTATTCAATTGATCAGACTACGTGGCGAAAACTAAACTATCGTGTAGACGTCTGTCAAATCACAAAAGAACGCATATCAAATATTTTTAATACTGTTAGAAACATGGTAAATTAGCCTTTCATTTTATATTTATGTTTATGAAATAAATTCATTACAGTATTCACAGGTATCTTTACTTTTTTATGTCATTTTTCTTTTTATACCATTCTGTAGACAATATCATTTTAAAGAAATGAACAACAAAATTAAAAATCGCCGAATATGAAATGAAACAGAAATACGTTCTGCCTAACAGAACTCAATAGGACGTCCGCTGTCTTACCTTAACGATTGGTTTATCCGTTATTTGCTTCTCTGTAACAGTTCCATGATAGGATAATTTGGTGAAAACAGGTGGATGGTCATTCCTTTCTCGCACCCAAACATTCACTTGGACTCCGATGCTATTATTCTGAGGCACACCGTCATCAGTTGCCCTGGCAATGAATGAAAACCGTGTTCGAGCGTCCAAGTCCTTCTTTACGTATACTATACCAGTATCTTCATCGATCATGAAGAAAGCTGAAAACAGAATAGAATCTGTATTAAATTCCGATGGCAAGGACTCAGTTTTATGAAAACTTAGAGAAAAAAAAATCAAAACAGCTTTATTCAGCACATAACTTCCGAAGATCTGAACTTTAGTTGTTGTTCAGATGTTCACCGCCTCTGGACAAATACGTTACAGAAACCAGTTACACCAGTGTGTCCTGTGTTTAGTTTCATACCCCTATCATATGCAAGGCAGTAAGTAAACCGAAAAACTCTTATCACCAATATCCAATTTAAATCTTGATGGGCTACGAAGTAGATAAAGCCTTCATCTAAAGATAATATGACCAGTCAAATCATTTGAAGCCTATCATCTAAAGACAATACGAATTCCATTGGTACTTCAACCAATATCAACAAATTCACAAAAGGACACATTATCACTGCGCTAAAAAAGCAGTAGACCGATCATTCCCTAATGATCTCCTAAGGCCCATATCACACGGCGTTTGTTTCTCACGAACAACTGTTTCGGACAGTTTTTTTGCCTGGTTTACTATTGACAGAAAGACGTGCGACTTTTTCCTTCCTTTCGAAAAAAATTGCTAGTTGTTCGTTTTCAACCAATCAGCTATCAGCTTGTTTTGTAATGGGGAACCAGTTTTCCCTGTGTTAATCCCAAAGCGATCTATGGTGATTGGCTGTTGTGACAAAGCAGAAAAATTGTTCCAAACAGTTGTTCTTCCGAAACAAACCGCCGTGTGATAGCAGCCTAACGAACCTTATTTCATGTGCATAAAAATTGCATAATCTGTAAAGTCTAACCAACCAGTTATTTTATGTTACGAATTTTTACTGTCACTTCTCTCTTTCCGTTTTCCTGTCAGAATGCAAATTTAGCTCCAGTGTATTTAAACGAGGGTTTGAGATTGATTTAGTCAGAGCGTGTTTGGCCTGCTGAAGGCCACGTTACTAGTTGATGTTCTAAGATAGCATTTTTGTCTACGCCGCTGTTTTATTCTTGCAGATTGTGCTGTCAGGCCGGTGTTGGTTAGAGCCAACTTGCGCGTTGGCTCTAACCTGAATCGCTCTAACCAGACCTTTGGCTAGCAAAGACTTAAATTTAAGTTAATTTAAAATGCTACTTTTGATTTTACGCCATAATTGCTGCCTGGTTTTGTAAGCACAAGGAGTACCTTCTGTTCAGTCCATTTGAGCTCTTAATAAAAAAGTCTTTTACACCTTAGGACTTTTCAGTTTGCTTATCTAGACATAGCGATAAGTCTACTCAAAAGTCTATTAGCGTTGTAACCAAAACCAGCGAGGCCCTACAAACCGCCGTCTTCTACGTAATCTTCAAGTTCTATGAATGAAGAACAAGTTACCTGTATCTCGCCGGCCGTTGTACTTGATTTGCCATCCCATCGTATGCCTTAACATGTCCAATCTTCGTGCCTCTTGCAGCGCTCTCTTCTGCTCGGAAATCACGTAACCACCAAATTCGTTTTTGGTTTACATTTGCGACTTTATGTTTTTCGTTTTTTTTTTTTTTTTTTTTTTTTTTTTTGTTTTTTTTTTTTTTTAAAAGAGGACCAAGAATTTCAAGAAATATTTAATTTTTTTTTACATACATAGAATGATATTTTAAAAACAAAGCACTTGAATCAGTTGTAATGTATATTTTAATTTTATAACACTTATTTTAATTTTAATGTATTTTCCTAAAAATTCTCGTTTCCTCTTACAACACCCAGAATGAGTTTTTAGAATCGCTTTGAATGCGAATGAGTTAGAAGTAGTATTTAAGGAAAGTTCAATTTACTTCGAGAGAGAGAGAAAGAGCTAAGAATCCTGAGTAGCGCGTGTTTGTTTTCGGGCTAAGTCTCTCGAGGAGCTGTTACGCTCGGCCGTATATCACGTCCTTGTGATATTTGCCGCCTAGTTTTAATTAAAGACCAACTACGTTAGACTTGTGTGAGCTTCGGCTAAGCCTTTTAGTTAGTTCTAATTTAGTTCTTATTTCTTATTCTGAGTTTAAGACCAAGTGGAGGCTTTGTTGTAAGCCCTAGAAAGGGGCCAACTGTTCATCTTATTTTGAGTGAAATAAATCGTAGTCTATGTCACTTGTTTCAACTCAGCGATAAGTCGCTAACAAGTTCACTACGTTCATTTTAGTACAAAACGATTGGGGAACTCTACACAGTGGTTATTTTACTTGTATGTTTATTGTAAAACCATGTTGGTCTGCCTTAAGCATTTGTTGGGATACAGGTTGTAAGCTTAAATTTTAGTTTAAACTTATCATTTAGTTTTATTTTATAGCTATTTCTTTTCCGTTTCTCATTTTTATAACTGACTCTAGAAATATGGGGTTATTCCAGAAATGAATAGATTAATGTAGTCTAAAAGAAGGAATAGTAAGGTTGAAATAAAAGGGGCTCTAATAACCTGAAGCACCGACATTCATCGGCACTTGATATGTAATTGTTGGGTGTCTTGCAATCGGTTAGCTATGGGAGGTGAAATTAAGCAGAAGCACATGAGACTTAAGTGAGAGTTTCCGGAATTAAATAGTAGCGCAATTTAGTTTCTACAAACTGAATAAACTTTAGTTGCTGTTATTTACGTAAGACTATTTTTAACTTGAAGTTTATTTTTGTGAAAATTAAAATTCGAAATCGGCCAGAGCAATAGCAAATAGTTGTAAAACACTAAGACCAAGCTTCGTAAGACTGCGTGCAAAAATATGGCATCAGAAATCTTTTACTGCAAAAATAGCGTATGTAGTTATGTGTATTTATGGTGATAACGTTAAACTTCCCATTTTTGGAATGACATTTTATTAACTATTAAGCTACGTGAACGTATTGATACAAACAGTATTTGAAATTAAGTAGTTTCCACGAGGGCGGAACTGCCAGTGTTAAGCGACTTTACCGCTCGGCCGCCGGTGGGCTTGATTTTGGATCAAATAAAGATAAATTAATAATTTAGAATTATCATCGTAAGGTCCTATATAAAATTTCATTTTTTTTTATCTTTATTAACAGGTGTGGTGTGACCAAAATTATCATAATATGAAAGACTTATGTGTCATTGGTCATAGACCAGTGTTGTTAGAAGTAGATTATCATGATATATTTTCGAACTGTTGATTCTAAAATGACAACGTGATTTCAACAGTTTCATGTTTTTACTGTGCCTTGCTCACGCCATCGAAATTTTTGAATAAAAAAAAGAATATCAACTTTATTATAATCACGATGAAATTACTGAGGAAGAATTTCTCGTTGCGGAGTTTCACGTCATTTACTTCTGAGGAAAATTTGTCACTTTTTCAAATTATTCTAAAATACAATTTTCAGAAAGCAGCCCCAAATGTTGTATTAATACTGCATATTTTCCCTACAATTGTTATTAGATTATTAGATGTGAGAGAGATGTTTATCTAAATAAAAAATCTATAAAGAATACCTGAAACTTACAAATGAGTGCTTTGCCTTAAAAAAACTTACTATTTTGTATGCCAAAAAATAATTATAGTAAATGAACTACAAATGGCTACTATGGTTTACACACTTTTATAATAATTTAATTAAAGAATTTAAAAAAAAAAGATATTGGAGGGAAAATATTTTATCTAAACAGCTTATTATTTGAAATAAGAAATATCGTCTGTTACTTTTAAAATTATTATTCTTTCACAAGTCATGTCGCATGTCAATAAGCTCTGGTAAAGGTATTGCATATATAGCTTTTCAATGTATTCCGGCGAAATTTCTGATGTTTCACTTACGAAGTATTGTTTCTCTTGTCTTTTGAAAAGGGCTCTTTCTAAACGCAAACCCACCACAATGGATGGACTCTGGAATGAAGGGGGAGAGGGATTCAATCAGTCTCGCTGAAAATTTTACGAAGAGTCGTTTCCCATGGAAACCACAATGGAGATGTAGAAAGGAGATGTAGAAAGGAGATGTAGAAAGGAGATCCAGAAAAAAAAAAAAAAAAAAGCTGTCGCACCGAACTTTTAGAAATATAATCTTTACATTTTGAACATTAGTTAAACGGCCCTGTTCTAAAAGGGTGTAAACACCGTCTTTATATTTCTATGATTTCGTCGACGATTTCATTAACAGAAAACAAACAAATTAGTATCATATTGCATAATACTTTGCATATTTCGTAATCTTAAGTGGCTATGCCACTGAATAGAAAGTAAAATTCTTTGGAGGGAAAATGCGTGAAAATGCGTCTTCTAAGGAACAAAGAAATTGCGGCTTAAAAAGTTAAGCCTGCCTTCCAGATCTTTACGCATCGTGTCATTCTAGAAAGTATAAGAATGCTGGTGCTTTCTTTTCCCGCCTCACACTCTAGTTCACTAATTTATACGCACGGATGATTTTAATCTAACCTCGAAACGTATTCTTCTTGATTTAGATTGCGAAAGTAACCGAGTTGTCGAAAGATTATAATTTGCAAAAACGATAAGTATGACACATTATTGTACTGAGGCTTTGATATAAGATCACCTCAGGCATAAAATGCTCACATAGTTTCAAAAAGTACTTTTACAGGGGAAAAAAATCTCGCTTCCAACACAAAATGGTGTCGTGTAACCAAAACTATCATATGTCAGTTCAAAATGTTAAAAGTAATCTGCAAAAAAAAAAAAAAGGCAATTAAATGTCAAAAATCTGTACTTTAAAGATAAAACTGAGATAAAATGTTTTCTTTTCCGCTAAACGTTAGGAAAAAATTGTAAAATGTTTAGATAAATTTTCTGATTTTAGGCTTTGTGTGCAAGAGAGCGGCAACCGATTTTTAAAAAGGCAATTTGAGAAAATAAATTGCATATTTTAGTATATAATCAAACCTTTCGCGTCTATTTTTGCAAATAAATCTGAGTTTAAATGGTGTTTAAAAATAATATCTTGCTTTCTAAGTAAAGCGCAGTGTCTTCTTCAGGATTCCAACACCGAGCCACCCGAACACGCGTTACACCAGAAAGTTCTTTTTACACCAACAAGGCAAGTGGAAAGGAGAGAGAAAATACCGTATAAATTTAATTTTGCAGTAGTATTTTTTATCTCTCACTATTATTTGGCAACTTCTCCTTCCTGTCTTAAAATTAATAACTGTTTATAATATATGAATCTAAAGTGCGTCATCTCAAAATTAATCCGCAAATGTAACGCGTGTAGCAACGCGGATATCTTTTACCCAATCACAAGTCAAAATTTCAACAAAGAGCCGACTTTATATCTCTCCCTGCTGTTGAATGCGCACATACTTTACCACTTTGCTTTTGTTCTTGCAATAGGCGTCGCTCACTTATTTTGCTTCATCCATTCTGCAAGATGTAAATTTCATAGAATGTTATGAAGATTGGATGCATATTGCTCTTATAATAATATGTCAACCTGATTATGCTTCTCAATGCTTGCTTTATCAACAAATACAATTACGTGATGTATCTATGGCCACATTTATTTGCAAGGCTCTCCTTTGTTACGCATCATTTAAATTACGCAGTAGAACTATTAGGTATTTCTCCCACTTTCCTAGCGTGCCTTCGTGGTGTAGTGGTTCTGCACGCTGGGCCGGTATTCTAGAGGTCCCTGGTTCGATTCCCGGCGAAGGTTATCGTTCATTTTTCATCTCTGCTGCTTTTCCAAATTACCTAATGTCTCTACAAGTGGCGCTCGAACTAAAAGGGCTGTGGATGATGATTCTCCGCAGCCAGGATTTGGCAACTAGGTCCCCTAAAATCCTAGTCGCCCTTTAAAAAAGGGAGTATAAAAGGTATTTCTCCCCCTTTCCTAGCGTGCCTTCGTGGTGTAGTGGTTCTGCACGCTGGGCCGGTATTCCAGAGGTCCGTGGTTCGATTCCCGGCGAAGGCGTTGTTCATTTTTCATCTCTCCGGTTTTTTTTCCAAATTACCTAATGTCTCCATAGAACAACTATCTAAACTCATTACAATTACCGCCCAATCATTAAGATATTTGCATGTTATACAGTACAAAGTCCGAGATCCAGACGTCCAATATCCTGTATGACCTAAAATCTGGACCTCAAGCATGTTTCTGGACCTCAAGCAGGCGCGTTTGATATTTTCGGTCCTCGTAATGAAACATGCGGAGAATCCAGATTTTTAATCTCACTTTGGCACTAAATAAAATACCTCATTATTGAAGAAATGATCATTTTAGCATAAATTTGTGCGATCAATAATTTGACTGCGTAGCTGCTCATCTGCAAGGCACACATCTACCGTAGCATTCTACATAGAAACATTGATGAATTTACACCATTTAATATTTTATATCATTGACCCCAACCTGGTGAAAAACAACAGCAATGACAACTTAAGTGATGACTCATGCAGCGATGCCTATTTTTTTTATATTAGTAATTGAATAATAAAGGGTGTAGTAACATTTTCTGTTGACATACGCTTGGCGCCGATTACAGATTTAAGATAAATGTTGAACGAGTCCAGATCTCGGACTTTGTACTGTATTACATACATAACTATTTAACATTTTCTTCTGTGTCTGAGAAGCATTTTTAACAATAGTACTTTTTTTTTTGGTGTTAAAATTAAAATTCGTGCAATGTTCGATTAATTAGTTGGGATTATTGAGATTCAATGAAGAATATTTATATATTAATCATATTTGATGGAATAAAATTGTTACCCGATCCGTGCTGGACGGCCACCATCGACAGCATAAACAGTGAATTCATGTTGGTCGTTGGCTTCATAGTCAAGGTTAGAAACTAGTGTTATGGCTCCCGTGGCGTTATTTACCAGAAATACATCCTAAAACAGAAGTGAACAATTATTGGTGAAATGAAATAAATAAAGAGCTACAAAGAATCACAGAATATTCAACATGCTCTTCGAAATTTATGCTTACGAAAAAAAATTATAGACACTTAAGTTAAAAAATCGGACATGGACACCATATGATTTCCTTGTACGACCTATATGCACATTTTTTGCTGCACTTCATTGAAACTTATTTCATCGAATTCCTTTAACTTAATTAATAGACTTCTCGAGGCAATTTGAAAATGGCGTCAGAAACTGCAAATTTTGAAATTAAATATCCCGCTCAATTTTTTTCGTACTGGAGTCAAATTTCTTATAATTTTATTTTTTCAAGAAGAGTATAAAACTTCCCCATCTATCAGTATAGGAACAGGAAGACCATATTAAGAGTTCATTATTTATCCGAAAATATTTTTTTTTAAATTTGAAATTGCCAAAACATGAATAATTTCGTCATTTGAAACACTTCTGTAACTGGAAGTAAATGTCTTAGACTAAAGATACCGAATTTAAAAGCTGGGTAAGGACTTTTAAGCCAGGTATAGGGGCTGTTGTGGATGCTGAGTCAATGCATGAGATAAATTAATAACTTAAATAATAATTCCAGAATTGATTAAGCATAATTTAATTCACAATAATAAAAGAAGACATTAGGGATACAACATCAAAGTGAACTCTTTTTGTTTACATTCTTTCTTGTTGAAAATCTAAAGAAACTAAACTTCGCAACAACAAAGATAATATTATACGTAGAGGGACCTGCTGCAGAGGTGGATATACCCCTGTAGCATAAAAATATAAATATATCTATAATACGCTTCATACAGTCGATTGCAATAAGAGAGGGAGGTGCACAACTAGATGTCATTAGCAGTACCATGCAGTACAAAATTTCACCATTCTACGGCTAATTGGTTTTGAGTTATGCGAGATACATATGCACGGACAAATGTCACGAAAAAAATTAATTTTTAATCCATTCTGAATCCATTCTGCAATCCGGTTTGGAACAAAAGGTCCTTTATTCCACCCGTATATATAGAGACTTCGCGCAAAAAAGTACTCAAAATGGATACGAGGATGCTCAATGGATATTTCCGTTGACATCTGATAACAAACATTTTCGCTGTTGCAATACTTCATTTAGTTCTCTTAAAGAAATAAAACTGAGTGAATGACTTACATCTGATCCATTCGTATAGTAGCGGTCAATTTTTCCGTTAGGCCCAGCATCAATATCTTTGGCTCTAAAAAATGGAGGCAATGTTGTCCCCAAGGGTAAATTTTCTGGTAATTCCAAGGCATAGCGTTCTATGAAATAAATAAAAAAATAAAAATGGTAACGAAAGACGTCATTGCTATGTTATTGTATATAAAGATTTTAATGTTTAGTCATTTCGTCCTAAAAATTAACTTTCTTAGTGTTGACAAAGAATCATAAAGTTATGCTTATTATTAGTAACAGTTCGATAAACATTTAAACGTTGATATTGCGTTCATCGTATCATTCACAGTCAACTAAAACCATAAAAAGAATCGAAATTACAGTAAACTCTTGCCGAACACGAATTTCTAAAACGCGATTTCGTATATACGCGTTTTTAATTGTCGCTATTTAATTTGTCCACCGCGAGAATTTCAATTATACTAGAATTTCAATTATTTATTTATCATTGGTACGCTGCAGAGCGTCGGCCAAGTTACGATGGTCCTCTTTAATGATCGATTTAAAATAGTAATACATTAAAGAAGTCAAGCATTATTTAGAACAGAAAGGCCTAAGCTTCAAAGTTCTCCTAATTTGATAATGTTCCAGAACACGTACTGAAGCCCACACATTGCATCTAAATATAGAAGTTTATTCCTTCTACCGAACAGCACTTCTTTAATCAAACCAATGACTCCAGGAATCATAAAAAACATTAAAAGCATATTACGTGAGGCATATTTCCATCTCTACAAATAAAGCACTAGACGAGGGCTGCCAGCGGCCGATTGGTAAATTCGCTGAATACTGGCAGTTCGGTTTGAGGTTCGAATCCCGCGAACGGGCTGGCTGCATGGGCGTTTTCGTGGTTTTCCTCATGTGTAATGTGTATACTGTAGAGTCACTAGGTTAATTGGAAGCAGAAAAGATGAAAAATATGCAACCGCCTTCGCCGGGAATCGAACCACGGACCTCTGGAATACCGGCCCAGCGTGCTACCGTTACACCACGAAGGCACGCTAGGGAAGTGGGAGAAATACCTTATATACTCCCCTTTTTAAAGGGCGACTAGGATTTTAGGGGACCTAGTCGCCAAATCCTGGGTGCGGAGAATCATCCACAACCTTTTTTAGTTCGGGCGCCCCTTGTAGAGTCATTGGGTTAATTGGAAGCAGAAAAGATGAAAAATATGCAACCGCCTTCGCCGGGAATCGAACCACGGACCTCTGGAATACCTACCCAGCGTGCTACCGTTACACCACGAAGGCACGCTAGGGAAGTGGGAGAAATACCTTATAATACGACCTAGTTTCCTTTAGAAAGTCCTCCACGAAGGCATTCCTTCTCTTAGGCAGATGCCCTCGAGGCTTTGACGTAATCACATAAAACCAAAAACTATAGCACTAGACGGAGGAAAGCACGACACACGAATGGCACTTTGGAAGGAATTCAACATAAGACACTTCATAGAAATGATTAAACTCGCATTAGAAGAAATGCATTCGTCAATAATGAATGCTCGTTGACATCAGCGCTAGTCAAAACGTGGAAAGAAATTTAAGGGAGTTCCATCGGCTGAAAATGAAGCCAAGGAAAAGCAATAGGCGGTGAAGGATTTACCGATATGAAAAAAGAAAGAGAAGTTAAAGAATTAGTCGAGAATGACCTTAGTGAAATGACAATAAAGGAGGAAATATCTGATTTGTAATGGACATTGACTAAAATGAACAAAGGAGAGGACACTTCATGAGTGGTACTGAGAAACTTTGCCCTTTTTACGGCTAAACGTTTAATGAGTTGTGTTAGACACTGTCGCGAGCAAAAGTCACCAGCGATTTAAAAAGAAATAACTGTATCATGAACCTATTTATTAAGCAGCAACAAAAATCATTTCAATGAACAACTGTTTTCTTTTACTCTTTTAATTAGAATACTAAGGTTTTATAAATTATGTATACTTTCTGAATCTGAAATATACCTATCTTGTTTTTTTACACAGAACGCCATGCTTACGCTATAACGTGTTATAGCTTAAACCTGGTGTTCGGCAAGGATTTACTGTATGCTCAGTGCAGTGAAGAAACAACATTAAGAATTTATATGACAATATTTGCTATTTTCAATATTTTCACTCACCTTCATCGAAAGTTGGAGTATTGTCGTTAACATCATCGATAACAATAACAACTGGAACACTAGTATTCAGCGAATTGCTAGACAGTTGATCCCTTGCGAAAATCTGCAATTTAATACAGAAATATTAATTTAAGTAATGAAACAATAAATAATATATTTTTCTAGTAATAAAGATTTTTATTTTTTGTTTTACATCGTGCTTTAGAACCAATAGTAATTAATATCAGTATTTTATTATTTCCTTCCTTACAAGCATCGCAATACTTGGAATAATTTTCAGTAGCATGCAAACGCTTCTAAAAATCCAAATTGTATAAATGAAATATGTTAATTTCCTGCTTTCAGAATCTCCTAACGAGTTAAAATATCTAAGTGCATAAAAAAAAAACTTAGTTCTACTTATCAGAAATTAAGTAAGCAAAATCTGTTTTATCTGCTCATCAACATTTGAGATGATAAGATCTAACGCGTCTGCTCATCAGCAAATAAGTAGATAAAATCTTTTCGGTAAATTTGATTTGCGTTCCATTCGCGGATGAAAGAAGCTACTTAGTGAGTTTGCATAGTTCTTGGTAGATGTTAGTATTTAGGTTACTTTCTTATATTTCATAATTTATTCCCTAGTTTTTAAGTATGAAGGTCAAATTATGAGACACGTGACACGCTATAGGTTTGCGTTGACACACTGACGTTCACGAACACCCGAAAATAACAATTAGATTTGCTTCAATTCCTTCAGTTTTTGAACTCGTGAGAGCGAATGAGTTTTCTCTTACTATAATTTTATGCTCATTAAATTATACTGCTGCAAATAAGAAGCCAAAAAATGCCAAAAGTTAATAATCAGATTCTCATTTTGATGTTACTACATAATTAATCTGTCAGAGCTTTCTCTATTCATTTTCCATTTTTGTAATTATTTGGTGTTTTGGTGTAAAATATACAAATTGATTCAAAAACCGAAGTAAGCGTATATTATAATGCAATGTGTGCGGGAGAAAGGATGCGTTTGGTACAAGATGTTATTGAGCAGTAGATAAAAGCGTTATACTAGCGTAAATCCCCATGCGGATTTCTGTTACAGCTACACGAAAGCAGTTTTTTCCGATATGCATTTTATCTTGGGGACTACGGATGGAAATGGAGAAGCTGTTCAAAGGAGATATCAGGAATCATCTCTGCAGTTTCTTTGATTAGTCTCTCCGTTTTAGCCACAGCCCCATACATCAAATGCATGTCGCCGAGCTCCAAATGGTACATACCGCTCGAAATTCGCAAGGGAAATGATGCTTTACGCCAACAGAACGCTTTTACCTACGGCTCAGTAACGTATAGCACGTATAGACATAATTACGAAGTACCACACATTATTAGGAAATAGTTTTTAAAAAATCGCATTTAAATATGTACATATGTATATGTATATATATACGTGACAATAAACTGGTCCCAGGACATAGCTGTAAGTTGCAGCGTTGTAGGTAACTGGAAGTGATGGACATACTGTTGGCGTCTTACTAGACGTAACTTTTGAATAATCACAAATCCCTTGATAATTCTAACAAATCTTCATTACTTGTTCATAACTCTATTCAGAAACGTCTTACGGCATGGCCCAGCACAATGGGGACAATCTGCATCCTACAATTTTAATTTTAACGTATTGCAATTTTAATAATGAACCGACGCAAACAAGCAAGAGACGTCCTTTAGCTAGAAAATGTAAGCAGCAAAAGAGGATGTGTAGTTAGTTGCAGAACTATTTATAAACTTGAAAAATCTTTGTTTTAAACCTAAGCAACGATTAGGCAAAAGTCTATGCAACTATACAGGGTGAATCCGAACAAGAGGGCAAAACTTTAGGGGTGATACGACCCATTCGTCACACAATGTATGGTCGGGATGCAAACGGCGAGCCGCTAGGTGGCATTCTAAAATAAATGGTATAAAAAGGGTGTCAGTCCTCGCAACCAACGACACTTTCTACCGTGGATTGCTGGTTATACAAACCACGAAATTTCCAGGGCGATGGATGGGTCGAGTTGGTTCCATAGCTTGTCCACCAAAATCACCAGATCTCATGTTTGGACTTTTTCTGTGGGGCCATATGAAAAGCCTAATCTACCAATATGAAACCAATATGGATCTAGTCGCAGGATCGCCGTTGTTGGCGGCGATATTCGGGAATGCCCAGTGTCTTTTGCAAATGCACGTTAGCCTTTATCCAGCAGGTGTGAAGCCTGCTGCATTACAGCTGGCGGAAGGTCTTTTGAGCAATTTCTATGAGCCCGTTCTGTTAGTAAATTCTTTTCTAAAATATCTCCTCTCATTCTCGTGCTAATTCTTTAACTATGATGTGGAAAACTACCCTTTAACTTCTCACCGCTTGCGTTTCGACCATACATTCTATGACGAATATTGCTCATATAGCTGCCTTCTATTACACCCTGAAGTTTTGCCTCCTTGTTCAGATTCACCCTGTATATCGATATATTTCGTGAGAGTAACAGGTCAGTAGTGGGAAGTCAAGCATTTTTCGATTTTTTCAGAAGGCAAACTAAAAGAGGCGTCTTTAATATTATATATATTTTTACCTATCTATATTACTCCATATTTTGATTCTCTGAACGCCCTCTTTCTTTTCTACATGAACGTCACTCAAAATTGGATGCATTTTAAAATCAACAGTGTTGTAATCAAGATTTATAATAAAGTAAATTTTCACCACTGTGCGCGATGTAGATTTATTACCCATCCAAGATAACGAGAGAAAAAAATCCCCCTTACTGCTTATAAAAACGTAATTTCATTTTTATATCTTTTATGATTCGAATGTGTCTTATTTCCTTTATGTGATTTTAATAAATAATAAATCAAGATACATACTTTTAAAAACATTTAAAAGTAATATGATGTCAGCCATTTATATTTTTCTTGAAAATAAGTCTTACCAACATTCATCTGAAATGCAGTATTATCTAAAATTGTTCTACCACATTTAAAGTACAGATGAACGTAATTTGACTGCATCACAATACTTGTAGCTGGAAAAACGTAACAAAAATTCTGCTTATTAAAAACGTAGATACATAAATACCAAAAGAAAGGTGTCTTACTCTGAGTTGGAACACTTGTTGATTGTTAGGTGGGTCTCTGTCTACAGTTTCTGTAAGTACGAGTTCTCCGCTTCTAGGATTGATCCAGAATCTCTCCAGGGAATTGCCGTCGCCTATCCAGTAGATAATGGATTGGTCTTTTGGTCCTCTGTGGGGATTCGTGGCATTTAGGTAGCCAATGCTTTCGCTACGTGGTAAGTTTTCGGGAATTCTGAATTGGTAGGACTGGCGGTCAAAAACAACTAATTCGTCGTTGACATCCTAAAGCAAGCAAAAATATATATATATATATAAATATTGCTTAAAATATTTTGATTGGTTTTACTATAATAAAAATAAACAACAAAAACAATTTAAGGAATAGAGTTACAAGAATACAAACAATATAAGAAATTGAAAATTAAAATCGCAAGAATATAAACAATGTAAAACATTAGGAATTGAAAGTACAAGATTGATTTAAGCCTGTAATGTAGATTTAAGTCTTCAAAAATAAATAATTATAAAATCAGAGTTTGAGCCTGCTATATATTAATTTATTAAAAAAATCAAAATTATGCATGCTACTGATTTTAATCATGAGCTATACCTTTAAGGCCTAGCAACCAAGCTTAAAACTAATAAAAAATTCTATACGCAGCTTACTGTAGTTAATGGTAATCTTTCGCAAAATGAAGTTGAAAAGAATTTAAAATAAAATCTTAGTAAACTATCAGATATAAAACTTTGAAAAAGTAAGTTACATTTAACAATTCATTAACATTATCTTGGTATGGAATTTATTACGAGTAAAAAGTAATTAAGAAAGATAACAAATTATGTTATCTCACGGCATTAAATTTAAATATGCTATATCTAGATCTCTAATAACCGGATAGATTTCTAAGAATAAAATAAGTATTTTATAAAGCTTGCTTAGTTACAAAATCAAAAATTAGAAACATTTCTAAGAATAAAATAAGTATTTTAGAGATGGCTTAACTTTAAAATCGAAAATTTGAAATGAAACACTCTATATGACTTTTTTTATAATAAAAATTTGGTGTCAAATGACAAAACCAATATATCATACCATGACTTTAATGACTAGTTTAACAAATGGGTTTGCCAATGCAGATGCCTGGGGTCCCTGGAATGGTTTGACGTTTCTTGCAGCGACGTGCAGAACATATTCGGACTGTCGCTCAAAATTCAGTTTATCCGCTGTAGTTACAATGCCGTTATCCTCATCGATTGTGAACATTTTTTCTTCATTACCACCAACTATGAGGTACTTTAACACAGCATTTTCTCCCGTGTCATCGTCTTTCGCCTGGAAAAAAAATTAGTTTTAGGAACATGTTTGTAAAAAAAGGTAAGAAATTAGGTAAACTGTAAATCCCCACACTATGTACATGGATGAAAATAATATTTTCAACAAAATATGGAGCGTAAATATTCGTTACAAAATTGATAAAATTCACGATTTGCATAGCTACAACGGAAGCCGGTTAGTATGATTCCGGTAAAAGTCATCATTCGGATATTGTTGTCGAACTACCAAAGCCCCGCCTATTTGCATAAGAAAACATGGAAAATGCATTCCTAATTGTGATCAACGATTCGGCTATTTTTATCAAAATATTACGGAATAATCTTTTTAACTGAAGTAAAATCAATAACGTTTGTGGGGATTTATTTAGTTTGACTAACAGTTAATTTTTAGTTAAACCAACTTTCCTTTCAGTCTCGTTTTCACCCAAGCTTTCCTGTCAGAATGCTAATAAGCTAGTGCACGTGTATTCAAATGAGGTAGAAAGTACTATTTAAGAGTTCTTGGAAGGTGATTTTAGAGTGCATTATGCCTTCTTTGAAGGCCACGTTTCTATTTTCAATTGCTAGCGATTTGTTTCTGTGGGATTCTAGCCATTAAGCTTGTTTCCGCCGCTTCAACGAGTCAGAGCCTTCCTGCGCGTAAAATATCCTGTGCCGTTAGGCTAAGTTTAAAGCATTTTATTTTAAGTTCAACATTACCTGTTTGAGTTAAGCAAGAAATGTCGGCATTATGTAAGCCCAAGTGGACCCATCTGTGAATCTATTTTTCTTTCAATAAAGGATTCTTTGCACCCTTGTTCTGACTTTTTTGTTGTACTAAAGACCTCGGGATGATTCCTCATACAGGCTTTTAGAGCTCGTTAGTTTATGCTACCAAAGAATACGAGACTCTGTAAGTCAAATTGGAGTATTAAAATTGTCCCCAAATAATGGATTATGAAGCCAATTTTTGTTCATTTTTTTTTTCAAATTTTTTATTTTAGTCTACCATTTAAAACTAGGCAAAAGAAAAAAAAACTTAGGTTGACTTCGATTTTGAATATATATATATATTGATTTTGAGGATGATCAGATACAACAGGTCCTTCTTCTTCAGGAAAAAAAAAAATTCTGAGAATTCCCCTCCGATCTTAAAAAAAAAAAAAAAGAAAAAAGAAATCCCCTCAAATCATCTACGCCAAACTAAGGTTACTTTTTTGCACATATTTTAAGTTCGTATATTCTCTTCCAGTGAATGAAAATAAAATCCTTCCAGAGAATAAAACATTTTTATCTCCAGGGCGAGACACCGCCTATAGGAAATTTTAAAGATATGCTCTTTTTAAATATTTTGTGATTTTGCTGTTGAACTGAATTTTATTATATATATATATATATTTTTTTATTATTTTTAGCGTAAGTGCGAAGTACATACTATTTAATAAATAAAGTTAACACACAAAACGTTAATCATAAAAAGGCTTAAAAAAAAAAAAAAAAAAAAAAAAAAAAAAAAAAAAGCTTTATAATCCATCTTATTTAGAAAACTGAGTATTCACATGATGAACTGAGAAAAGACTGAAAAAAATCTACCCAAACACTTAACGCTACATACGGACTTATAAACATATGCTGCTTTTAAAATTTTGTGATTTTGCTCCTGAATTATATATGGCGTAAGTGAGAAGAAAATGATGCTTAATAATAAAGCTAAAAAAGCAAAAAGAAATGTGTTAGCAGGAGGGAACACAGTTGCAGACTGGTTGACTGCGAACTCCGCGGCAGCGTGAAAAAACTTAATAAATCCTTTTAGACGATCGTTAAAATCTGCAGTCTTTCACATTTTTTTAAATGACTTTAGTTTCCACATAGTTTGTTTTAATCAATTACCCATTATTCACTGAAAGATAGTTTTAAACAATGAAAACAATTTATTGTATTGTGCTCATGCAAATAAATGCGATCGACATTCATTATTATCGGATTACACAATAGTAAAGTTGAGGAGAGGGAATGTCAGTATGATAAAGAAAACAAAACACTTTTGTTTTATGTTTTCATGAAAAATATTATCGCTGTATTCTTAAAGAAAACAAGCCTGGCAGTATCATATCTACAATATCTTTCATGCAAGATACTCTTATAGTAAAGAGAGGTTATTGTTTAAAATACTGATTCAAGGATAGGAGTAGGCAATTTAAATTCTATTCACCAACAACAGTCTTAAAAGTGCATAAAATACTTACGTGCATCTTATGAACAGTATACGGTGGAATTTCTTCTTCGGGAACACTGACTACATATGTGTCTGAATCAAAATAAGGCGGACTGTCATTGATGTCTTCCACTCGGACACCAACAGTAGCTGTTCCACTCAACTGAGGAGTGCCAGCATCGAAGGCAACCACCAGGAACTCTATCATAGCTTCTCTTTCTCTGTCCAACCTCCTTCGGCTAAGAATATTTCCAGATTCATCTATGGTAAAAGCCTCACTAGCCTGATCGCCAAGCAACTTGTACCGGACTACAGCATTGCGGCCAGAATCACCATCCATTGCCTGAAAGATTAAAATAAATGAAGAAGAAAGAGAACCAGAATGATTAAAATAAATTTGTAATGACAGATCTGTATAGTTTTATATTAGTATTTCGTCTGTACTTTTAATTTCGTCAGTTTCCACAAAGAGGCAATTTAATTGACGCGTTTAAGTGCAGATTTCTTGGGTTCAAAAGATAATCTTTGACAGCTATTCTGGAAGTCACTCTATTAGTTTTCTCTGAAATTAAATTTAGATTTAGATTGCTAGCCGTAATTCCTCCGTAACAAATTTAGGGTCTGAGCCAAAGCTCAATATTTACTTTGCATTTAATATTTTAATTTTACCTGAGCATTTGTCTCGAATTTCCTGCAAGATTCTAAAATTCAATTTTCTGTTATTGCTTAGCAGCGTATTGCTTCGGTTCAGGCCAATAAATGAAATAAAAAGGTTTATTTTAAACCTTCTTCTGAGTTTATGTTATTTTTTTAAGACTGGATGATAAGTCGTCTGATTGTCTTTACGGCTCTAAAAGTTAACGCAGAAATCACATATAACTAGAGCCAGAATAATTAGTTTTTTTTTCCGATTTTTAATGGCAAAGACAATTATCGACAGAACAAGCAGATAAAGAAGACTAAAAGAAGAGTCCACAGTATAAGCTATAAATCTATTTTGTATCTCGTCTCCCAATATCTCTCCCAGAGTGATTCGGCGTTAAATGCACGACAACGACTCAGATGTGAGGGATCCATTTCGTCATGAAGGTTGCACAATTTACAAACTGGGTTTGGGATAGTCTTCATTCGATGCAGATGTTTCAAGAGACAATCATGGCCAGCAACAAGACGAAAGACAACAGATTTCTTTCTTGGTCATAAACGAATGTCAAAAATTTTGTTAATCCACATTGCATAACTGTTCCTTTCGGTAACGTCTTTCCAAAGCGCTTCTCTGTAGTAATTTTTGAATGCCAAAAGGGATAGCATTATCAGTTATTTAGAATATACTGACCCCCTTTCTTTCCCAACAAATTTGCCTTATCATTTTCACGAAGGCCACAGTATGATGGTATCCACTACATTGCAACTTCTTCGCCATCCTGAGCTCACTGCTGACATTTCAAAACATTAGCAGACACTGGTGATTCAAAAGGAGAAAGGGCAAGAAGATCAGCTTTAGAATCAGAGTGTACGACAACCTTTGAAAAATGTTGATGGTGACACTGGAGTTAGGGTATGGCTATGCGCCTGACCTCAATCTCAGCATCAAAAGTAGTCCTATTCCTTCCAATAGGATTGTAAAATGAAAAAAGCTTGCAAAAGACGCCAATGTCTGCATTGATACTGTCAGCCAACACAGCGCCATCCGTAAACACATGTATCCGTTCACTCTTGGTTTCCAAAGACATAGATTTGAAAATTTGGTTTAATAATAATAAAGATAATTAAAGCTGTTTTTTGGGGTGTACATACCTCAGCAGCGATATTTTTGTTACTCCGCAAGTAACTGTGACTAAATATTTTTCAATTTAGTTTTTATCAACAAGACGCAATTTTAATAAAGCATTAATATTAAGTTTTACATTCTTTCTACGTTTGTGGATGTTTAGAGTTCTAGCTAAGTGCGAAGAGTTCGTTGGAAATACAAGAAGTTTACACAGCAGTTTAAAGTTAATTAGGTTTGATCTTAGAATTGTTATAACATATTTTCGAAAATGTTGCTTTTAAATGAAAGACCCTTCACTTGAAAAGGAACCAAAATCATCAGCGCACTTGAGTGACCTAAACAGTAATAATAAGGATTCGTTTTCATAAAACCTGAAATTTTATTAGTATCAAAGTAGTATCAAAGTATTTTGATGCATTACTTTTCAGAGTCAATGCTATAAGATATTCTCACCGAAGCAGAATTTATTCATCGTTGTTTTCAAATCTACGCTAATAGACACGGCCCTATAGTCAATCTGAGAGTTTCGACACAGCTCTCTTTCACTGCCGCAAAGCCTACTTTATTTATTTTTAAGAATGAGGCAATGATTTATAAAACATTATAATATTTCTGTGGTTTCTAATACGGTATAAATTCTGGGGCATATAGCCTTGCAGTCCGAGGTGGTAGTCAGCACTGAACTGAAAACACCGGAGTATAACGAAAGACGCAATTAAATATAAACACAGGATAGAAAAGAATTACCAGTATGGATCCAACTGTAACATTCTCTTGCATTTCTTCAACTATAGAAAAATTGTAATAATTATGAGTGAAAACGGGCTGCTGATCGTTGATGTCCACAACATTGACTGTCATTGGCGAAACTGCAGTCTGGAAAGATAAAACAACAATACATCGGTATTTTAATTTGCTGAGAATGTGACAAAATATAACATTTAATAAATACCCTACGTGTTTATACATATATGCACATGAAAGATATCAGCAGCAGAAAAGAATACATACGTTTATACCATCAGATACTTGCACCAACAAATCGTAGCTTTGCTTCTTTTCGTAGTCCATCACGGCAGCCGTTAATACTTGACCTCTGTACAGGAAAATAAAATTAGTTAACATAATTTGCATAAAAGTGAGAAACGGCAATCACAAGCACAGTTTTATGTGACTTCATAATCATAATTTCAACTGAAATTATTTTTGATACACGTATGAGGTTCCTTTATGTCAATCACCATGTGTGCTTACCCATGTGTAAGTGGGTACGAGCAAGTTTTCCTTAGAAAGTCCTCCCCGATCCCGGAAGGAATCTCTCCTTTTAAGCAGATAAAGATTCACCGTAATCAAATGAACAAAAACCTAATGCCAAGCGCGTGAAGCTTAGTACATACTTGACGTTGGACTGATTCATGCTGTAATGATAATAAGTTTAATTTGTTTTACTAGCTTCAGTAAAAATTTTCGATGCGAGTTTTTTTTAATTAAAGTTTAGCTAACCCATTTAATTTAAATCCAAATACTTTAACCTAGCACTTAAATACCTGTCATCGAAACTACGAGTATAACTGGCATTCTAATCCACAGTCTGGATTTTAAATTTGTTAATTAGTTTAGTTATTACCTACGATCTGTAGATTTTCATAAATAATTTTAACTGGCCTTTACTTCTATTGCTCTACTATTCCGTATTTAAAATTCTGCCTGGTAATAAGCGGCTAAAGACAACAAAGTCTAACTTTGAGCGTGTTAAGTAAAATATAGCGCAGATTAGTAAACGTTAACATATTACATATCGACTAATAGTTCACAATTTATTGCATATTTAACTACTTAAATTAAACTGCGATATTTATTACATATTGTATTCAAAGTATTTTATTAATTCAATTAATTCATTATTAAGGAAAAAATCAATTCTGTCATTAATTTATTAATAATTACGCTTACTTTTGTTTTTCAATTTAAAAGAGGTTACATGTTTTTAAGGAAAGATTTTTTTCCTCTTTAAACTGTTAAAACAAAATAAAAAAAACTGTTCGGTACAAATGTAGTGACCCGAACACAATATCATGGCGTAAACTAATAATTATTACCATCTAACGAAAACAGTTATAAAACATAAGGCTCCGTTCATGAAATAAATTGTCCATAAATACAACGATCAATACGAATAGAATCAGTAGCTAAAAATCCACGGTGATTAAAGGATTCGTATCAATATAATCTGTTAATTATTTTTAATTATAATTAATCAACTTTATTTTATTAGATACTATCATGGACGTCATATTGAGAATGAAATTTAGTTTACAGTTTAGAAAAAAACTTTAGATTTATACTTACGTTGAAGGGTTAACCACAAAATTGCCTTCATCGTTACCAGCAACGATAGAATAATGAAGCACTGTATCAGCATCCGGATCTTTGGCCTGAAATAATACGTAAAGAAATGATTCTCTTAATATAATAGGCAGGGTGTAAATGAGCACTGTTTTAAACTTTACTCAAATAAAGATTATTAAAGTCATGTCCAGAAACTATTAGATTTATAATGATTTTTATAAATACATCGCATAATACTGTACAGACATAAGGATTTTTTTGAAGTAGGAGACATGAAAAATAAGCAATGCCCTCGCCGGGACACGAACCTGGACCTGTCGAATACGCGTCGGTTGTGCTACCGTTACACCACGAAGGCATGCAGAAAAGAGGGAGAAAATAACACATTACCCCTAACTCAGAACTGTCTACGGCGAAGTACATTACGCTGTCTCACATAACGTTTAATTCGTTACGCGCATATTTTCTTCATGTTGTCTAAATCATTATATTGTATGAAATATTTCTATGAATTATTATTTTGATACTTACATATATTATGTAAACAGTTTTTATAATATCTGGCATAGTATGTGTTTCTATGAAACTGTTGTAAATAATATTATTAGTCCAAAGGGGCTTTGTCCCTGAAGGACTATTGCTTTCGTTTTGCGATTTTGCGTCGGACTCATAAACGTCGGTTCACTTTTCAAACTGTTGCCACAAAATGTTAGAGTCCTGCATTATATTTGAAGAAATTAAATAATGAAAAATCTGCATAAATGATTGTCTATTTCTCGCATTGTGATAAAACAATGGTACATAGAGCCATCGAATTTTGAATGACGAAATCCTACTGCGAATATGGGCATTTGAAATCCCAAATTTGGAATTTGTTTTATTATAGATTTTATATTTTGTAAAACTTTAACGAATTTTTGATTTACAAACTCAATGCTTTAAAAGCGAGAAATGGCAACGTTTATATAAAAAAAATACTTTTATCTCCAGCTCGCGACTGTGTATATCGGAAATTCTAAATATATGCTTAATTTAACATTATTTTGCGATATTGCTCTTGAACTGAATTTTATGGTTTAAGTGCAAAGAACATGATATTTAATAAATAAAGGTAACACTCAAAACGTTAAAAAAACGCCCCTTTGTACGTAATTTAAAATCTGAAAAATTTCAGATTTTTTTTTTTTTAAATTTATTAAGCGGAACTTTTAAACTTTTATTATAGTATTCACGTGTAGCAACACAAGATCCCAATATATTTCTTTCAAGGGCCTTGTATGTCCATGTAACTCAACAATATTTGTTTCAGTTTGCTTGCCTGTCCAGCCACCTAGAGGCTTGGCAATAATGTACAGTAGTAGATTTTCTCCGCCAGAGAATACGCAATAACAACTTAACATAATACTCGGCCTGTTATCCTCGCACAGAGAGAGTCTAGACATAAGCTTTAATAAACTTAATATTTACAAACATTAACAAAATAGAAAATACAATGGAACCTCGAGATACGAGTTTAATTCGTTCCAGCATTAAGCTGGTATAGCGAATTTTTCGCATCTAGAAACAAATTTCCCCATTGAAAATAATGGAAATCTAGTTAACCCGTTCCGCTTCCCCTCCCCAAAATCTCATTACCATCTCATCTTCAGTCGACGTACCTGGTGTTTTTTGGAGAAGGTCCAAGTACAGATTCTTAGCCTTAGCGCAAATGGAATCGCCTTTTAGCTGCTGCTCGTTAATCCACACCAACAACAGCTTCTCAACTTCTTCTAAGAGTTTTGGACGGTGTTTGCAAATAACGGTAACTCCTTGGCATCAAGATTCTTAATCTCTTCCTTTTCCTTCAGAATAGTGCAGATCGTCGATGTCGAACGGCCGTAAGTCTTTGCCAATTCCTTCACTCTAACACCACGCTTATGTTTATCTATTTCTTTCTTAATTTCAACGGCCATGGCTTCCTTCGTTTTCTTTGCAGCATTATCTGAGACATCGTGATCAACAGTCTTCATGATGGGAGGCATCGTGAAATAATTATTTTCACGTTAAATGTAAAAAACAATTAACTCACAAGCGCACAGATACGTAGATCAAAGAATACTAAGTGTTCTGACGAGGAGATTCCCCGGGTCGAGGCGGACCGGGAAACAGCCTGGCTCGCTACTCGTTCCTCGAGTCAATGCTCGTATTTAGAGACGAATATTTCGCCCATATTTTCCTCGTATCACAAATTTCTCGTATGTAGAGATGCTCGCATCTCGAGGATCCACTGCATTAAAAAAATTCGAAGTGTTCCCTTTTCTTTACTTTAAACGTGAAAAAATTTATAACAGTTCTCATTTCAGTATAAAAATAGAGAGCATTGTTCCATAAAAAAAATCTATTTTGACTCTACAAATTTATATGCACTTTTGGCCGAAATAAAATGACGATCACTTTTTTAACTGATTTAAAAAGAAAAAGAACAACTTGCATTTCAAATGGCTCCACTCGTGCAAGACATTTAAGGCATTACTTTTACACCTCTTAAGTTATAGCAATCAGGATATCCAACAAGTAATCTGAATGTTTCGAATGCGACCTATGGAGTAAACACAACTGACTTTTGTTTTTCTACTTACAGATACCTAAGAATCATATATATATGAATTTGATATTTAAGAAAAAGTTATACTTGCTGCTTTCCTTATACTAGATTGATCCAAAAGTAAGACAAAATTAACAATTTAAGAAATTGAAAGGCGCAGGTAATAGTATGATGCAATTTTTACAAAAATACACAGGATGTCAGGGGATATTTTTTAATAATGAAATATTTTATTGCCAAACTAGTTATATTTTTCACCTACTAGTGGTGCTTTAGTTGTTTCAGAACATTTTTAAAATATTGCAATATCCTTCCTAACGCAGCTCGGATTTTTAATGTCAGACTATAAGGTATTTTATCCCTCCTTTCTGCATGCCTCCGTGGTGTAACGGTAGCAAACTCGGCACATATTCGAGACGTCTGCGTTCGGGTCCCGCATAGGACATTGCTCATTTTTTGTGTTTCGTACTTCACAAATTCTAATGACTTTACAAGACTACTTATAAAATAACACCTCTTTTGTTTTTCAAAAGGCTATTTCGAGAGAGGAAATATTTTATTTTTAAGCCAATATTGTATTTCTTTTTTTTTTCCTCCTCAAAATGATGACTGCATCATTCGTAGCTAAAATCATGACTTTTTAATTTTTCTTATAAATAATGGTTTTTTGAATGCAATAAAAGTGTAAAAAATTTTCCTAGAAGCCATAGAGTTTCCGAAATTATTCTGACAAATGTCACATTATTTTAAAGTAGCGAAAACCGAAGACATAATTCTCCATTCCCTACTTAAAAAAATAATATTTCTTCCACACGCTCGTATTTGTTTCTTTTACTATATCGTGTATTTTATGACATGAAACATTGCAATGAAACGGTGGTTTGAATAAGTGTAATAATAGTGAAAGAATAAGAGTAAATAAACTAACGCTAACATACTAATATCTAATCGGAACAATAACTAAGTTCGGCATACATCGTAAGCCTATACAAGTTATGTACGATTAGTATTACCAATGTTATCGAATGCGTGAATGATAAAACGGTCATTCGATAAACGTGATATATTATCTGACAAAGGCATCTGTTACATCAGACAAAATCCATTACATCCGCAATATTGTTCATTGTAAACCTCAACTAACCTACCTTCATGTGCAGAAACCGGTTTACAAACTCATCGTAATTCCAAACAAGTAATTAGTAACATCAGATGTAGTAAGTATTAAGGGATATTGTCACTTACTTCATTTAAATCTAATAAGAAATAGATTGCCATGATGGCCTGTTTTAATCTAAAATTTTTAAAATCTGGTTCTTAGTATCATTAAGGGAATACATTCTGGTATTCCGCTTTTTCCTAGCTTTTACCATACTGAAACCATTTTCATGAAAACCACACGCATTTTTTACCATTGTTTCCTTTATTTTACTCCCCCCTTCAATTTTTTTTCTTTTTTTTTTCTTTTGTATTACAGGAAATGAGTATAATTCTGAAAACTGAATATTTATCTGTAAATATGCTTGAATTACTAAGTGTAATAACAGAAAATTCTTGCCGATACCAACCTTCAGATTTGAGAGAGAAAATAAGTATAAATTTGAAATTTTCATTGCGTCATCATTGCTACTGTTTGTGCATGTTTTATAAAAATTCAGTAAATAAAATTCAAAAATTTAGCTAAAAAAATTTATTTTGCTAAAAAAAATCCTGCCCGCCGGCTGCTTTCAGAACGCGCATTTTTGAGTCTGAGACTGCTGAATTAGACTAAAAGCTAAAAATATTTTTGACTTGAAAGAAATTGGTTTTTCAATTTTGATTTTGAAAAATAGAAACACTTTTGTGACTCTAAAAATATATAAGATATTTAGACTTGAAGTACTAGACGCTTGAAATTAAGATGAAAGATGTAAATTAAAACAGACACGTCCCTTTATTAAAAAGGCAATTTTTAATAAATGTCTTTTAAATAGCTTTTAATTAAGACTTTTCTAACTATTACTCTCTGTTTATGTTAACAGTACTATGTTATAGCATTTCTATTAAGCTGTTATTATTAAAAGTATTTCTATTCAAAAATGTTTGTTAGCAACAAAAATACTGTTACGCATTTTATATATATGCAAATAATTTTAGTGAAATTGTAATATTTTTTGTATAATGTAACATGAAATGCTTGAAAGAGACGAAGCTCTGCCGGAAAAGTAAGATAACGGGGTAAAATCTATTTAATATTGAGTTAAATTGCTATGTCACTAAACTGGCGAGATATCTCCAAGCCGGCAATGTTTTTCGCGACTAATTTTTGTCGCCACATTTGGCGAGAAATAACCAAAAGTTGCGATATTTTGGTCCCTGTATATCTATAATTGGTACTGTAACTGAGTAACTGTAATAGAACTCTGCGTGTAACTGTAACCGTATCTGGGCCCTATGTGAAACTTTACTCCCATATGCCTTTCAGTAATTTCGGGAAATACAAGATACTAGAGATTTCTAGAT